TCTGTGCGCGCACCGGCCGTTACGGATCTAATCATCTCAGATCCTTCTTTTTGCCTCGTGTTTTTCGCTTGCTACAGGCTCTTACTCTTCCGGGAAGATCCAGACCATTAAGCAAAGGGCAAAGCTACCAAACCTGTGCATTTTCACGAGCGGCCAGGATGCTAGGTGTCTGGCCCTGCGCCAGTAATAGGGCCGAATCCACGTGCTGACGCTCTTCAGTCTCCTTCCCGCCATAGGACGACGGATCCCTGCGTAGCCTTGCAAGTTTCGAAGGATTTCTTCAGCGCCCGCGCCCTTCCCAAATAAGCAGCACGATGAAGCTTCTGATAGTAAAACCGTTGGATAACCTTAAGCAATGAGCAGCTTCGTTCCCAAATGAGAGGCTCTGCGAAAATTCTCAATGTCCGCTAGCGTATCTTCTCCGTTTCTCGCCGTCGCGTCCGTTATCCTCTCTAACACCAACCTGACAGAAAGTGAAGTCCGTGAGAGCGTCGGTCTGCCTGAGTCTGCAGACAGCAACGATGCAACTCGAAGTGGCACACGCAGAAGGAACGCCAAACGTGCTCATCGCCCCTATGCACTGATGCTGTTTGCGAAGTCCTGGAGAGCGGGTCGGCGCCTTGAATTCTCATTCGTTTCGTGTGGCCATCCATTCCTTTCTGCATAATTGACAATTTGATCCTTCTGTCCTTCATGATTATTTTGAGTGCCTATGATTTCCTGTTCGTCTTACAGCAGCAAGGATACTAATCTTCTTCGGCACTTCTGCCGGAGTGACAAACTCCAAGTGCTTAAGTCTGACGCTGCGCATCATGAGTCGAAGCGTTACAATCCCGCATGTTAAAGCATTATTTGGTGCCATTCTCTTGCCTGTTTTACCATCTTACCGGTGTTCCTTGAGGCTTCACTTGTGGCTGTATTCGGGCTCTTCTGGCTTCGACTATTTTCGGCGCAGGTTCCAAGATTCCCTTTGGGAAGATTCTGATGAGTCTCATCTTGGTTCGCAAATCTCGATCCGCAGTGGGCTAGATTCCGCTCGCACTGCCGCAGAGGATTTGCAACCGGCAGTCCCTAGCTGCCTTTTGATTCGTCTCTCAAAGCGCTGCTTGCGTTCCGGATTCGTGCACATAGAAAGATGTGGGCACACCTGTAAAATGGATTCCGTACACGTCCTGACCCCTGGCGAATTTTTTGGAATTGAGTATCTTGGCTGACGTCACCATCGCAACTAGGCAGTGATCAACCCACAGTCGCCAGGACTAAACGAAGGGATGGCTCTGGTCTGGGGACTGAGGAACTCGTGGTGGACCCTGATGCCGTATTATAGGTGCAATATTCATGTACACAAGGTTAAACGAGGCGAAAAATGTCTGCTTCTCGGTCGAAGATCGGCCGTATGAACGATCAAGAAGGTCCTTCAAACGAGGCGAATCAATCGCTCAAACCACGAGGACGTAAATGAGGGCCAATGACCCGTTGGATGGTCGAAACATCTGCGCAACCTAATCAACTCTCGCAACCTGAATGCCGCGTGGACCGCCCATGTCGATTTTGGAACGTGTTGAATTACGAAGAAAAAGAAAGAAGAGGGCTTTCTTTAGAGCAGCAATGATGCCAAGCCTGTTGCCCGCGCCCAGTGGCGTCGCGAGTTTTCTCGGAAGGTTTCTGATGCTGCGCGTTCCCTGTACAAACGTCACAATCATATTGATGTCGACTTTTAGCACTTTCGAGCAGCAAGGATGGATTTGGACCTGGCGCTCTCTTCAGAGCGGCACGTCTAGTACGCTGACCTGAGCTGGCTCTGATTTTACATTTCCTTTGTTTTAGGCAATGCTTTCAATCAGTTTAGAGTCTTTACCCGTTCAAATGGAGTACGTACAGAAAAATTTTGCTGCAACGCAGAACTTTATTCGGAGGGCACACAAGGCAGGAAGTTTGCGCGACCTCTTTTTTGTTTTCTTCAAAAGTGTCGATCTTTTCAGGTCGTGATTGCGACCTTCGCATAAGAAACGGCGATGATGAGCCCATTCGACAACGTCGGGATTGACAGTACCGACTGGTCTTGGAGGTGATATGACGCCACGGGTGCGGTCCGTTTTGATTTTTTCCATTGTGCCGGGGTGCTCCGCGCCTCGTCTTCTTCTGGAAAAACAATTACGTCCAGCAAACGCTCACTTTATCTAGATTAGCACACCGTAATTCTGGCGAAGTCTTTCAACCTGATCTAACGTACGGCCATTCGCTTATGCACCTGTCCGTAACACTGTCATGACCACGAGCCACAGTCTACAGTCTTCTTAGCGTAAACTCGTCATCTGAGAGCTGCCATCTGTTTCAAACGGGATGCATCGGCGTTCAAGACTTCGATCTTCTCCTGAAACGGGTAGTGTGACTTGACGAAGTCAGCGCTGACACTCGTGCCGGCCGCATAAGGCTTTTTCCCATTCCCTTGGTTCCTCGCCCTTGTGCTCAAAACGGTCTCGGCTCCGTGGTGGTCCAGAGGATCGTCAACCACCTCCACAACCCTCCTTCCAAGCTGGTAAGCCCGGAAGAAACCGAAATCCCTGACAAGGGTTGTTTCTCTTTAAACTGCGGACAGCAAGGATGCAACAGGAAGTGGCGCGCGCAGAAGCAAGCCACAAACCTCTCTTCCGTAATCTCATCGGACTGATGCTGTTTGCGAAGTTGCGAAGTGTGGGAGCACGGCGCCCACTTAAAGAACCAACGTCTTGCTTGCGTATTAACTCGCTGCAGCTTTGAACCTCGGTTGCTTCCTTCTGATGTCCTTGATTGATCCAAAGAGCAGCAAGGATTACCAATCAGCTGGCCCGGCACTCCCGCCAAATGCGCTGTTGTTGCTTGATCTGACGCCGTTCACTAGAATTTAGTGACTTCACTGGGGCCAAAACTGAGGGACAGCGAAAAGCACGGGCTGTCGCCTTTGCTCGCCCGGTGTTCCTAGAAACTTAGCAGCTGGTGGTCGCTCTGAGTACGAAACTCTTCGCAACCCACCTTCCTGTCTGAAAAAGGGTCTGATGACTCCCTTGTTCCGCAAAGCCCATCTTCGACGCGCTGGCGGAAGGATTTGCGACCGGCCAATACTTATAGCGCCTGCGCCTTTCTGATTCCTCACATCTGAATCCCCGCTGCTTGCGTCAGCAGAATCAGAGCCCGGAAGACGGCGTGGGAATAAGCTGCCAACTTGATACCTCCCCTGTGATATGGCGATCAGCTAAGCTGACGTCATCGTCCTAAAGCAGGAATGATCTGCCACTTCTACACGAAGGAATGGCTCTGGCCTGGAGGACCATGAATGCGAGGGGAATATGACGTGGGCTGACGCTGCATTACTGGCGTGTTTGTCTTCCCGTGACGATCAGATGAACAAACGAACACATCCTCGTGCTTCCTCGGAAGGTTTGGCCGTACAAACGTATAAAGAGGGTCCTCTAAACCGAGGCAAATTGACTGCGTCAACCTGAGGGACATGGTCCAATCCTAACCCCTCGTCGATGTCAAACCGGCTGTGCAACCTGGTGCAACCATCACCACTCAGGATCAGCTGTGTGGATAGACATGTTGGCTTGGCAACGTTGACGAATTACGCGGGAGTTTCAGACGGGACTTTTCTTTGAAGCAGCCATGATGCCAATCATAGTGCCCCGCACCCGCCGCAACCAAAGACTTTGACTGATGCTGCGCATGCGCCGTACATCCGGGTGAACTGACTGCTAGGGTTGATGGACGCAACAAATACTTCGTTCAAACCGTGTTTTGGCTTCTCTGCATTGCTCAAAAACGACAGACTTTGCAATCCATTCATGAATAGCGGGGCGCAATCTGGCGCCTGTCGGCTGGTCAGGTCGTCTGAACAGCGAGCTTCCGTGGAGCATTGCAGGTCAGCTAACGCCACTGCTTTAAACCACCCCTTATGATAGCAGGGGCTAGAGCGATCTGCTCGATTTCAGCATTCCAGTTGGTGATCATGGAGGATTTTCAGATCGAAGATGCAAGAAAATGTTTGGTCGGATGTGATGATCCGGGGGCCTCGCAGAAGGCACCGATTGGCCCTGATTCGTAGATTGGCTTGCGTTCAAAGACGCGTGGTCCCGCTAAAGTTATACGACATGGAGACTTGCGACTTTGCCGGTAAACTGAACCCACACGCGGCTTGCTTGATACGAGCGAGGGACCCCAGTCAACCAACCTTTGCGAGGTGGTGTTTGCACGTGCTACTTCATAACGCAAAAGATTCAAATCTTCTAAGTGGGATATTCTCATCGGAACCCATATGCATATCGGATGACAGCATGAGCAACACACATTTGGCAGCACACGCATGCATGAACCCCGCCGGACTTTTCAACTTAGATGAATGATTCAAGGGCCGCATGCCGATATGCTTCGTCGCCCTGGCAACCTTCTTTGCATGCTTCAATGACATGTAAACGGAGCAGCGCGGCCTGTAGAAGTCATGCACATGATGATGCACTTGGCACGTACATACATGGCAAGCTGCATGCGAGATTTCATGAGACGAATCGTGCTTGGAACAGAAAGTGGTTACTAAATCACAACGTTATCTAGCTCACTAGCCGCGTGTAGATCGACCGTCTGCAGCCCGCGCACAGCCACCTAGGCTAATAAATCCACATTGACTGGGCATGAGTCCATGTACTTTCACACATGACCTACAGGCGACATCATACGCGCACAGGGCACGGACGTAGGCAAACGCTTTTCGGCCTATATGTAAAAGATCAACAATTAACGTGACTGTCAATTGTGATCATAACCATGCATGTAGAACGCGGCCGGGCGCAGCCGTCCACAATGCTCACCCAGCATGTTACCTAAACGTCCTATCATGCATGCAGTTCTGGCCCGGTCTCGGACTTGGAACAGACCGAATTCTCTGTTTAGTAGGATTCTGCAACATATGTTGTCCATTGCCCAACCAGATATGCGTTCGGTTCCCTTGCATGCAAGCTCATTCCGAAATATGAGAAAGCAAATGCAGCTCGGCTCCAGAACCACCGAGCTAAGGCAGTGGAGCTAAGCGGCACTATTTAAAGAAGTTTCGTAGGTCCAACCATACCAGTTTTAAAAACTGATTTTCAGCTGGAGGAACAAGCTTGCAAAACAATTCTGCAGCTCTGTCTCTTAAAACAACGGAACCAACTGAAAACCGCATTTGCCGAAGGCAGCCTGAATCGACTAAGCGCAGAAAGGAAGGAGCCGGGAACATATACATACAAGGCATTATTATCTGGCATTCGACTAGCTACAAAGCTGGTTTGTTCGCTCAGAAGACATTAACCACCCACAGCGAGGGCATATCCAACACAGCAACTATAACTACCGCGCTCTTTGCAGCTGGACCTATCCAGCTTTGTTACCTCTCGCCTAACTGCAGCATGACGACTTCGTCTTGAGAGGCTTGTCGTTTTTGTTAGGCTTGATTTTGATCGCCTGCGGTGCCTGCAAAGCCGTTTGCCAAAGGTCTCAGGCCAATGCTCCACGGTAAGTTCATGACAACAAGCGGATGTTCAGATTAAGAAGGGAATGCTTGAAGACAAGTCACAAGCTTTATCGATTTAACAAGAAACAAGCACGCTCCCAGAAACAAACAACACAGGAAGCGTCAAGAAGTTTTGGCCTGGGCACAACACCGACGAAGCATGAAGAGAGACCAGGCAGAGGATTCCAAAATGCCAAGATGAGTCCGTTTTTGACGCTCAACACTCAACCTGCTTGAAACAGTGGTCATTCTATGCCAAACACAACTTAATTGGACGCACCTCTGTCTTTTGGTCAGCGTTCGCAGCCAGTCTCTCCTTGATGTCCCGAGCGATCGTAAAGAAGACGTTCTCCACATTGTGGTTGGTCTTGGCCGACTGGACATAGCAACAGAACGGAGTTGTGAGCATGCCGCCAGAGTGCAAATACTGCCTGCTCCTTGGCACAAGGAGGCGCCATATACCTCCTTCCTGGTCTAATACCATCTTCATACTGACGGGCTCTGGGGGCCTAAGAAACGAGAAGGCTTCACAAACAGCACTTTCCCATCCTTGAGTATCTATAGCAAAAACCTGAATTGTGTGACAAACTTAGAAGGATGTTTGTTGTTCAAAGCAAAGATCAAATAGTTCCAGCAAAACCTCGCTCACCGTTTCAAAGAACTGGATTCCAAATTCGTCAGCCAGCGCCTGGCCTTTGGCGGTGGGGACAGCCTGCACACAAGCAAGCGGTTCAGGCACTTCTTTGGTTGATCCATCCGGGCTGGGCTTTGCGAGCCTGCAGTCGACCCCTGAATTTTCAGTGACACTGCTCTGAAGTACGAAAAGTGGAGTATCTGGCTTTGCAGCACGGTCATCCCGCTGGTTCAAGCAATGAAGCAGCCCCAAATCTGCCTGAGGAGCACAGTCTGAATCAGCGAGTAAGAAAATGTCTGCGCTCATGTCCAGAAGAATGACATAGACCTCTCCGTCACTCTTTACTTGCAAGGACAACTTCGTAGTAGATGCAAATCCAGGTTATTCTACAACTTTGAGGAGGAGGGTGACCTCCACAGGTTCGAAAGTGGCAAAATCTTGTTAGCTAAGCCCCACAGTTACAAAGGGACTAAAGCTGCCCCGGTCTCCAGTCTCATGGTTCAAGAAGCCTTGCAGCGCCAGCAGAAATGGCTCACCCGTTTACTCTCATCCATATCTGCCTTGTTGCCAACGAGAATCTTGTTCACGTTGTCAGATGCATGCTGCTCAATGTTCCGGATCCAATTTCTGATGTTGTTGAATGATGCCTCGTCAGTCACGTCATAGACCAGCAAGATGCCCATGGCGCCTCGGTAGTAAGCTGTCAGAAAAACAGCATCTTCAGCTTCAGCCTGCTATAGACTTGTTACTAGAGCAGTACATACTGTGGCTTGTAATAGCATTCAGCGCAACGCGAAGAGACAAGGAACATCATCTTGGACAGGGTTACAACCTAAAGCTTCCGCCCTTCACCGTCAGGCTTGCTTCCCTCCTAACATCCATGACAGAACACATTACTCTGAGAGGCTTTTTTGCCTTGCTGGGGCTACCTTAAGCACCACATAGCAACTAAACATTTTCAAACGGCATAAAGCTCACCTGTTGTGATGGTTCTGAATCGTTCTTGACCAGCCGTATCCCTGCAGAAGAAGAGAATGTGCTCATGAAAATTGCCAGAGGGTTTCACAGTACTACTGACGGAGTGTTTACACACTTCTGCGACATAAACCTTGCATTTTTGCAGGTGTCCTGCAACTGCTCAGACTAAAGCTCAACCTGACGAGTGCATTAGGCAGGTGAATGGAGAAAAAACCGAACGCTTAGCACTCCTCCATCAAGGGAAGGTGTTTCACAAGAGACGATTAGGGTTTGCTTGCAGATAGACATACCATATCTGGAGCTTGATCTTCTTCCCATCCAGCTCAATTGTACGAATTTTGAAATCAATCCTGCAGCTCCAAACAAATTGTCAGCAAGAAAACCCGCATCACAAAGCAAAACCCTCTTAAAGACGTAAACTTGCGAGGTATCCTGCTGTGGACCAACAAGTGTGAGGATCATAAGCATGACGGATGCGAAGCTTGTAGGAGCTTGTTTCCCAGGTTTGTACTGGCAGCAATCCCTAGCTTGTCCACACCCGGATCCACACACAAACCCACCCTATTGTGGTGATGAAGCTTGTCGTGAAGGAATCATCTGAGAACCGCAAAAGCAGGCAACTCTTTCCAACACCTGCACATTGAGAAAAGCGATCAGGAACGACATCGTCTCTAAAAGAGAAACACAGGGATCTACTTTGGCAGTGGTTTCCTTCTCTTGCATCATGGGATACTTGCTTTCATCTTTATTGCGGGGACAAAGGAACCCCTCATGAGGAATGTTCAAAGCACACACCCAAGCACAATTGATACAGTGGACAAGTTGAATACTGACCGCTATCCCCAATCAGCAGCAATTTGATGAGATAGTCATAATCAGCGCGCGCTCTGGTCCCCCCTGCCGCCATTGCCCTCTCCTACTGGACTGTCAAAGGGCAGCAGATCCGAGTGTCTTTAAATGGACCGCCTACTTCAAGGTGGCCCTTCACCAACCCCTATTCTTGTGGGGTGCTTATGATTGGCATTCGTCTCGATCTGGTCTCATTCGCACCAAAGCAAATAGCTCTCAGGCTTTCACTCTTGCCTACTCCCCTCTTCCTCCTTCACAAAGAAGGTCGTGAAGCAACACGAATGAGACTTCCTGCAAGCCTGGAAGCAATGGCTAGGGTACACAAGCGCTCTCAGAGCACACCCCTAAATTCTGCTCCCAAGCTTGATCGCCCTGAACAGGGTGGCTCAACTTCAACTGCAGACTCCAGATGTCAGCATCCACACAGCCAGGCTACATATTCCGTCGCTAGTGAGGTACATAAGGGCTGGGATTTTGCCAGGCTGGTGCCAGGATGTACAACAGGCTGTAGGTACGTTTCCGTTGGATTGGCCGATCAGCCGCGTCAACAGTGGTCAAATGTGCGCGACCAGTACTTTGATACGCGTCGCGTATCCCAGTTGACTTTTTGTGGAACTCGGCCCCCGAGCCCAGCTGACGAGTAGGTACGACAGTCAGTACAGAGCCCCGGGCCCCAATAGGTGGTTCTGAGTCGGTAGAGTACCTGCCTTCCCCGGGCGAATAATAATTTAGCCGGGCGGTCTGTACGAAGACTGCTGCAGTATTTTTGTCCTTGGTCGCCCTAAGGATCACCCCAGTTCCGGTCTTGGCTCACGGGTTCGCGGGCGAGATTGCATACCCGGGCGCTGTTTTCGGCCCGTTTTGGGATATTACCTTCAAATAATTTGCACAAAATTGCACGTATACTGTCCTGCTGGTCGATTTTCCTCTTGAGGGGAAGCAACACGCGCTGTTTTCGACCCCCTGGCTTGAGAGAGCGAAGAGTGCGGAGGCGCGCACCGCATGTGTTTGGAGCTCTCCATGCTTCCACTTCAAGTGGTGGCTTCTGAGAGTCTCTCAGCCCAGCAAGAAGGGCAAGAATTGGCTCCAGCAGACGGGCATCAGGAATCTGCTGCGTTTGGGCAACAGGGACAGCTAAGTTGTAATGAAGGCGACAGCTGAATGCTTCTTAATCTGGCAGGAAGTGCTTTTGCTTTTGATGAAGCAGAAGCTGTCGCAGTCCTGATGTTGGTGTCCGGAATGCAGGGTCAGTGTTGGCGGCCTTCTGCGTTGCTTTATTGTGCCCCTAATAGCTTAGATCTGTGGTGCGAGGGTTGTCTTGGCGCAGTTTGAGTGTATGCAGAATCATCAAGGCGTTGGCGTAGGAAACATGGGTAAGCAGACCTGCCATTTCAATTCTTTTCCCATGTTGCCTCAAGACTTTTGCAGATCCAAGCTAGTGCCATCTTTCTTTTCGCCTGGCTCAATACTTGGTGGCAGCACTCAGACTTGCGCACTTCAACAGGGCAAGCTCTTTTGAAGACTTGCGTTTTGGTGTTAGAATGGGTTTTACGAGCATCTGATTCAAATGCTCGGTGGAATAGTTGTATGCTGTGCTCAAACCTTCCATGATAACACAAAAGAATCTTGTCCCACAGGTTGAAAAGGATCTTGATTCTTCTGGGTCCCAGAGTTCCAAGTGCTTTCAGACACTTTCGGCGCACCTGTATATGTCGTCTGCTTTTCTAATGGGATTATATTCAATGGGGGAACGGACATTTTAATCAACATCAGAATGCACCTCTTTCAGACACACAGGCTGGAGTTTTCTGGGGCTGGCTTTTGGCAGGCCTATCCGCATTCATTTAGACGACTCGTTGACAAGTCAGGTGGTGTTTTACCACCACTTGCCAGTTTCGCTAACTGCATTTCAAAGATGAATCCGTGTATTCTGACGCCACTGCCTAATCTCTCTTTCAGCCTAGAAGGTTGTCTGTACTGAAGTGTTGCAGCATTGATGCACTTCGTTCTCTGTGCCTACTTTCTTTTACATTATCCTCCAGCCACTTGGGAATTCTTGAAGTTACTGAATTGATTGTTGTCTTGTCCTCACGTCACTGGAATGACTGTTGTCATGTGCTCATGTCTGAACTTCATGTCTGAAGTTGTCTCTTTGGCATCCCTTGCAGCAAGTAGCAACCCGCTTTCTGTGACACCTCCCCGCCGCTACCAGCGCACGGGGGACCTGCTCGTTGAAGATGTGCAGAAGGACGATGAATGGTGAGTGGCATCTCATGTGTTGGAATGAACCTACCTCTGCAAAATCTGGTTGAAGCTTTACTGTGAACGGATGGCAAGTCACCTCGAAATATGATTTTGAAGTAAGTAACAGAACTACGACAAGCTTGAAAACAGTTCTTGATAGCCAGTCCAGAAGCAGCTAGACCCTCTTCTAAGCATCTGGACGAGGTGAGAAGCTGTTAAGTCCATCAATGTTGACAAGACGGTCTTTGTCCTGCCGTAGATGTTGATATCTCCCAAGCCAGAAAACTTTCAGCTGGCTGCATAATGTGTATTACTGCGTGATTCACACAACTTGACAGTGCTCGCAAAAATCGTGAACGACCATCGATCTTCCCGGTTGCCAGTTCGCAGTCAACAATCAGGACAACACTCCACGCTGTTCAAGTAATCAATTCGAGTGTCTCTGACACAGCGTCTGCCTTCCACCGCAGGCTCTACTCTCCGTCAACAGAGCCGTCCCCTGTGCTTTCAAACTGGGACGACGACGGTGCTCCACCAAATCTGCGAACCAGCTTTGACCGCAATCTGGGGGGCCAGAGTCAGATGGAGAGAAGCAACTCGCTGCGGGGCAAGTTAGGGCTCGAGCCCCGGTCCTCCTCTCGCAGTTCCAGTCAGTCAGTGACTCCTCACGAGCTTTCCCCACTCGGGTCGAGGAGGCCCAGTCAAGAGGATTATGTTGCTGGGATGTCGCAGAGGATCAGTGAGGCGAGGTTCCAGGACCGCGCTCTGGACGAGCCAAGCCCGAAGCAATCAGTGAGTTCTTTGGGTTCCGTATGCTTTCTTAACGTTGCATTGATTCTTGGCATTGGCTCGATAGACGTTTTGTAGAAGTAATTCGTCAGTCTGGCCAGCAGCGTTTGGTATCCTGCATACGCGGGTTATGGCTGGGGCTGTCCTTGTCGCTACCTTGGACCTATGTAGGACCATTGAAGCTGCAGCTTAACTCGATAAATGATAACCACCGTCTCTGAATTGTCTATAGCGCAGAATATCTTTCCAGCAGCCTCCAATTCGTTGTTTTCGGAAAATAGCATGCCAAAGGTAGTAGGGATGTCGTGTCAAGGTGCCTGCAAAATGCGGCTCAACTGTGTAAAGAGAACACCAATACCGACTTTTTTTGCAGCTCTTTGAACTGCGCACCATGTTTCGAGACGACAACAGAGCAAAGCAAGAGGTGCAGGAGGGCACTCGCAGGATGTCGGCACCGAGCCCCATTGCTTTGCGGAGAGCCTCCAGCAACATCCCCACTCCGCCTGGCCATGCTCCGCCCTCTTCAGTTCCAGAACGGGGTGTTAGCCGTAAGTTATCCTCTCAGCTTTGGGGCTATGTCTCTTTGGCTGGCATACTGTTAAGACGTGCGTTGCCTGTCAGTATCAATATAGGTGCATGTTTGGCCTGCAAGTGGTCTTCAAGCACCGTCCGATATCTGGCAAAAGCATCCGAAACGATTAGGAATCAAACACACCCTCAAGCTCTTAAGGATATTGACGAATGTTTTCAACCTCTGCCGTCAGAAAAGGAGCACAGCGATGCTTGAATCGTGCTGATATGCGATCACTGCAATCTGCCTCCTCTTCTGCTACTTTGAGATCACGAAAAACCACCGCTCTTACAATCATGTGAGCAGCTCTGAATGCTAGTCGGTTTGTGTTACTTTGGGAAAGACTTCTGGCCTTCTTCTGGCTCAGATCCTCAAGAGACTTCAGTCCAATTTGTCTTTTTCTTAAAAATGAGCGGAAGACAAAGCTCTGCCTTAATCCCGCAGGCGAGTCCCCTTCCCCTTCCATCATCGAGCGCAGCCTCTCGTCCGGCAGCAGGATCCCCTTCGCCCCCGGCTCGCGCAGGTCCTCCTCCGTTACTCCTTCAAGCCCCGCCCAAGCTCGGCCCCCCTCCCCAACCCCCCCCAACCCGTCCCCTCGGAGGGCCAGCGACGGGGGTAGCCATCTCGCGGCTTACCGCCCCGCCACCCCAGAGTCCCAACGGCCAGGCTACGCGGCCATGCAGGCTCGTGTCAAGGCTGGTCTTGTCCACCTCAGCCCGTCCCCTGCCCGGGAGAAGCCTCCGGGGGGGCTGGCTAGGACTCCCCCATCGTCTGGGGGATCCCCCCGGGTGAGCGACCGCTCGAACCTCCGCCGGGCGTCGTCCAGCCCGTCCCGGAACAACACCGCTCGGGCCGGCGTCCCGGGACAAACCAGCGCCGGGCTTTCCAGCCCGGCCACGCCCGCGAGCACCTCCCGGGTGTCGTCTGCCGGGTCGTTCTCAGGCCGCACGGGGCCGGCGAGCAGCTCGGGGAATATGTACATGACCCCGGCCAGTGGCACGCCGGGAAGGTTGTACATGTCGCCGAGCCGGACTGGGAACAAATCAGTGAACCAGCCAGCAAAGCCCGCGTATGGATCAAGCTCCACGCGCTCGTTGAGCATGGGAAGCTCCAGCAAAGCAGGTAGGTTTCGTGTCATAGTCCTCTTGGTGTTTCATTGGTCGCTGGTCCATGAAGATGGTATGAGCGCCTCCTGTGCTCACTTGTTCTTGGTTGATAAAATGTTGGGATTCTGAGTCGCAAGCTTTGCTTCAGCGTGGCAATCATTGCTGCGTGATCTTCTGAAAGATCGAGACCTTTGAATTGTCGGGAGCAGTTGCTTGAGCTTGCCAGAGTCATGGGCTGGTCATCAGCGGAGCTCGTAGCGAGGCTGCATCAACCTTTCGTCTAGAGATTCTGTTAAGTTGGTGCAACTGCTCCGTCAAGGAAGGCTCTGTGCCTCACAAGAAGCGGTTGCTTCACGTCCTTGTTCAGTTGCCTTTGCAATTGTTCACATCCTTGCTCAGGCTGATGGATAGATGGCAAAAGCTGACGAACTTATTTCTTTAATCTCTTATTTTTAAAGAGGGCCTCATTCATCTCCTATCCCCCTCGCAGGCTTCAACAGCAGCGTGCCACGCACCTTCACTTTCCTGGAGGACCCCACCCCGAAGCGGCGGGGGAGTGCCCTGGAGCGCGAAGAGATGGCGAGCCTGACCCAAGACACGTCTCCGGCCGCTTCCGGGGGGTACCTTTTCCCCGACGAGGAGTCCCCCCGGCGCCCCGTGGCAGACACCAACGACCAGAGCTGGGCACATGTGCGCACGGCTGTTGCGCAGGCGAAGCGCTCGCGGTCGATGGGCGCTGGATCGCCCAGGGATGGGAACGGGTCCGCCAAGACGGTCGGCCGGGGCGACCCAATGAGGTAAGAGCTGGGGCACTGTTTGACGTCCTCGAAGCTGTAGCAGTGTAGCAGATTATTCAAGGCATACAATTGTTGGAAAGTGTGCGACAGACTCGCTTGCTGCGAGTCCATCACTTTCTCTTCCATCCGTATAACAAGCAGCATGCGTTCCTTTCGGTGTAGCAGGTGCTATAACTTTCTCGCTTAGGGGTCTCGAGTGCGCAGGATCGGCGCCGTAAGTTGCATGAAGAATTGCGCTTTGCAGATTGTCCGTTTAGGGCGGCTTGATTCGTTTGACAAGACTGCACCTTCTTAATCAGAGTGCTAATGACGAGTGGCTTCATTTGACCAGCTTTCATAGTTACGATGCTCGTTAAGAAGTCTAGATCTTCCTAATTCCTGCAGAACCAGCAGCGTGCGCTCGAGCGCCGAGCGCAGCAACCTGCGCCTCAGCGGGGGCCTGGTTCCCCCTGGCCAGACCTCCAGCTTCAACGGCGGCGAGCCGCAGATGCCCGCTGCAAGCCTCCTCGCCGGCAAGCGGACCGGCAGTTCCGGTAACCTCGCCGCGGCCGAACACAGCCCCTCGTTTGCGGCCCCATCCAACGTCAACCGTGCGTCTTACTACCCCCCGGGGATTGCCCCTCCGGGGACAATGTTCCAGCCTGAGATGCCGTCGTTCCAGCCTGAGATGCCGTCGGATGTCCGGAAACAGGAGAAGGCGCCCGGGGTGATGAGTTCGGACGACGAGAGCTGGGGCCCGGGGGAGGGCTCCAAGGATGGCTCCGTGTCCGGAGAGTCCGGCCCGTGGACGGGGTCCCTGGCGAGCGAGGACGACGAATTGGTCGGGGGCAAGCCGGACAAGGGCGGGGCGAAGGCCGGGAGCAAGAAGCGGCGGCGGTTCCGCAAGTCGCGGACGCGGTTCCGGGGCACGGAGAGCGGCGTCGAGGGGGACGAGAGCGAGATCGACGTCGACACGGCGTCGCTCGCGACCGCGGGGAGCCCCCTGCCGGGCAATCTGATGACGGTCCCCCCGGACAACCAGTCGCTTCCCGATACGGCGAGCGATACCATGAGCGTGGACGCGGCGGAAGGGGGGGCCGCGGAGGGCCGGGGGTCGGACCGGTTGCTCACCCGGGGGGGGAGGCGGGACGGGGTCGAGGTGCTGGAGCCACTGCCTGACGTCAGCATCGATGCAGAGGAGGGCGTGATGGCGGTGCGGTCGGAGCATGACGTGGCGCCGGCGGTTTTGGTTGGAATGGAGAGTCAGCGGGAGGCGGATGCAGGGCGGCCGAACCTAGGGGCGGCTATACCTACGCTGGGAGGGGCCGTTCTGCCGACCGTTACTCGGGACGAACAGAGCCAGACTGAGGACGTTCTGACGGAGAAGGAGCCGGCTTCGTCGAGAGGAGAGTGGCGAAGCGAGGACTACTCGTTTGAGAGAGCCGAAGGAAAGCCGAAGAAGGCAGAGGAGGTGGTGTTTCCGGCGGCTGCCAATCTGGTTGGCTCAGGTTTGGAGCTGAAAGAGAGGCCCGTTGTGGCGACTGAGCGGTCCGGTTCCGCTGCTCCTGTCGTTGCAGAGAGTCCGCCTCCTATGGAAACGGATCAGGTCAGCGTTCCAGCCTCTCAGCCGCGCCTCAGCTTCGAGGAAACTCCCATCGTGGCAAAAGGGTCCTTTGCCGCGGCCCTGGAAGGCCCCATTAGCGGCCAGGCGTCGCCCGGCCCTGTAGTAGCTGCCAGAAATGAGTTGAACGAGTTGCCCGTGACAGGGCCCGTCGCTTCCAGCCCAGCAGCAGTCAGCGAGCGTAGCAACGGATCAGGCCCCGCTCTGGGAAAGACTGCAAGCCAGCTTGTAGTGGAAGAGACAGCCGTCGAGAAGGTGGGGATGACGAGGGAGGGCCAACTGCCAGATGAGATTCCGCTAAAGCCGCCAGCATCAGATCCAAAGCCTGTAGCGATGGAAGTCTCCAAAGCAATGGCCGACGAACAGGCTAGCAAGGACGTTCCCGAAGCCGCGGCCGCCGAAACGAGCCCGGTTCCCAAACCGAAGCCCCCGGTCCTCTCCTTCGACGACATCCCGGTCAGGGGCGTCCAAGGAATCTTCGGCGAACGGCCCCCGGTTCACTCCCCCCCGGCCGAGAGCCCCTCTCCCGCCAAACCCGCCGAGAAGCGAGGCCCTGTTTCTGACCCGGCCGCGCCTCGGCCAAGCACCGCCGCGCAGGAGGGCGCCCCAAAACAGGGCCCCAAGGGCGAGGGTGTGAGGAGGATCAGGAGCGCTGGGGGGTCTGGGCAGGCGGCCCTGGGGTTGCGGGCGGGCAGCAGTGGCGCGAACCTGGAGAAGGCGATCGCGTCGATGAACCGGCGGAACACGATGCGCCGCAGCAGCGACCGGTCCACCGCGACGGGCGCGTCGGAGAACTACGAGTGGGAGAGGAGCTCGCTAGGTGAGCGCTCGTCGCAGGCGCTGATGAGCGGTCCAGATTCTGTCCCATTCTTTTGAAAGTAGCTGAAGCAGGGCTGTCTATTGCTGCACAACGTTCTTTGCGGCCTAAAGCAAGCAGTCTCACGGGCTCTCATTCCGCCTTCAGCAGCACCAGAGGATCTGGCAAAGCAGATGAACTCTTGCAGAAGAGAGGGTTTTGGGTGTAAAGTACTGTCCTATCTTGGCTTGGATTCTTCCGCGCCTCATTCCTCAGACGTCTCCCATCGCCGCAGCGAAGACTGGTCTCACAAATCCTGGAGACCACCTCTTTCCAGCTCACGGTTTTCGTTCGTCTTTCGATGCAGCCGACGAAACGTACAGTGACATCAGCACGCCGTCGACGATGCTCTCCCGGAAGACTCTGGAGGAGGCGGCGGAGAGCGCCATCTTCTGCTCGTCCATCGTGCACGATCTCGTGTATCAGGTCAGGCGACGGACACCTTCCAGCTTTTGGCCAACATATGATCTCTCTCCCCTCCGGCTCGAAGCCGTTCAATCCTGCATTTCGCCTCTTGTGTTAGAGAAGCTCGTGCTCAAATGTGCTAGCTCTTGCGCGACAGGCATTTGAGTTTGACGTCGGGCCGTAAAAGGAAGAGGTGGTCCAATGCTTCCTGAGCATATGCCGTAGAGAATGGATGCGCATTCACAAGCGTTTTGTAAAGTCTGACGGACGTGGGTCCCCGGTGCTCTGACACAAGAAAGCGCTGACAGCACTTGGCGAAGCAATTTGTAAATTTTAATGGCAAGGAGATCAGTTCCAGCTTTTCTCGCATGAAATTTCTCTACACTTAATGTAACTCTCCACTAAAGCTCAATCGGTCTCGCGTGCAGGCGGCCAGCCTGGCCCAAGAGAAGGAGGACCTGGCGAAGCTTGGCAAGGCCTCCGGCGAGTTGGTAAAGCTTGTCTCCAAGCAGCGAGGCCCGGAGATTGACCGAATTCCTGCGGCCGGAATTGGCGCGAAGCGAAGCAACGGAGGCACAGCTTCCGGTCTCGAAGCTGGCAAGGAGAGTGGAAAGCCGCCAAAGGCAAAGAAGCAGCCGGCTTGTGGGTGTACTATACTTTAAGGTCGTGGAAAACGATTGCCGCTGCGTCGCAAGCTGCTCTGCATTAGGTGGGCTGCAAGGAATGGTCAAGTGAGAGAGATCACGTCTGAAGAACTGGCATTGGTGGAAGGTTAGTACCGCTAGGTCTTGAAACTAGGGCGGCTAAGTTATGCTATGTTCGCTTCCACACTGACTCAATGAGACAGAGTATTGGTCATAAGATTGCCAAGTTGCTCATGCGAAAGGTCAAGTTGGGGGATGGTAGACGGTCTTGGTATTGGTTTTAGTTGTCATTGATTACAATTTTGAGTGAAACAAGTCCGACCACTCACGTTATCTGCTTAAGCGGGCAGCACAAATGTCTGGTGTCAAAGCCGTCTTATTGAAAGATTGTTATATCCAATAAAGATCGACATGGTGCATTGACTGTCGAACCTTGACGGCTCTCCGAGTTATTGACGGTTAATTGACGTCAGGCTAACTACAAACTCCTGTAGAAGACGGTAGATGGAATGAGCATACAGATATCCGCATGATCACGTTCTAATGGCGGTCCCTCCATGTTACATGATGCATATACAACAATATCATACCGTCGTCCTTGCGCAGCCGTAGATTGCGTGCGCGCCAGGCTGAGTCCCAAATCGATAATGCGAGCGACACAGACCGACCTCGTAAATGATCTCGTTTCGCCGCGCGACCAGCCGGGCTGCTCACACTGAGCAGGATCCGTGGCACCGGCTAGGATCGAGCCTGCATTGCATGGTGAAGAGGTATGCGCGGAACCGGGGCCCGGCCGGTCTGCATGGACTGGTTGGAAAAACGAAATTGCGCAAAGAGACGCCCACTTTCGGCATGTGCGCATGATGATCATTAAATTTGTCCTCGCGAGGTCCTCGCGTGTTGTGACAGTTGAGCGCCAAGTACGTGAAATGAACGGATTTGCAGGTCGCTGGTCTTAACAAGATGCGGCTCGACTTTGAACAGATTGGATTCCTGGCGGCGCTGCCACTACAATCGCGATCAATTTGAATTGGGCCTTACACACAAGCTGATCACATCCCACTCGTTAACTCGTGTAGGTGCCTCCCAAACTCTACAAGTACTATGGGAGGCGGCAACCCCGCAGCTCGTTTCCAAAGAGTCAGCCCACATTTGCATACTGTCCATCAGTGCATGACAGCTTGAACACTATACGACTCGAAGGCGTGTCTGTTTACATAGTTTGCGTCACATTTGCCCTTTTACAAAACCACGGTGCTGTCATTAAGCCCGCATAGGCGATCTGCGTTCGTTATATATTGGTGGCCTATTTTTAACACATCAATGTCAAGATACAGGCAAGCCGCCGTAAGCGCCGGCTTTGCCTTGAAGCTGCATGGATTACAAAGCAAACGTACACAGCGGAAGCCCCGCTGCAGCATAGTAACGCGTCTAGAAAACGCTCACACTTAGCGGCTAGGCCGATCCTGAAGGTCTCACAAAGTCCATGTGTGTACGTAAACTCAACCGTACGAGACCTGAACATCAAGCTCTCCAACTTCCAGGGGCTCTGTCAGCCGCTTATCCATTGTTCGAGGGCCGCGCCAAGCCTCAGGGAGTCAACACGGACACCCCGGGTGCGCCCGGGTTGCTGACTGTGACGCCGCCCGGTGTGATGGAAAGGCCTCCGGGGCTGGTGATTGCAATCCCGGGCACTAGAGACCCGGTGGAAGATGTGGACGCCGGGACGGTTGTCGGGGTCAGCATCGTTGGAGCCGGATTGGCTGTCTGGGTCGATACCGGTGTGGTGACGACGGGCGTAACGAACGGGAAGCAGATGAGGCGTCCTGGGAGAGAACCAGCCGTTAGGACAGCGACACTGATCCAGACTACGAATTCTTCGTTTCTGGTTGGAAGATGCTGGGGCGATGGATTTTGATAACACAATCAAGAAGTACTTTTAATCTTTTAACTGACGTTCGCTTGCAGTCGAGCCTCTGGGCAAGCCCAAGGGTGCGTTGGAGTAAAGGGGCATAGAGCAAGGTCTCGCCACCCTTTGCAAAGCTGGAAATTTGGATCACGTTAACAGAAAGACCAAAGACAGGCCTTGGTTACGAGCGAGTCACATAGAAAGACTTGAGAAACTCTTAATGAGTCAGTCTGCTTCTCGTCACTCTATCAGAAAGCTGCTAGCCAGAAGGCCCTTCCTGGCCTCGTTAGGAATCCTAACAGCTGGCAGACGAGCTGGCAACTGCAAGATCAGATCCAAGAATGACTCGACCACGTGTCCTCTTTTGGTCTTACAACATCACGTACCAATGGGGAGGACGTTTACGGCAATCGTAGTCACAACGGCCCCGTTCTGCTTGCAGGCCCACTTGAGGCTCCCGTCCGTCTGACAGATGTGGCCATCCGGAGTGTTAAAGCCGAACTGCGACTGGCCGTCCTGGGTCCACTCGGTGATTCCGTTCACCACTGCTGAGCCGCCTTGAGCAAGGAGGTGGCGCCCGGTAGGTGATCCCCGGGCCCCCTCGGTGATTCCGTTGACGCCTTCCTGGACGAGGAGGTGACGCCCGGCAAGTGACTCGCGACCCTGCTTACGCAGAAAGAAACTGGAAACTGTTAATGAAGGGCCTCCTGCGAAATTATACAAGGAAGAAATCTGAGACCCTTGTCAGGAAAGCATGCTAGCGTCACATTTGGGTGGCCTCTAGAAGCAGCGGATGAGCGACGTGACCCTACAAAATTGGTGTTGACAGGAGGAGGCTGGAAAAGGGCAGTAGTACTAGGGGCGCAACGTCTTGGAACTTGGGGCATCCATGAGACGCCTTCTTTCAAAGAAGACAGCCAGTTTCATGCAAGAAGACTCTGGAAGCTGATGCCCTTCGAAAGGGTCACAATCCCGGAAATTTGTGCACCGTCAGGGCACCGGTTAAGGGCACCAAAGAAGTAGGAAGATGCCTTCTGAATGCTTTTAGACTCATTCGCCTCAATGCTTTACTGAGCTCAACCAACACGAAGCAGAGAGCCTTTGCGGCAGAAATCAGGCTCCGATCTCACATAATTCTCTAAGGCAGAATTGCCCGTCTCGTTTTGATGAGTTTTCTGCTAGATCCATAACTTCATTGCACGAGACATCCACGAGAGATACATTTTACAACGCAGATAAGGATCTTGGAATTCAAAACCCGGAACCAAATTAGAAGCAAGAAGTCGTTGAAACAAGGCCCTACTTTCTTTGTGAACGAAGCTCACCTGAGTGACCATCAGAGTCACAAAAAGAAGAAAAGCAGAGCCACGAAGAAGCGCCATTATGCTTATTTCTTGCGGCGGACGCATCCCTGCCTGCGGTGAACTCTCTTTGGCGTGACAGCAGCGCCTCTAGCCAAACATAAACAAATAGGTCTGCGTTGCAGCATCATGCTTGAAAGTCCTGGTTTCACCAAAGTCAGCTATCAGACGGTGCTGTTTCGAAGTCTTTCCCGAGCTTCCGTGACTCGACAACCTCCATTTTACTTCCTCTTTTTACCAGATGGTTTACTGTTTACTGCCTTCTACCAGAGCTTGGGCCTGGGCTAGAGGGGTGTCATGAGTACATGATTCACATTCAATCAGCCGCACAGGATTCACGGACTCCGGTTTGCTTTCTTTTGATAACGCCATAGTATCCAAAGAAATGAGCTCTAGTGACGGCTCTTTCGATGACTTCCAGGCTCGAGCTGTCTGAGATGGGGCACCATTTTCCTGCTTCTTCGTGCAACACACTTCCTCTTCTGTTCAAGCTCTGCTCTAGCAGCAAATAACAGGCGGCTGGTTACTATACTGATATTCGACGGCGAGCGTCCTACTCCGCTGTAATCGCGCGGCGGCCTTGTGCGCGTCGAAAGAGAAGCCCGTTCGAACGCGGCCCCTCTGAGGCTATGTCGATCAACGAGGAATGGCTCGTTCGTCAAGTCTAGAGTCTTTACATGATATCAGGCTAAGATTTCACGTGGTTCCAATCAATTGTCAGTGAAGAATAAGGTGCATGCCCCAAAGCAAAGGCGCTGGAAGGCAGAAAGTTGCGCGCACCGTTCAGAGCGAGGCAAGCCTAGGAGAGCAAAATAATTGAAGCAGGTGCCACCAAAAGCAGGGCTGAAGAGCAAGATTTCTGGCGCTGCGTCCTCGCGCGGTCCCTATGAGCTTCAGCGACTTGCTTGCTTCGAAAATGTTTGACAGGGGCTGAATGATCTGCTCGGTGGCAAGCTTTGCGTGGAAAGCAGGAAGAAGAAGCGAGGGTTCGGGTTAGAAGGACAAGGTTGCTGAAAGGGTGGAGCATGCAGCTGAGCTTGATTCGAACGAGTAAAGGGTGGATCTGCTTCTCTGAAAAGTTTTTGCTATTTGACTCGACAAGTAGCTTATCATGTCTGATTCTGCGAGAGGGGAATGCAAGTTTCAAGCAGGAGACGTTGTTGAATACAAGAGTTCCAAAAAGGGCTTACGGGGGTCTTGGTTCAGATCTAAGGTAAGAAAGAAAATTAATCATTCATGCATCTTTTGTCAGCCTTCATGAGTATGATTGCTGAAGATGGGGGAGCGGTCATCTTACCAAACCAATCTTGGACCTGTGATTGGAATTGCCTCGTGTATTGCACTCAGAGACGCTAGAAGATACTTCATTTCACTGGAAAGAGATTGACCTTCCTCTTCTCTGGCTAATCATGCAAGGCTTACTTCTAAGTTTCCATACCAGCATCTAGCACAATTAGTTTGCATCACCAGGCCCCATTTGTATCGATGGACATAACAGGACATAGCGATAGGGACCAACTTTCTCGTATGTTGCATCGGTAGACTGCTGACCAGATCATTTGGATATGGTCAGGAGTCCAGCTGATAACACTGAGCTATTCTGCACAGATCGTAGAGGTCTCCCATGGGCAGGCCCAGGATACTAGATATCTGCACCTCAGATGCCTTGACTTCCATGATGGTAAGGCTTCCATCCCTCCAAGTCAATATAGGATCAAAGAAACTTCGACAGAAAAGCTAAAAGCAGAATCTCTTACCCTTTCGTGATGTTGCATAGTTGGATCTCAGCCACTTGTCAATGGCAGGTTGGATCAAACAGGAATCTCCTCAACAGAATCAAGGGAAGCACCTGAGCCATCAGGACAGAAGAATGAAAAGACTTTTCAGTCTTTTGAGAACATATTGCGCTTGAGAAACTCAATAAGTCAGGATCTCTTTGCCAAAATTAGGCTCTACCGAATGCTCAGTATCGGTAGAACTCTTGGACTGGTTGTTTAAACGCACAGCTCGACAATAAGTATCGGGGTCTTCAGAGGGACCTGTCTGCTGAAAAGGCTCTCAAAATCAGCCTTATCTGGCAGGAACAGGGCAGAAAGCTCATCACTTCTGCTTGGCAAGGGGCCAGCTGCAACAGATGAGAAATGGATTCCAGTCGAGTTGTGGTCAAAGAAGCCGTCAATAACTCTGATATTTAGCCCCTGTCGTCCTCAGTTTCTTTGCTGACATATTTTGGAAGATTGACAAAACGATACGAGCATTTGCCAAGCTTTTTGATTGAGATCTGGAGTCAACCTGTCTTGCAAACTCCTCCTCCAGTTGACTGCCAAGAGGAGCCGCACGTTGTTCCTCTGTTTGAGGCTTGCCCGACGTCATCCCCGAGCAAAAAGACCAGGGTGCTGACGTCACGGCCTGAGCCGCCACCCATCTACCGTTCGACGAAGCCGCTGACAGAGCCCAAGCATGACGCGGACAAGCTGTTCTTCCATCGGACGAGAAAGTGAGAAAGCTGAAACGCACTGCATGCGAACATCAAGATGGACCAACGTGATCAAAATTCTTCGTTTAGTTCAGAAAGGACTACAGTTTTAGCATGAATCATTGTAAAATATAGGGTCCTACTCAAAATTTATTGAGCGGCTAATCAGAAACATGAAAGTTTTCTTCTTTCGAATATTTTGCACCGGTAGGTATTGACCCAAACAGCTAGTAGAGAAGGACACTCTAACGAGATGCTCCGCTGCAGCGAACGAGAGCTAAAGATTTGTCGTCTTCACACCTGAAAATATCCATGTGGCGTGAAGAGTCTCTTCGCTTGTCGCGCTCAACCTTCGCATACTCTGATGTGATTGCAGTCAGGGAGCAATATAAATTCCCCCAGAGTTTGAGCAGTTCCGTTCCTCTTCCGCTCAGGTACGCTGTCGGCGATGCCGTGGACGCGTTCATCAACATCTGCTGGTGGGAGGTGCACATCACCGCTCTGAACGGCCAGGAGGCACAGGTAAGCGTCAGAAGCCAGATTGTCAGGTCTTCGGCATTCGATTATGGCCCGCTTCAACGCGAAAGAACGAACGGGGAAAGCCTGGACTGCAGTAAAAGTGGGATTCAAAACCCCCTAAATTGTCGACTCAGTGTCCGGTGGCCATGCTGCACTAGCGAAAGCAAAAGTCGAAGCTCGTGGTCAAGGCAAAATCAAGACGCAAACTATGTTCAGTCTGACAGCTATCTTCTTTGGGTCAAAGAAAGAGCTTCACTAATTTTCCTCAGGTGGAAGCCAAGCAGCCTCCTGAGGGTGAAGGCGGTGCTGCCTCCGTCAGCTTCAAGCATCTGCGGCCGACGTTCATCTGGAAGAAAGACACGTGGACGCTGCCCCCGACCAAGGATGGCCTACCTCCGCTGGGAGTCTTCGAAGGTGAGCTAGACAAAGCATTCTCAGGGTTCGACGTACAACTCACATCGGTGTACATCCATCATGTCTCAAAGAGGGCCGATAGGCACTCCCGCCAAATTTAGCCGGTGCTGCATCGAGCGTCAGCTGGGCTTTCTTGGGCCGCAAGTGGATTTTAAAAGATCACTGGAAAATTCTTAGGTTCTTGCTCCCGAAAGGCAGATTTTGCAGCTACGAAGGAAAGACTCCTTCAATGAAGAAGTTTGTCAGATTCCTTGTAAAAGTAGGAAAAGCTTTCAAGACTTTCAAGAAGCGAAGTCCAACATTGAGCGTTTAGGTATTGATGCAGATTCTAAACGCTCACCTTTCAGTATCAATTTTTCTCTCCTTCCAGTTGCGCCCGAAAGATTTTCACTCCCGACCGGTTTCCTTCCCCGGTCGGCGAAGTCCGACCAACCGGCTGACGATACTGTCACCGCCACCAGCCTGGCAGCCGAAGACATCCGGCGAGGTTTCGAGACGCTCCTCGAGAACGTGCCCCGGAGAAGTCACCCGGGCGGATTCCAGCGCGAGCTCCGAGGGTTATCCAAGCAGAAGATCCAGCCGTTCCCGACAAGTCCGCCAGGCAGCGGAAGCGGCGGAGCGCCCGCGCGCACGCGCGCGCTCTCGAAAGGCTCGAGCGGCAAGGAGGGAACAAAACAGAAAGATCTGGAGCCTGTTAGCGAAGGCTTGGGCTGGGGCGGGAAAGCAAGTCGCGGCCCCAGAGTCCGGAACGGTTCCGCAGAGAGCGGAACAGCGGAAAAGCCGTCGGGTGGGAACGAGAGCGATCGGCCCAACGTCACACCTGTGCGTCAAAAGCAGCCGAAGAAGCCGCAGAAATGCAAAGAGGAGCCGGCGGCTGAAAATCCCGGTCAGTTTCTCCCAGATCTCCTCGGGGGATGGGAAAGCGTGTCGGTTGACGTTGCCCGGCGCGCCTTCGAGCAGCTGAACGGGTGGACGCCCGACGAGGCCATGATGCGGAGCCGGTGCGTGGACATACGGGCGTGGTACCGAGCAAAGTTTGAGAAGATGCTCCAGAGCACGCGCCGCTTCGTGCGGTTCCTGAGGGCAAACAAGCACGAGTTTAAGTCGGAGCGCTGGGACCGGGGCCACGTGTCAGTCGGAGACTGGCCACCGCAGAACGGCAAGGGGCAACTAGAGGCGGACGACAAAAAGAGCGGAGCAGGTACGGTGAGCGCAGCTGCTGCTGACGTAACGAAGCGGATGTCCGGGGGAAAGGAACCGCAGCCCAAGCAGAGAATAAAATGCAGTGAGGGCCGGGGCCGCGCAACAGAAGAGCGGGCGCTCAGCGCGCGCGATCGCCAGCTTCACTTCCCCCGGTCGGAAACTGGCCCCACGCTGAAACCTTCCCTACATGGGCCAGCGTTGTGCGAGGGCGTCAAAAAAGCTAAAAGCAAGCGGCGCTTCTCTACCGACCCTCTCCCAGTTCTGGCCCTGCCGTGCCCCCTCCTGGAATCGCGCCAGCCCGTCGCACAGCCCGCCATGCTACCCGGTACAGACCGGCTACCAGTTCTCGCCCTACCATGCCCCCTCCTCGAATCGCGCGAGACGGTCGCACAGCCTGCGATGCTGCCCGGTACGGACCATTCGGTTGCAAAGCAGGCAGAAACGTCGACGTACGATCCCACGGCTCCTCTCCAGCATCATTCTAGAGCCCAAACGAGTCAAGAAGGGTTCTATGACGAGACTGAAGCCAAGTCGATAGAGCGGGGCTCTCGAGTACGGATGGAACCATCTCTATCCGGGTTGGGAATGGGAGAAAAACAAAGAGCGGAAGCGGAAGGTGGAGCAGAACATGAGGCGGAACCAGAACCTCAAGGTGAAGAGAAAGTGAACTTGCAAGCGAGTGTAAGAGCGGAAGGGGAAGACAAGTTTGGGACTGAAGCGGACGCCAAAGTGGGGGAAGAGGTGAAAACAGGAGTGGAGTTGTCGGCGCCTTCTGAGGGAGCCTCTATGGATCCTAGCCTCGGTGAACGGCGGTCTTGCAGTACGGAAAGGTGAGGATGTGTATGAAACTGAGCTCAAAGCAGCAATCTGTAACAAGAAGGATTTCGAGATCCCCAATTCGTCACCACAACAGGATTCCCAACCTATCAAAGAAACGATCACGAGAAGAAGCAAGCGGCATCTTTCGTGGCTTTTCGACATAGAATGTTTTTGCTCAAGTAAAGAATGTTTTTCTAATGATTAACAATGTATGTTTGAAAATATTCTGCTTTTTTCCGCTTCTCTGTTAGCTTCTTTGAGTTTCAGAAATAAAAGAGACCAGACCTTTGAACCTCTGCAAGTTTCACTTCGACAAGCGGAAATTGTTGAAATCATCGTCGACATCTGCCAAGTACGTACCGAATTGAAATTGTTTTTGTTTTGGCTGCTTTCGATTCTAAGAATAGCAAGTATCTTAAAGGTCTCACCAACGGACGAATGAAAGCGGCGCCGACTTTGTCAGCTGCCTGGAGCCGTCCGAGGCCGAAGACTCGGCGCGCGCGTTGCTTGACACGTGGACGCCGGACGCGCTGGACGAGGCACGTGGGCTGTTCTACATGGTGAACGGGTGGCTGCCGGACGAGGACGAGCTGGGGGCGGTAGAGACGTCCGAATGGTTCCGACAGAAGCTGGAGCGACTGGTGAAGGCCGGGGAAAGATGCTGTCAGATAGAAGGCGGGGAGGGCGTGCGTTTCGTTGCGTGGGTAGGTGGAGAGGCGGCGCAACTCAATGAGAAGGGGGGAACAGAGGAAGGCGATGCTGAAGAACGATGCCAAGAGCGGGGAGCACGGGATGCGGCAGATTTGGGCGACTTTAGAGGTGGGAAAGCCGAGCCTTCTAAGGGGGAAACAACGGAAACGGTTAGGGGGGCAGTCGACGAAGAGCCAAGCGTCCCATTGACGGCGATGCAGAAAACCTCCGAAGACCCCTGCGAAGCGAGTAAGATAGAAGACGATGCAGAGAAACAGAGAGGAGAGTGTCCAAATCTGGATTCAGAGGGCTCCCCAAAAGGCAAAGCGGCGGATGGGGGCGAGGTTGAAGCCGGCGGTGAGGGCTCTGGTGAGGGCGTTTTCGAGCGAGCCTTCGAGAATTTTGTAAATGAGACAAGCGAAGCCTTCTGGACGGGTGAGAGTGAACAAGAGTGGGCGAATTCGAATCAGAAGGGCGAGTCGGATTTAAAAGCTTCCCGAATGGAGGCGAGCGAGCAGGGTGCGGAAGTTTCTTCGGAAAGCGCAAGGGTGGAGCCTAGTTCTGGGGCTGAAACGCAGGCGGGCTTGATGTGGACGCAAAAAAGCGCAAGGGGTCTGAGAAGGGGAAAGGAGGTGCCTTCGGAGGCACCGGCGATCGGGTCTCTGGGCCCTGAGGATTCTGAAAATGCGGCGCTCGCATTGGAAGACGGGCAAAGAAAAGACGCAAAGGAGGAAAATTTGCAACTAAAGGATTCCAAAAACGAAGCGGAAGCGCAGAGAGGAGCCGAAGCAGGAAGGGAGCCGGAAGCGGAGCCGAGAGATCAGGCGGAACGGGGCGCGGAAGCAGAAGAAGAAGCGCTGGACAGCGAAGCGAAAAGGGAAATAGAAGTTCCTGTGGAGAAGGAGCAGCCTCCGATTACAGCTAATATTCAAATGGACGGATTGGAAGCGCTAGAAGTTGCGCGGACTGTGGTGAGGATGGAAATGTCAACCGAAATTGATGACTTTCCGCTTGCTCTGCGGTTTGGCTTGGGGAAGGCCGGGAAGGTGGCTGTCGCAAAGAGCGGTGTGACCGAAGGTTTAGAGGTTTTAGGTACGGGCAGAGTGTGGGCCGGAGACAGCAGCCCAACGGATGCGGGTTCAGTCCAAGACGGTGCAGCGCCAGCGGTGTCCGCTCCGGAAGAACTTCCGGCGGAAGAACGGAAGCCCGTCGTTAGTGACTTGGCAGGGCAGAACCTGGAACACGCGCAGAACCGTGACGACTTCCGCAAGCATCTCCTGCGCAACGTCTGCGCTCTCGCCAACGCAAGCCGGGAGCGGAAGGCGGAAGCGGTGCGGAGGATGGGTTTCCGCCGGCGGAGTCCGTTTATCGCGGAAGCCTTCGACGCGCAGAGCGCGGCCGCGGTGATCGAGGCAGTGGAACGTGCGGGGCTTCCTTGCCTGTCGCGGAATGCGGCGACGGGCCGTTTTGAGGTGGGGCGGAATGCTAACGGAACGGCGAGACACAGGATGCCGGACGGATGGTACGAAGAAGTGGTACGTGAGGTTGGGTACCGAGGTGCATCTAGCCAGAAGGCTGCAGCGGAAAACGACGGTGAGTCTGTAACTTTAACTTCAGAGTTGACTTGCTGCTAACCCATCCTAGATGCCCTAGATGAATACACTGGCTGCTACCTTAGTATTTCAAAAGCGTAAGTACAGTCCCTCAATCTAATAAGATGGACTTCAGACCTTAAATCAGGGCGCGCACGCGCTTCATGCTGTAAGCTAAGTGTTCAGATTCTTTGCCCAATACTGTTTCAAAAGTCGGGATTGCTTTTGAAAAACATACGTACTGTCTCGTGATCTATCGGTGCAGTACGCTGCACAAGGCGTTTTGTTTTGGATACAATGTGCATCTAGTATGAAGCGTTCGCAAAACAAATGTTTTACAGAGTACCCTCCCTCATTTTCACCTTTAGCAGACACCCGAGATAACTTTCGAGACCTATCTAGCCACTGCGGAGCCCATATAATGGCAAGCTACAGTAGCGTCTGTCTTTTCTTTGACTTACCTTGTATTTGCAGGGTGCTCAACTGGAACCGGACTCACGACGCGGGAGAAAGTGAAGGTCTACAACTTCGTCGGAAAGCTGATGCAGGATGTTGTTGTGATGCTTCAAAGAATGCAGAAGGTGAGACTACGCGCTTGAAATTCTTCATGATATGTAACCTGGGGAGATCTGTGCAGGTGAATTAATCTGTTTTCGTTCTTGCACTATTCCAAAATTTGGCAAAGGACGTCCTCGATACTTGAAAAGCCAGCATCTTACTCAGACAGGCTGGTGCAGAGCTTAGATCCTATGTCTAGGCTTCGAACTGTTTTCCTTCCTACTCGCCACTTCAAAGCCTGTTTTTTCCGAAAGCTGTGAGGATCTGGCACCCTTTGAATTCTCCTAGGATTTTGCTGATGATTTTGCTGAATTTTGAATACGTACAGATTACCTTGAATCTCGTTTCATAAAGCAAATAAAGTAACAAATCTAAACAATACAGGGCACGAGAGTGGAGACTGTGACAACAAAAGTTCGAAGCTAGGAAAAGAACGGGTGCCATCCCACTTGCATGACTTGCGTAGGATGTATATCTGTATTCTGCTCTACTCCGCATCGATCATCGACAGATAGTTTGTATTTGAGGAAGTGAGCATAGCTTTTGAGTGTCAAGAGTGTAGGGCAAGATCCGAATGCTTACTCCCAGCTCTGCTTTCCTCAGGCGGAACGCAACGTGGTTGACACGTCCTCTTTGCAAGACGGAGTGGTGCTACTTTCAGCAGAAAACTGCGCGCGCGCGGCCGCGAGAGATGGTCAAGCGGACGGGCAGCGCGGTGACTACGTCCAAGAAGAGCCTGGCGAGCAGAAACTCGACGCTCCGTACGAGGCGGCTGGCAGATTGGATACAAAGCTCGTAAGGGGAGAAGCAAGCTGCACGACGGGGCTGAAGGAAGCTCACGAGCTCCTGCGGAAGTTGGGGGGAGCGGGAAGCTTGGGCCTCGAGAACGCGGCTGCCTCCGTCCTGAGACTGAGAGCCGCGGAAGTAGCAAACGAAGCCCGGAACATAAAGGAAACGGAAACGGATGGGGAAGAAACAACTCCGAGGCTTTTTCAGGGAAGAAAGGAGCCTTTGCGCCCGGCAAAAGAGGAATCCGAGGGAGCCGCTTTTGAGAACGCCAGCGAGGGAGAGAACCGGCAGCTGCATTTGCGGTTCGAAGACTTACCGCTCGCTGTGTTACTAAACTCAAGCAAGGCCGGGGGGATGGCAGAGGCGGGTGGCGGAGGATCTCGTGCAGATCGGGAAGCGGAGGGGATCTACCCAGGTACGGTTCTACCTGCGGGCGAGGATTTGCAAGAAGAGAGGCCAACCGTCAAAGACATGTGTGCTGGAGCTGATGACGTGGCGGAGCCGGAGCGTGCGAAGAAGACACGGGTCAGCGGGCGCTTTCTGCGCGCAGTGTGCGCGCTTGCCAACGCGCGCAAAGAAGAGAAGGCGGAAGCCCTGAGAAAGATGCAGACTCGTCCCGGAAACAGGTTCTCTGAGGGTGGGTTCGACGCGCGGCGCGCCCTCACGCTGCTCGAGGCCGTCGAGCGCGCAGCTCTTCCGTCGCTGACGCGGAACGCGGCGACGGGCCGTTTCGAAGAAGGGCGCACAGCTGACGGAATCGCTAAAACGAGGCTGCCGGATGGTTGGCACGACGCAGTAACATTCGAAGTTGGTTACAAGGCGACTTCTGCTGAGCGGGCGTCTCAAGATATCAGGAGTAGTTTGGGTAAGCTTTCCAGCAACCGTGGCCTTTCATTCTGCGTGCGTACTCCTAAGAGTCGACTTCCGGCATTCTAACCCTGAGAGTCTTTGCTGGTCTGTCTGCGCTCAAATTGGGGAAGGCGGCAGACGCAGGGCTTCGCTATATAAAACTGGAGGGGTTGCAGGCGTCAAAAGTGCAAGGTTTCCGGCGGTAGTTCCTTGACTCGAGGGTGGAGGCAGACCTAGCAAGATGTTGCTTGATTTCTTAACTTGAGGAACCGTCTGGACGAAATGACGAGAAGTCTTATCTTATTGCACCCTATGTTGAACATGAACGTCCTCGCTCTGTAAATGCAAGAAGCTGGCTTTAATCCCTCATAGGAGCTTTATGTTCCTCATGAGTCTTGCTCAGCTGTGTCTTTCTTTTGTTACAGGTCCCGGTCCCGTAATGACGCCAAAAGAGAAGAACTATATGAGCAACTTCGTTGGGAACCTGGTCCAGCAGGTCAATAAAGTCCTCGAAAAGTTTGAGCAGGTGAGAAAAAATCCTCCCAAACTAAGTCTTTTCCAGATGTAGACTGTCGTTTCCTGGATCACGAACGATGTCGCGGTGTTCTTCTAAGCATCAAGTTCTGTACTGACGAATCAAAGTGCGAAACTGGCTTATGGTCCGCATGATGTAAAGAAGGACTACAATCTGCTCAAGCCACTGATTGAAATCAGCTTTTTGATGTCATTGAGCCTAACATCGAGTCGTGTAGGTTATAAAATGCGCTACCGCAAAAGACGTTTCAAGATTCGAAGTCGTTCACATTCTTCTCGCAAATCCTTGCTGACCAACAAGCAACTTGACTGAGTCCGATTTCGTACCTTTCAGGCGGAGGACGCCGCCTCGGAGTGTCTGCAGTCGCTGGGTCTGGAAAGTAGGAAGCCGCTTCTGCTTTTGAACGAGGCCCCGCGTGCGAAAGAGTGTGCGAGCAAATCCCAGCTCAGAGGCCAGCATATCAATTCAAAGCAGATCAAGAGAAAGCCAACAGCAGCCAAAACGGGTTTAACTGAGGGGACGGCAACTGATCTTTCGAGCAAAGAGGGCAATCCGCGGAAGAGAGCCAAGCACGGCAGCGTCAGCATAGATCCTGATCTTCTGCGCCCCGTTGGAATCCAAAACCAGCCGTCGAGCAAGGCCAGTTTTGAAGGGGCTGACCCGCGCACTTTGATACAGGGTGCTCTTCCGATAGACTCCGCTTTGCGCAGAGGAATAGAAGTTCAGGGCCCAGGAGCGCAAGTCGAAGCGGCGGCAGCAGCGGTAGAGCCATCACAGATTCAGACATGTTCCGGCAAATCTAAAGGGATCAAAGTTCTGGAAAATACTGGGCCGTGGGCGAGCCTGGGCCTCGCCGGGGATCCAGCATTCCCTGAGCAGTCCTCAATCGGAAGGGGCCCCACGGAAAACGAAAGGTGTGAGAAGCGCGACAAGAATACGACATTGCTAAAATCTGCTTCCGCTCCTGAAGAAAGCGAGCCAGAGCCAATAGTTCTGAACGAGTTTTTCCCGAAGAAACGTGCAACCGGGGCTAGAGACGTGGCAGAGTCGGCGCGCCGCGCGCCCATTCATAAGCGGCCCCCCGGCCGCCTGCTGCAGATGATATGCGCGCTCAGCAACGAGCGCCGGGAGCGGAAGGCCGGAGCGCTGCGCAGAATGCAGTCTGAGCGCGCGTCGAACCGGGTCGCGCTGGACGCGCGCCGCGCGCTCGCGCTGTTGGAGGCGGTGGAGCGAGCCGCGCAACCATACCTGGCACATAACGCGGTGACGGGCCGGCTCGAAGTGAAGGAGAGCGCCAACGGGAGCAAGAGAGTGACGATGGGCGCATGGCATGACGCTGTGGTTCGGGAAGTGGGCTTCAAAGGTTGCTGGGCTCATTTGGCCCCCAAGGAAGATGGGCAAAATACAGGTTGGCTATCCTCTCTAACCAAGGTTCAGAGATGTTATACATTTACTAGTAAGTATCTGCTGATGTCGAACAAGGCAGAGTCCGTTGAAGTCTGTTGCTTGCGCAGGGACAGTGGATGCTTAGAGAAGAGCAGAGTCTGCAAACATGAACAAATTCCACTTCGGCTGTCCAGACTCTTCCACGTGTTCTTCCATGGAGCGCTTTTGGCTGCTCCTGACAATGATGTGATGTTCTCTACTTGATCGAACGTCCACGGCTGCGCTGGAAAAGCAGTCCTCCTCCAATCTGCATTTGTTTTTACGATTTTAGGGCTAGGCTAACAAGAATAGAAGTTGCTTTTTTGCAAATTGCAGCGGAGCTTCTTTCAAAGAATTCTTATGCAATTGAACTGGTGCGCTTATGCAGAGGCCAGAGAGGATAGAAAGCTGACAAAGGAGGCGAAGAGATATATGGGCCAATTCGTTGAGAAGCTAGTACAGGAGGTTCTTCACATGCTGGAGTGCATGAGTCAGGTAAAAACTCTGCATTCTCATTGAAGATGCTAAAATAGACGAATAAATCGGATTTCCCTGTAGTGTTTTGTTTCCTGCCTCTGCTAACATCCACATGTTGGTCCTCAGTTCGAACTTCATTAACGCTCTCGAACAAGATATACCGGGTCCTTGCCTTGTTGGAATGCAGATCAAGTGCTTGAACCTACTCTCAGGGAAAACTGTAACCGTCATTCAGAAAATATCTTTTGCTGCTCATGAGTTGACGTACGACTCTTGAGGGACGCACAATGATCTGTCTTACCAACAGTTATTCCGGTCATAGGGTGATGCTCTTGGTCAAGTAAATTTGGCTTGAAGTGAATATTCTAGCTTGCCATCAACCGACTAAGTCCCGTTTGATAATCGTTCAGGAGGAAGTATCCCTTATGGGAGCGCTGTCGATGCTGGGTCTGGAGACCGGAAGCCCGCTCCTCGCAATACCGAACGAGGCCGCACGCGCAGCCGGGAGCGATCACAAACCTGCAAAAAGGAAGCCCGAAGATCAGGCGTTGAAACGAAAGGAGAAGCGCAGCGAAACCCGGTGGGGGGAGGACGTCCAAGAAGGTAGTACACCAGGGGAATGCGTCGGTGAGGGCCGGCCAATGAAGAGAGCGAAGCACGAATCCCTCACCCAAACTCCAGAGTTTCCATCCCGTTCTGAAACCCAAACTCGTCCATCGGAACCAGCCTCTTCTGGGCAATTCGGGATGCAAGCAGGTCGGCAAGATAGCGTCCGGTTGATGATGAGGCCGGGCGCTTTCGAGAGGAACGGAAACGGAAGCGCGGAGATTGGCGAGCTGTTCGCGGCCGCCTGTGCGATCTTGACGAAAGCTGGGATTCCGGCGGACACCGGCGGAATGCAGGATGACGAGCTGACCCGCCTGCGGAGCGCGATGCGCCCGGTGTTCCGATCCAGCGTGCGGTGGTTCAACACCGCCCTCGAAGACCTCAGGGATTACGCCACCGAGCCAAACCCTCCGGCGGGTGGCCCCGCGGCCGCGCCCGCCCGCGACTGGGAGGCCGACTTCGAAGCCGCGCCCGACGTGCTAAAGCTGCTGGGCGTGCTCGCCAACTTCGACCGGTCGTACGCCGCGCTCCTGGGCGCGCGCGCGGTCGCCGTCCATCGGGCGGTCGCGAGCACCATGGAGAAGTGGAATGTGCGCCCCAGAGAAGAGGCGACAGGGGAGGAGCGCCCGGGGAAACGAGCGCGCGCGGATAAGAATGCGGGGAAAGAAGAGCGCGCGAACAAAGAAGCGTCCGCGCACAAAAGCGCCCCGGGAAAATCTCGCCCGGTGGAAAGAGCGCGCGGTCCGGCCAAAGAAGCGGTGGGAGTGCCTCAGGAGACGGGTGGTATGACCGGGGAGCTGCCGGAGGGTGTCCAGGTTGTTACCTCGGGCGTTGCGGATTTTTGGCGGCCGTTTGTGCGCTCTGCGCGTGAGAGAGGGTTTGCGGGCGACAAGTCAAGAGAGCCAAGCGGTGAGGCAGGAATTAGCGAAAGTCCGGCGGGCGCCGGAGAGAGCTTCGGAAGAGAGCGTGGCCGACGTAGAGCGACAGAATGCGGAACTGAAAGACACTTTGGGACAAGGAAAAGCAACCGCAGAGGGTCACGTCGAGGCGGACAAGCAGTCCAAAGGTTCTCCTGCGCATGAAGTGGCGATGAGAGGTGCTGAATACGGCGCTGGAAATGAGCAGGATCGACGTTCTTCCCCTTCATGGACCGAGCCTTCCTTTCTGAAAACCTGGAGCCCTCCGCCCTCACGACCGGGGAACGCAGTCCCAAAATTCGGTGCAACGTCCCAAGGAGCGCCACAAGACAGTTTTTCCGCTTCAACCGGTGCTAAAGTCAGAGAGCCTGTCGATAGCCCGCGGTTCAAACCCTGTACCGGTGTAGGTCCTTTCCCAGTGCCCGAAACAGTTGCAAACCTCGGCGGTGCTGAAGCGGGGGATCTCGCTGCGGGAAACAAAGACGCAAAACGTGTAGAAGGTTTGCTGAAGCTGGGGCCAAAGAGGGGAACGAAGTAGGATGCAAACAAAGCTCCCGAATGGAGAGTGTCAGCTCCCCTGAGGTCACGGTTTCCCGGCCAACCTCCGCGCCAGCAAGGGCGGGGGCGCGCGGCGACCCGGTTCTACTCCGCGACGCGTGCGTGCTGGTTAACGCGACGCGCGGGCAGAAGACGGAGGCTCTCTGGAAGATCCACGGGGCTCGGAGGCTGAGAGATAACAATCCCGGGGAGGCGCTGCTGACGTCAGAGGAGACGGAGGACCTCGCGCTGCTCGAGGTGGTCGAGCTGGCGGCCGCGCCGCACCTTGCCCGTGACCCCGCGACGGGGCGCTTCGCGGCCCCGCGCGCGTCCGAGCCGCGGGGCTGGACTGCGAGCGCCCTCGTGTGGATGGAGCGGCAGCGCATCGCGGCGCGGGGATACGATGGGGATAGCGAGGACCTCAAAATAGTAAGGCGAAGTCATTCGCAGAATCTACAAACAGATGCAGCGCCCATGACTCTAACCGAAAAATGTAGATACGAAACTCTGGTAGGGCGTTTTATGGAAATGAGATGTCCAGTACACGAGTAGGAGTAAAGCGATTCGTCTTGTCATTGTACTGCTGCTCGATCTTATTCGAATCGGCCGTTCATTTGGCGGTCTTGATCCTGCTTTAGACATCGACCAACTTCTTGCTTTCAAAACCGTAACAATGGCTTACAAGCAACGAACTACTTGCACACTATAATCTCTGCTTCTCTTCTTTGAATGACCAGAGAGTTTTCCTGTCGTGTTCCATGGGTTTGTGCGACGGGTAAGATTACTAGTGAAACGACGCAAGTTTCCCGAACGCCGACGAGCTTCTGATTCTTACGCTCGGCCTACTTGCAGCCGTTGTTGACGGAGGGAGAGTGCAGCCACGTTTCCTCGGAGATGGAGAGTCGTGCTTCAAGATTGGTCCAGGAGGTTGTGCGTGTTCTTGAACGATCGTAGTAGGTGGGAACTGATCTTCTTACGGTGGCTAATCTCAAGCAAGCTCTTGCGCGACAGGTAGTTTGCGCTCTGGTCATGATGTGCTTTCCCCCAGAGCAATCAAGAAGACGTTGATCAGACCAAACCTTCTTGTTCGCTGCGTCGCAGATTCAGTACTCTGTGCGGGCAACACCACTTTGAGATCGATCAAGTAGAAGCATCAATTCAGGTCTTCGCAGCCAGATCATCTTCTGTCAGCTCTCAAAGTGCTATTGCCAATCTATTCAAGTGCTCAGCCCCTCGATTTTGAGGCCTGTCGGACGGTTGATTTACGACTTCTGGACTTTGCAATCTGTTTCATTGGGTGATGGTTGAGTTCTACTTGACGAGAGTTGATTATTGGTCTGATCCCGGATCCTGCGCTCACAACCGTTATTATCGCTTGGAGGTGCGGGAGATCGGCCAGCCACCTGCCGAAGAGAACTGAATAATCAGATGCAGCACAGTGTTAAAAGGCCTGGCTCAGTCGTGTAGCGACGTGCTGGATCAGAGGAACAAGTCGCAATAGATCAATAAACGCTCATACTTTATTCTGAAGAGTTACCACATGAGCTTCACATAGAGTTTCAGCGGCAATGGGAACGAGGAGTATAGTTCACCAGCTATTTCAAATCAACCTCATGAATGCGCTCAGCATCTTATCACACAACATAGGCTGCGAACGGTTGAATGAAGCCATGGGGTCGAAAGACGTCTCTTTATTATATGTATACGTCTTGATGGATCAGAGAGTTAACTTCACGGTTAGGCTGTTATATCTATGAGCACTTCGTGTCAGCGTTGCACTACTACCTACAGTTGATCAAATCAAAGCGCCATAACTCCCTGTGAAACGGCTAGCAAATACTTCAACGTGTTCGCATAAGTCAAAGCCTTACACACTATTATTCTCAAGCGCCATTTGATGTCTTGTAGATTGGTGACCTGCAATCGCTTGAGCCATCTGACCTCCGTACCAGCTGAAACACCTTTTTGACCAAAAGGTTTGCGGAAAGAAGAAGTGTCTTTCAAACGACCTATGCAGACGAGCCAAGCAGCGCGCGCGGTCGCGGATTAAGGCGGTCGCGGCCGCCGTCGCCGTCAACCAAGCGCGTGGGCTAACGCACCTGCGTTGAATAGACATAAACTTACGTCAGGTCACATCGTTGACGATACGCGCAAGATGTTTGGAAAGGAAGACCTGATACGACGTGATGAGCGCCAAGCTTGAAAGAGAACACGAAGGACTGCGAGCGATCTTGAGCGCCCATCAGCAACGCAGAAGCATTCAAAGCACCACCAGCAGCCCTCGGGCTGCACAAACAACCTGAGCATTCTTTTGCGTGGCTCGGCTCCGCTCAGGAGGAACCTTGAAGCTTACTTTTGACGTGAGAGCAGGAATATATTTTGCCATATTTCTAAACATTCAATCATTGTAGAAGCAGGAAGGAAGGCGCTGGCCATGCAAGCGACTCTTCTGGTTCAGAAGCACGGTGCAAAGCTAGGCCGGCTCAATCTTGTAAATTCTGCTGAGCTAGCAGCATTCTAATTCATCTGTGAGTCGAGAACACATCTGAAGACGCCATGGCAGCTTCGAAGGAAGCGAGGCAGGAGTGCAGCTTTGAGATCGGGGATGTGATTGAGCACAGAAGCTCCGTGGTTGGGATCAGAGGAGCGTGGTTCCTATCAAAGGTATGCTTTGCTAGGTTAGACATGGTAGACTCCGAGCAATAGAGCAATCTGCTTCATGCAACTCTTTCATCAATGAGCCTGGCCATTCAATCTGGCTCTGCAACTCTTCATTCAAGGATGCAGAAAGATCATCTGTCTAGGCAGGTCAAGTGAGGGGATTGAGGGAACTGATTTGGGAGTTTGTCAGACTCGAGGATGGTGCATAGAAAGCCTTTCCGAAAGGAAACCTTATATAATTTGGAATATTAGGTAATATCGTCTCTCTGACCAGGTCATCAGAGGGGTTCGAAGGAATTCATTTGAACGTTTGTCAGAATCCACCAATGTTGCATGGACAGCCCTTTCGATAGGAAACCTTCGTATGGTTGAAGCATTCAATAAGCTATTAGAGCCTTGTCGCAAGGCTTGCGAAGAATCAGGCTTGCTGGGAATCTGTAGAGTAAGTTCTGCCAGTTCCTTCTGATTACAGAGGAAGATAAATGAGGTTTTGCTGTTGCTGAGCTGAACTTTTACGCTGGCAGATTATGGACGTTTCGCGTGGTGAGACAGCAGCATCGAGATATCTGCACGTGCATTACTTGGACTTCAATGACGGTGAGGCGTTTTTTCCTATTCAAGTACATGTGAGTCGAGTATATCGGCAGGAGACGGACAAGGACCGGACTCCTAAACAATATGAGCCTTTGCCAAAATTGACTCGAGCAATCAAGAGCTTGGGACAAGAGCGTGCTGGAACTCAAATTGCTTGGAAGCTTGAGAATTTGCTGAGTATTACCCACTGTAAGAAGTGTCCGACCAGCGAGGACGACTACACCACGGCATTCTTATATAGTGCATCTGGGCCGCTGTTTCCTTCAATGTTGAAAATTCTTCCCCTCGTGTCCACATGTTGCATTGGCTTGTAGCTTATGCTTCAGTGGTACTTCTGCGGATAGCCGTCAGTGCCTCTCTTTTGAATATTCCTTCAACGTTGGCATGTTAAGCCGCAGGATGCTTTTCATGGCTTTCTTCCCCGCAATCCTCGCACCTAGAAAACCACGTAAGGTTGCGCGTCGACCGAAAACCTACCACCCCCCACTCGTATGTTGTCAGACCACGTGGTTCAGAAAACCTTGGTTTCGGCAGAGGTTTGCAGCAAACCCTTCACATCTGTGCGCCCTATATCACCCAATTCTGCACCAAAATGCTCAATCCAAAGCAAGTGGGCAATGGCCATGTGTGGTGGCAATTGCCGACAAGGCTTCTTTGAGCAGAAAAGATGCGAATTTGATAGATTTAGGCGACACAATCACTTCAGTGTTGCAAACCTCTTGCAAACCCAGATTTATGGAAAGCAGGCCTCTGATTGGCTGAAAAACCTGGGAGGTTTTCGGTCGACGCGCAACCTAAGACTATGCGCAGAGTATGAATTCTACTCCTATTTGCTTATCTTCTGACTACCAATTCTCAAACCGCCTTCCGTTTAACACTATGTAGTTCTCTGACTTCATTGACGCAACTTTATACTTAGGATGAAAACAGATTCCACTGTCCAATATGCTCGAAACTCACGAGATTCAGCGCTTCTGCAACGCAGAAATGCACACCGTCCGCTTGTACGATTCCGTTCCGTCCCAGCCCGACAAGCGGAGCGACAGGGCGCTCATGGCGCGGCCGGATCCGCCCCACCACTACGTCGTCGCTCGGGGAACTTCCACAAGTCAGCCCCCAAGACAAGGGGGCCCCAAGCTCTACTTCCACCGGACTCGAAAGTGAGATACGATGTTCGACGAATGTTCGGAGTTGCTTGCACTGGAGGAAAGATCATAAACAAGCTGCCTGCTCCCTTTTCAATTTCTGCCTGCCATTGGCAACTCATAATTCGTTTGCTCCTTCATGTTCGCGATGTAGTCAATAAGGTGCCTTCGATTACTCCTAGGCTGCTTTCGTTAGATGGTCGGATCAATGAAGCAACTTTCAGCTGTTAGAATCACCTTCAAGCAGGCTCCGACCGGTCAAGTGCAGAGGTCTTCTTAAGAACCGCAAGCCAAACAATGGAAGAAACAAGAATCCTGAAACGGGTGGCAGTGTTTATAGGTTATCTTTCTCTCAACCGTACTTTCTTGACAGTCTGAATTTTTCCCAATTGGCCATCAGGTTTGCTGTGGGTGACGCTGTGGATGCGATGTACACCAACTGCTGGTGGGAGGGCCACATCAAGAGCATCTCCGGAAACGACGTCACAGTGAGTGGTTTCAGATGCCCAGAGCTGTTGGCGTGTCTCTTACCGGAGCATCTGAACAGACGTGATTTCTCGTGTCAGCATGTTGCGTGAAGATCGCCCTTGAAAGAACTGCAGTTTACGCTTGGAAGCCGCTTTAGTTCAGGCTCTCAGGAACAAGCGTTGACACTAGCACAGTGAGACGATCCTTCCCATCTCAAATATCGAGACCCAAGGATGAACTGTGACATTCCTTCGCTTGTCTCCGCATGTCAACACACAAAGTTTGTGAACGGCTACTCTTAAGAGAGCTGGTCGCCTTGTTTTTCTTTGAAAGGTGCGCCTTCCATCCAGCCTGTTGAAGTGAAATATTCGCCTCTTACTCAGATTAAGCAAGTTCATGTTACTATCTGCTCTCAGGTGGCCTTCGCGAAGCCTCCCAGGGGCGAGGGTGACGTCCAGATAATCCACAACCGCAGTCTCCGGCCCACGCTGGATTGGAACAACGACACGTGGACGATCGCGCCCGGGAAAGCCGCGCTGCCTCTCATCGGCGTCTTCGAAGGTACGCCACAGGCACGCGTCTTGAATGCAGGCGAAAAATGAAGAATAAGAGATATGCTCTTGAAAAGGAAAATGTCAGATGAGAGTTGGCAGGTACTTGGCGAAAGATCTACTCTCGACATTGTGACTTCAAGTGACAAATCAGACAATGCTCTTGTGATGTTCACGGCTCTTCCAGGCTCGTTGATCTTCTTGCAAGCCGCAGATACAAGCATTGGTACCAAGGATAGCTGCTAGGGACCTTATCTGATTCTTCAACATGTTGAGCAAAGATCGAGATTATAAGATTCGCATTTGGGAGTCACGAATGGGTCCCTGGGCTCATCCGTGGGGTTGACAGCGGTGATAACCTCAGGCGCCTCGCCCATGCAATGGATTGGCGAACCCCTAAACACGCTTTCTCATCATCTTGGGGTGCAAGCGCTTGCGAGAAGAAGCCGTCCGGTCTCTGATTCTCTTTACTGACCCCTTAACATCTCTGCAGATGCCAGCGGCCGCGTTATCGTTGACAACTCGCTGGAGGGGCAGCCGGAACCGCCGGAACCGGGGGCGCAGCAACAACTTGAAGCGGGTCTGCTGAGCCCAAAACCGTCCCGCTCCCCTTTGCCAACCTCCCCCTCCGGCTCTAAAGCTGACGTGAGCAGCAGGGCCTCCTCCAATCAGCGTGACGTCAGCAAGAAGAATGCGCCGAGAAAACCCAAAACAACTCCCAAAACGGAGCCGATACATGAGGCGGACAGTGATCCGGAAGAAGAGGGGGCGCAGAAGCGAGAGACAGAGCGAGAGGAGGGCCTGTTTCCGAATATGACGGACGATGACGTCATCAAGGGCTTCGAGACGTTGCTCGGTTCGGTCCCCCGGGCGACCCACCCGGGCGTGCAGCGGCTGGGGCTACGGGGCTTCTTCAAGCAGAAGGTCGCCGAGATGCACGCCGGGGAGCTGTTCCCGGCGCATCCGCCGGCGGCCGAAACGGCGGGCGCGCGCGCGCGAGAAACGAAGAACGAGAGCGGGGAGTCGTTGGCGAGCTCGAATCTGTCCGAGGAAGGAAAACTACGCGGTACTTTGCCGGTGGCTCCGGCAGAGCGGGTGGAACCGGGGGAAGCAGAGCTAGACCTTGGGAGGGAATTGAAAGACCTTAAGGGTTCTGAGAAGGGAGACGAAGGGGAAGAAGTGAAAGGGACGGAGGAGAAGCAAAAAGAGGTAGAGGGTAAACAAGAACGGGAAGCCGTTCAGCCGCATGCTGGAGAGAAGCGGGGAAGAGGGAGGCCCAAGCTAACGGAGGAAGCGAGGGCGAAGAAGAGGCTCGGCGGACCGGCGGATTCCGTTGGTGCGACGCTGGGCGTCTCTCACGGCAACGGGGGTCCCAAGCGACGGAATCTGGAGAGGGGGAAAGCGGAGGCGGGGGTGTTCCTGAGCGCGCTGCTCGCGCGCTGGGAGGGTGTTCACATTGACGAGGCTCGGCTGGTTTTCAGTGAGCTCAACGAGTGGGCGCCCTCGGAGAGTACAATCAAGGGGATCCACGGGGGGGAGATCAAAGACTGGTACCGGGCCAAGGTCGAGCGGATGCGTGCGAGCGGCACGCGCTTCGTACGGATTGTCTCGCAGACGACTAAACAACTGAGGTATGCCTGGCAGCCCTGGGGCGACGCGCGCTTCCCCGAAACCCTCAAACCCTCGGTGCACCCGAAAGCGGAGATGACGTCAGCGAAAGGCGCGGTGCATGAAGGGGGGCGAGAGGACGCGCCCGGGAACGAGGGGGCAGCGGACGGTGACGTCACGAGGGAAAGTCTGGTGGCGGAGCGAAAAGGGGAAGACACGAGGGGCGGGGGGAGCGGTTTGGGGGCCCCGGGAGCAGAAGCCGTGACGTCAGCAGCTGACGGAGAGGGTGGAGAACAGGTCAAGGAGGGAGAGTCTGAAGAAACCGCCGAGGAGAGTCCTCCACGTGGCGACGTCCGAGACGCCACGGCTGAAAGCGAAGGAAGAACGGAGAGAAAGGGGAAGTCGGAAACCGAAGACGCTGAAGAGGGCCTGATGTTGGAGTCAGCAGAAGCTCCCCAGGTTGGGGAGGCAACCGCGAAAGAGGAAGTACCGGAACGAGAAGCGAAGGAAACGGGAAGGAAAAAACACGGCGACAACGCAGCTTTTGAAGACAACGCAACAGCTAAAGGGGAGGAAATACTAGCAGGGAAAGAAACCGCAGGAGGAGGAGGAACTGTGGACGGGTGCCCGAACTTGGCCGCAGGCGATGGTGCAGGAGTAGCAGAGGTGAAAGGGAACGTTGAGGGGATCGGAACTTTTGGAAAGGCGGACGCCTCTGGGGAAGGGAGTGCAGATAGCAAGGGTTCGGGGGACGGTGAAAGAGCGGCTGAGGGGAACGGAGCCGCCGAGATGAAGGGAAGTGCAGAAGAAAGCAGATCTGCCGGATCCTTTGAGGACGTAGGAGGCATGAAGAGTGCCGAGCGGGACGGAACGCCTGAGACCGGAAGCGTCGGTCAGAAGGCCAAGAAACGGCAGAAGAAGAAAGAGCCCGTCGTAATTCCCATGAACGTGCTCGACTTCTTCTTGGACGATACGGAGGAAGAGGTGCCCTTGATTGAGGAGCAGAATGAACGGAATCCCGGAAGCGGAAGGGAACCGGAACGATTTTCGGATGTGCTAGAGGGGCAGACGGAGCGAGACTTGGCTCAGGGTTCGCTTGCAGAAACGTCAGCGGATGGAACGGTGACATCGGCAGAGGAGGCGGAGGCGATCATTCGCCCGCTGCTCGCGCGCTGGAGCCGTGCCGACCTGGACGAGATATTTAACATTTTCAAGAAGTTGAACGGATTCGTTCCGCACCGGAACGGGAACGGAGCCAAGCGGCAGGGCACCAAGAGCTGGTTCGAGGGCCTGTTCCGGCGGATGCTTGAGACCGGAAAGCGGTACGTGGAGCGGAAGAAGCTGGGTGAAAAGAAAGCCGTGAACCTGCAGATGCGGCCTTGGCCAACAAAGCGCCACGTGGCATTTGGAGAGGGCCACGTGGGTGCTGCCGGGGATGTTCAAGCTGAGGATCGAATTGCGGGGATGGAGAATGCGGAAGTTTTGGAACGTGGAGAAGCTGAAGACTCTGGAACCTCCGGTGCGGTAATCGAGAGGGGAGAAGGGAAACGCCGGCTAAAGAAACGGCGTTTCGGCCGCGAGTTTGTGTCGGAGAAGCTGGGGGAGCGGAAGATGAAGAGCAGAAAGCTCGAAAACGGGGCTTTTGTAAAGCCGGCAGATGAATCTGAAGGAAAGGAGAGCACACCGCAAGAAAGCAAGTCGGTGCGAGCGATGCGCGAGCGTTTGGAGGAGAAGATCCGGAGGTGCGGCCAGGAGGGCCTAGCGGCTGAGGCAACGGAACGGCCGGAATCCGCCGGAGCTGGTGGCGGAAGAGGAGCGAAGAAGCGGGCTGCTGAGGAGGCCGGAGTCTACTTTGAGGAGGAACGGAAGGGCGGAACGGGGCCGACCGAACGGGGTGGCTTGGGGAGCGCCAGGGACTTCGGCTTCACGAGGAAAACGAGCGAAACGGAACGGATGGAACAGAAGTTGTGGGAGGGAAGCGGAAATGCGGAACGGAAGAGCGGAAAGCGCCGCAAGGATTCAGAAACTCCACGGAAGGGAGGAGCAACGAAAGGAGCTACTCTACCGGCTACTTGCCGGCGCCCACCTCGAGGCCAGACGGGGTCGAATTCGAAAGCCCGAGCGAAATTGACTTTCTGCATACTGGATCCGCAGGACTCCGCTGCGACGAGCCGGTTCCGGTCGAAGAATCCGCTGGGTTTGGCGCAGCGGAACGCACGGCCGCGAAAGACGCCAGCCCTGCTGCGAACGGTACGGAAAAGCCGAGGAAAAGCGGTGTGGAAATTCCTGGGGAAGGAGTTTCGGAGGAACCGGGGGCAGGTTCTGCTAAGGCTCCTGCCGAAAAAGTGTCGGTAGAAGCGCGGAGAGACTCGCCGGGGCGTCGGCAGAGGACGAGAGCGGCAGATTTGCTGACGTCACCACGACTTTCGATGAGCTCGGTTCCGGGATTGAGCCCTCTTGGGCTTCTGCCAGCGGAATACGTGGGAACGGCTCTTTGGGCTGGCCAGGATAAACGGAAAGTGCTTGGATCTGCACAAGGTGAAGACGCGATGGAGGAGACGGGAAAGCTTGAGGCGGAATTGGCGCCGGAAGCGGAGCGGAAGAAAATGTCGGAAGCGGAAGCGGAACTAGCGAAGGGGGAGGAACGGAAGGTAGAGCCGGGTCCGGCGGTCGGAACGTCAGAAAAGGAACTGGGGGCCGGCAGCTGTGCAGCAACGAGCTCTGATAAGCTCACCAAGTCACCGGATTCCGGCGGAAAGGGCCGGAACGCGACCAGTGCGGATAGGGAGGGCGGTCCTCTGGGCGGAGCGGGAATGCAGAGGAGGACCAACAGCGGAGGCGAGAAGGTGTTGCTCGGAAAGGGAGGAGCAAAGAAACGGAAGGATGAGGTCAGCGGGTACGTCAGGGACGATGCAAAGGGGTTTGAGAGAGCAGGGGAAACGGGCCTCGAGGATGACGTCAGCAAAAGCGAACAAAGTAAGAAGGAATCGCGTGAAGACGGAGAGGGGCAGCAGTACGAGGAGAACCTTTCGATTGACGCGGGGCGCGGTAAAGAGTCGTGTGAAGGGGCGAACGCGGAGGCTCCGTCAGAGGCAAAAGGAACGAAAGAGGCTGGCGAAAAGACGGAAAGCCGCAAGGCAGGACTCCTTAACGAAGTTTTGCGACGCGACATTGAAGAGCTTCGTAGAGCGGCGATGGAGATGTGGGGTGAGGACGGGAGCAGAAAGAGCACGGTTCACGACAGGATAGCGGAATACGAAGCGACGTTGGAGGGAACACTGTGCGAGGCAAGCGAGAAGCGAGATGTAAGGGAAACGAAAATTTTGAGAAAAAAGGTTTCGGTAGAGGGGCAGGATGAGGGGGAGGAGTTGAACGATGTCGTCAGCCGTTTCATTAGGGGCGGTGCTAAGTTGCTTGGAGATGCGGGGGAAAGGGGCCTCGAGGATGACGTCAGAAGGAGTAACGAGATTGGGAAGCTTTCGCTCGAAGCTGAAAAGGGGCAACAGATCGTGGACGACGTCACCATTTGCGCAGGGGGCGGGAAGGAGTCGATGGGGGGAGGTAGTCCGGGGGTTCGAGCGGAGGCGAAGACGACTCATAAGGCTTGCGAAAAGGCGAAGCGTGGCAATCAGGCGAACTCTTGCGACCTGATGACTGTCGAGATTGAGGACCTTTTGAGAATGAAAAAGGAGGAGATCTTGAGGGAGAAGGACAGCAGAAAGGGCGCAGTTTGTGAGAGGGGAGAAGAGACGACTTTGGAGGGGAAGGCAGGCGAGAAGGGAGATGTAAGGAGAACGGAAGGTGCAGGAGAGGGCGTGTCGGTAGTGGGGCAGGGTGACGGCGAGAAGCCAGAGGACACTTCGGCGGAGCCGGAACCGGAACCGGACACCGGAACTGAAGTGGAAGTCGTAATGGAAGTCTCGGAATCTGACGAAGCGGCGGTTGTCCGTGCGGCTCACCCGGAGAGCGACCAACGCAAGCGCGGCGCGGCCCAACTTTCTGCGGAGCGGCAGACTGTATCGCCGCGGCTTTGAGTTTGCGGCCTGAGCAAGCTCCTTCGGGCGAACTCTGTGAGCCTGGTAGTCAATGAATAGGAGTTGTGTTTCTTCTATGTATTTGCAAGGGAGTTCCCGCGTGCTTCAATCAGCATTTATTCTTAGTGTCTTCTAGTGTCAACCGCGCTTGCTCCTTGTGGATTGTATGCCGCGGTGTGTCGCACTTAGCTAGCTGCAAGTCAAATCTTCAAAACAACTTTTTAGCATGTAAGTCCTTGTGCAAACTCAGGTGCCTACTCCAGATTGTTAATCATTTACTCGTTGTGCCGCGAATCTGGATCGATTCCCTATCTCTTGATCCCTTTTTTCTCCGTGATTGCTCATGCCACCGTCTCTGCAAAAGCTCATGTTACGGCGGCTGATACTTATAATTATGAAGTGCAAATGCACGAGTCCATTTGTGCCAGACCTAAAACATCTATGGAGCCGGCGCAAGTGTCCGACTGGTCTGCCGGCATCATGAAGCAAGAGATTGGGGGCGGCCAGCTTACGGTACTGTCTGCATCTTGTGTGCATGCGCAATTGGCCGGTAACATCCGTGTGCACGTCGGTGCTGCAAGGTAGCTTATACAGGCAGAGGCTGGCTCCATGTGCTGGTCTAGTGTGCTCTCAAACTCGAACTCCCCTTCATAATTGAACCCATGTCATTTTATCACCGCGAAGGGAAACCCGGATCATCGCATCCCGTCGCGATTCAATGATAAAATGATCCAATCTCAGTAACTAGATGCGCGCGAGTGGTGATGATGCATGCAGAAAAAGTAGCAGTCCGAGAATGGCGCCGCGTGGCCCACGCCAGTGGCCCTCACCTGACCCATGCAACTAGAGTACGCGCGGTCATCAGTTTTAAGTCCGCGGCTGTATATGATCGCGATGTATCATTGACAAACAGTCATTGCCGCGCGCAGCACATGTGTAAATGTATAGCTGACCACGTCATGCACTTTGTGAGGCTGACATTTGCGCATAATCTGGCGTATAAGCCAATGGAACACCCTCTTCGCGAGCTTCAAGTGTCCAGGTCTTTCTCGGCTAAGCATTACTACTCGGCAGAAACTGACACACTTGGCGTTTCTACGGATTGCTTTCGGCCCCGCTGTATTGATTCTGTCAAGCACCACTTAGACGTGCTATTTCTACGCGCAATCCAAACCTGCAATTCCGGGGTGCCACAATCAGCTACAAAATCAAACATTAACGAGAAGCGAGGTGCCGTCCAACTGATGTAGAACTCATTCCGTGCTATTCTGATAGGGACTGAGCTTCGCAAGACGAGGTTGATCAAGCATAGCACACGTCATGCCGCTGACTTGAATGAGCAAAGTAAGCCGAATAAACGAAGGATGCCTGTTGATTTTGTTGCGAACGCCACGAAAGCTGGACAACAATCCGACACCGCTCGTGAAACAAAATGGGGGGGTTTGAAGGTGCTCACTTCACATGTCTTACGCCGAAAGAGGGAGGACGTCTCTTTGTCTCTTGGTGGCCGCCCCAACTTGGCAGCACGCCGGCTACGAGAGGGCATCGAACAGTGCACAGCAGGCACTCCCGCCACGAGAAAAATCGTCCTCTCGCTTTGACCCTACAACCCAACATCGCGGTCCGTGTTCCGATATGCGCCACCTAAGCAGGATCGATCCTGGCCGTCAATCGGACCCAATCGGGCTCTATCCTGTCCGTCGCTCACACCTTTGACGGTCTGGGAGTGACCCCGCCTTCCGATTGTTCAGCGACTAGAGGTCTCCTTACGCCTCTGTAGCTCAGCCATCTCCCGTCCTGTGACCTCGACCAAGCCGGATTCCGCTCCTGAATCCTGAACGGAACGTGCGGTGCTATATCGGGTCGATGTCCCACGGGGCCCGGAACTCGTCGAGCGGCACCCCCCCCGCTTCGTCCACTTCCCACAGCTGCAGCAAACCCCCAAGGTCCTGTATCTCTGCCGCGAAGCCCGGTTCCACGTCCGGGGGGGTGAAACGCACCCCTGCACCGGCCCCCCCCTCGGCTGCCGCTGGCAGGTGTCCGTTTTCCCCCGCTCCGGGGGTGCGATTGGGGCTGCTTTCCGGTCCCCCGGCACCAGGACCGGCGTTTTCGGATCCAACGCCAAAGACGGACCCCCGCAACTGCCACCACTCCGCCGACCCGCGCGCGGGGGCCCGTCCCACCGCAGACGTCCCCGCGCTGCGTTTTACTCCGCTTCCGGTTTCCCCCTTCCGTTTTCCGCTCTCGGCTTTCACGGAACCGGAAAAGTCCGCCGCAGGGGACATAGTCTTTGCTTTAAGGGTCCGCCCGGCGGCGTTGGCTGGCGCGGCCATGTCGCCGTTCGGAATGGAGCCCCGGGGCTCTCCGTTGCGCGCGCTCTTCGCCGCTTTCTGCTGCTTGCGTTTCTTCGGCGTCATCGCCACGGCAGGTGAGTAGGGCTCGCCAGTTTTCGCCCACTTGCGCAGCTTCGACAGCAGCCAATCCGTCCGATAGCCGGCCCCCTTCTTATTGAACGTCGGCGGGCGGCAGCCCGTAACCGTGCGAAGCGCGTCCTCCAGCGTCCGGATGTCCGGATTCCGCGCGTGCGCTTTCAGTGCCTTCCGCGCGGTTTCCATGCGCTCCTCGCGGCTCAGGCGCTCGTTCACCGCGCTCATCGAATACGGTGGCAGCCCAATGTCTTCATTTCGTATCAAACGCGGCGCAGCTGCCTTTCCGCTTTTGAACCCCTTTCTAAACCTAGGAGACAGAGCACTCTTCTGCCTCCGGGGGGGAGGTTCCGGCTGCCTCACGTTATACAAAACCTCCGGCTTAACCACCCGCCCATACCGGGTGACGTTCGGTACCTCAGTTTCCTCTGCTTTTCTGACCCCAGGACTCGCTTCTCCCTTCTCCTGACCGTTCGATTGGTCTTGCTTGGGGACTGCTTCTGACTTCTTGCTCGGCCCTCTCTGACCGTCCAATTTTGCCTTTCCAGGGATCCCCCCCGACTTTTTCGCCAGCACTTTTCGAAGGCACGCGTGAATAGCTCCCGCCTTTTTCCCCGCCGCTTTCGTCGCACCCGGTTTGGCTGGCCCGGAAATCCCCCCCGCTTTTGCTGGCCGCCCGGGGATCACTCCCGGTTTGGCTGGCCGCCCGGGAACCCCTCCCGCTTTTGCTGGCCCGGGGAACCCTCCCAGTTTGGCTGGCGCGGGCTTCCCTTCAATTTTCATTTTGGGCCCCACCTGAGCGACCGGTTCGCTTTCCCCCGGGCGCAGGAGCACCCCGAGAGGCCCTTTTGGGTGGCCGGGAAACGACCACTGGCCGCGGTCCCAGACCATGGCGGGGCGCAGCGCTCCGAGGCTGATGTTGACCTCCTCGCCGCCTTCACCGAAATGGGGGGGTCGCCACCACACCTGGGAAAGGAGGGGGGGGGGGTGAGGAAAGGTCAGTCGAACCGTGCTGGAGGATGGAAGTAGGTTAGGTCTTGGTTATGACAGGGGATCGTCGGATAGACTGACGGCATAAGAAAGGTGCAGGAATTGTGGATCTGTTGAGCCAGAAAGCATCATCACTTGAAGTCCGTCTAAGTGCCTGCCAGAGAGAGGTACACAACACAGTGAGACTTGCGCCGCGCATTGTGCATTTGCTGCTTTCAGACTACAGCTCAAACAACGCCCTAGAGACTCTGACTCAGCTTCCAAAGTCGACCTGGCTGTTCACTTGCAGTCGGCTTCGTAACCGTACGAAGTAAGGCTGTCGGAAGTTAGGACTCTCCTCTTGAAAATCGATGCATGCTGGCTAAGCGTAAGGACACACTCGCAGTGAGTTGGGATCTATACCGAGGTGCGCAGATTGACTGACATCTGCTGGGTGAAGTTAAGATTCTGTGATTCGAGTTTGACACGGTCGAAGGTGTCAAAGGGTTCGAGTTGCGTACCGAAACGCGCTGTCCGTCGACCTCGGAGACGCGGCCCATCCACCACGCGCAGTTGCACGAGTACTCCACAGCGTCGCCTATCGCATAACTGCAAACAGAGAAGAGGGTTTAGGTTTAGGTTTAGGTTCACATTCAGGTTCAACTCTTATTTCGGTTTAGGTTTAGGTTTAGGTTTAGGTTTAGGTTCAGTTTCAGATTTGGTAGGGCTTTTCTAATCATTAGAGGTCTGGAATGCATCGTTGATCATTTACTGCTGTTTGCGTCAAACTTGGCACCCGGGCTCGGACTGATCCCCCCGTGACGTGTTGCATGCAATCTGAGCCGTCTGACTTTTCTCAAAAGCATCGAACGGCGTGAGTCATCACCTCATTGTAAGCCACCTCCTCGTCATTTGGAACGTAAGCACTTTGACCATAGACTAACCTAGTCAGGATCCAACCCGGAGCTTGGTGGAATCGGTAGCTTTCTAGGCCCCCATGACATGTGCATGCGAACTGAGCCGTCTGATCTTCCTCAAAGTTCTCGAACGGCGTGAATTGTTCCTCCTTGAACCCACCTCCTCATCATTTTGTATGTAAGCCCGTCCTGAGCGCACCGCCCCCCGCCGAGTTTCTTTGATGCAGGGGGTTGGATGCTGGGGGGCGTAGGCCGTACCATAAGCTCCCAGACAGGTTCGGCGACGCCCGGATTGGCCTGGTACAGCTGGCACTCGAATGGCTCTGCAGATAGGAAGAACTAGACTGGTTTTACTTCTACAGGAGTGGCCGAAGTGAGTCAGGAAGATTCGAATCATGTGGAGAAGTGGTACACTTGATTGACTCCTGGCATCGAGTTTGCCATCATGATGAAAGCTCCTGTTTGGACTGCGACTCGCTCATGTGGTCATTTTCCAAGTCCGACTTACTCTCCATTAACTTTCCCTCAGCACGTTTGAGATACAGTAGCTCGAAAAAGAAGGATTGTGGATACAAGATTTGGAACGTGTATCTGATGGAGAGCGTTGTCAAACTTGGAGGCAAGGAAAGGAGAGTCCGCCTCTTCAATGAAACCTGGCCAATGCTCTCGGATCACTAACTGCCGACATTTCCCAAAGGCCATCCTACAAGTCAAGCCTTCGAAAGACATGAGCAGCCTTTGACAGTCAAAACCGCGCAAATTTGACAATAAGTTAAACCACGCATTACGCTCTCTCCATTGGTTCCTACCATTTCCCCGAAGCTCATCCTGCCCGCTCCTCGCTTCCTTCCCTAAAACGCAAGGACTTAACTTGCCAGCGTTTCGTGACCAGAAAGAAAGGCTGTCATATCCACGGAAGCATAGAATCTCACCATCCTCATCAAAGTCGACACACTTGATAGTCAGCGTGTAGGCTGCTGGACCGGCTTCCTGCTTGATCCCAAGGATCTGCAGTACGGGGCGGAATCATTCAAAGAACTCAATTTATCAGAAAGAACCAAGGGGTAGGAATTGTGCATAAGCGCACCGATGCCATCGTTTGTTTTTCTTCTCAGCCGCAGCGATGCAATTCTACATTGCTTGCGCTGGGCGACTGATCAGTGGGTCCAAAGCCAGATATTCTTCTCAAGCGTCCATTTGAGGATTCAAATGAACCAGGCAATACACTCAATTTCTTTCCACACATGCTGAGATTCCGAAGCTAGGCAGCGTCAGTAAGTTTTCTGCCCCCCCCTCGAGTCAGAAACGTGCAGAGTGTGAAGGAGAAAATGGTTGATTTGAACAGGATCCAGAGAAAAGTACACAAATGTAACTACACAAGAAAGGCAATGTACCTCACCCGTGAGAGGAACCAGGCATCCCTGTAACCTTCCGCGAAGGCCCTGATAACAAGAGGAGACAAGGATTTACAGATTGGCTTACTTGAGACATTCACTTCCACTAAAACCCAATTGAATGATATGCTCTCTTCCTGTTTTGGTTCTGGCAAAGAGGACTTCTCCTGCGCAGATTTAGCTCCCTCTCATAGGATGATAGGACTCTCAACAATGTATACTCTTTGGCGGCTGGGACATGCACTCACACTTTTCTAAGTGGTGGTGTAGGTCTTTATGGTCTGTAAATGTAACTCAAACGATCTATTAATGTACCTCTTAAAAGATCATAAGCATACCTCCGTGAAGTCTAGATACGTCAGACTGTCTCAGCTCACCCATTGATTGATCAAGTATTCCACATTAGAGTGGTGCTACCATGGTTTTCTACTCGGTTCAACGGTGAGGGCATGCATTAAGGAAAAGATTTCAACACAAAGCTTTTGAACGCTTTTAACTCTATCTTCGATTATTGTCAGCCTGAGCCACAGACAACTCTCAGAGATTCAGAGTCTGTATCTCAATAAGAGCTTAATTAGGCCCGGAAACCTGTGGATTCAAAAGGGAGGAAGACATACAAAAGAGGAGGACTAGAAAGAGTAGGACCAAAAAAGGTTACTGACCTGCTCTCAATGAGGTCACCAACAGCAAACGGACAGGGCCCACGCCATGCCTTCTTGTGAGGCAAAATTGCAGGGGGGGACCCTGGCACAGCCTTCTCCAGCTCCATCAACCATACACGCTCAGAGCGTCATCCGCAGTTACTCCTTGCTCAGAGATATCTAAAGGACAAAAAGTTGAGCGCATTGAAAATGGGGCATTTCGCATTAAGCACAGCAAGTGGGGCCGCTGACGCAATTTGTTGGGAATCAACCTAGGGGACCCTTTATTGACTGAAATCTTTTATAATCTTACTGCACCTGAACTTCCGCAATTGGATTGTGGCAAGTTGCATTCCGAAGCTGAGGCATTACGCGTAGCACGCCAGCTGCTGGAGAAAAGAAGTGATCATGACGAGTGAGCTTAGAAGGCCATTAAAATAGAGGAGGCCAACACTAGCAGATCTGTCAGCAGACGAGCTGAGAACCGAGATAGTAATCTTACCTAGCGGAAAGCTGCATTGCACAGCTTCTCAATGCAGAAGCTGCAGTGCTTGAAAGCAGCTGCATTGGGAGGGTATGGCATTGAATTGGGTTATGCTTTACGAATCCGGTGAATGATTTTTAAAACTAGAACTTTGAGTAACGCTCTGAAATCTCTCCTAGTTCGTTTCTCCACTGAAGATTACATCAAGGTTACGTTGTGGTTTGCCAATAACAAGCCCGTTTCAGATGCTTGTCAACAGAATCGAGCAGGTTTGAGGACGTCTGTTCACTTACAAGTATTCTTATCCTACCATTCTTGCAGTGGTGGTTTCAGAGTTTGCAGGCATCTTTGGAGCAAAGGAGTGCCAGGATTTTCTTCAGCGCCTCGAGCCTTGCGAAAGGCGAAGCTAGAGCGAACAAGAGACGAGCTGCCAAACGGGAATTTATTGATCCAGAGAACAAATTGGGGCGGAGATTCATTGATGCTGTTTGATCAAGCAGCCACAATCGATGAGTGCTGAACTTGTCCACATATGAAAGCAGTCTGGTCCGCCAAGGATCAGTTCACCGACAAACATACAATTGCACATCCTGCAACCCCTCAAACGTAGTGCAGAAACACCATCAACCTGCACAAGTGGAAGCAGCCTAGTCTCCATTTGAAAGATCTGGCGTTGATATGATGCACATCGTGCGACCCCGTGCAACCTAGTTCTCAGTTCACAAGGATGCTGCACGCATCGGCTCCGCCGGGCGCCATGGAGGCCCGAGAGTCCCGCTTCGCTCCAAACCCCTTCCAATACAATGGCCGGGTGGCGCTCGCCATCGTCCCTGCACTGGCTGTCCTTTTGGGAGCTGGGGGCCAGACCGTCTCTGGCACTCTCTGCATCGGTCTCATGGTCACGTACATCCTCGACGCGCTCGGAATGAAGGAGGGTGCATTTGGGGGGGTCTGGGTGTCCCTCGGGGGGACGATCCTGGCGTTTGCGCTGTCCGGGGCGGCATTTGGGAGTGGTCAAGAGCGGCCAATTGTCCTCTCAGCGCTCATTCTGCTGGTCGGCAACTTTGTAGGGTTTGTGGGGGGCGTGTGGGGGTCGCTCCAGTTCCGGTGGCTGCTTATCAAGCACCCCCCCATCGTGCTGGCACTGGAACGCGTGCTTTTTGCAGTCACCCCCCTCGTGGCAACCCCCATCGTCACGTGGGGGATCATTGCAGCTGTCGGGATCGCCAATGCGTCCTTCTACCTCACGGCACTGCTCTTTGGCTTCTACTGGGTGTTCTCCCTCCCCACGCCGACGTCGTTTCGCGCAAAAGCAGACAAGGCCTACGGCGGCGCGATCGCCGAAGAGTCGCTCATCGGGGGCGCCCTCGAAGGGGCAATCCATCTTGGTCTCGTCCTCTTCCTCCCCCCCATCTTCCACTTCAGCGTGCACTACCCCCAGCTGCTCGCTTTCGCCCCCATCGAGATCTGGAACTTCCTCATCGTACTCGCCGCGCCCCCGCTTTTTGTTGCGTACGCCTCGACGCACAACTCCCTCTGGTGGCTGCGCATCGCTCCCCAAACGCTGCATCGGTTGCGCATCTTCGTAAGCGCTGCGGCGATCGCAGTCCTGATAGCAGCCCTCGAAGCACGGGTGATCTTCCACGCGTTTGGTCAGTACATCCACCTTCCCCCTCCATTGAACTACGTGCTCGTAACGCTGGCACTCTATGGGGGGGCCGCAGCAATCGGCGCGCACATGGTAGGGGCGGCCGGGAAGAAGGGCGTGAATCCCACTCTAGTTACGGCGGTGCTGGTGGCCGCAGCGCTGGCGGGAGCGCTCGTGCTGGGCATGCCACTGCAGGTGAGCTGGCAGTCTGTGATTGGCCGATTGCGAGCTGTTTAAGATTTTGGGAAGCCTGATGGGAGAAACACTTTGGGGTCCAGAAATTCATACAGTTGCCAAGCGGCAGAAGGCATCAACTGCTCGCCAAGTAGCTGGCCATGTAAATTCATCTCAAACTGAAGGGGCTACTGTGGATGCAAAGCCGCTTTCTTCAAAGGTTGGTGGTCACGTCGAAACATCATCGCAGCTCCATCTTTTGCCAACATCCCATTGCCTTCACATCAGGTTTATTGACACCTGACACTGCTCAATTCGTCTCCAACACTTTTCAGTCCTAGCTAACATTGTTGTGTCAATCTTCTCCAACAGCTCCTCTTCATCCCTGCCGTCTCCGCTGCCTACCTCGGCCAGTTCTACCGCACCCGTAGTCTGCTTTCCTACGCCGTTTTTGCCGCTGGAGGGGCCGCCTGTGCGGCGTGGTTCATTGTGCGCCACTTTTGGACGATCCAGGTAAGCTGAAGTGCCCTTCGTTAGCCCCCATGCGTGCAAATCCTCGAAAAGTGGTCATGGGCGCTTTTGTTTCCGATTTACTGGTTTCATCGCAGCTCTGCGGTCCTTTTCGTCAGTGGTCATGTTGGCGAGGGTGGGTCCTTGACTTGCAAGTTTTTGTTGGCATTGTTGGCCTCGGTTGACGCAGCTTTCAACAGCTGCCCTCGCTAGAACCGCACAGCCCCAACAACACAACCAGCGACTCAAAGAGCGGGTTGAATAGGCACGAGATAGACGGAAGAAGTACAAAGGTCAGCAAAGGAAGACCCCCGGACGATGGGAGGAAACGAGAGCCATGAGAAGAACAGCACGTGGCATGCTGTGCTCCCTGTATTACTGTCTCTCAGGTTCCGCGGCTCTACTTCACTAGAGTCCCTCGTTTGAAACTTCAAAAGAAATAGCGAGAAGTGAAATAGTCAAACGGTGATAACCGATTTGTCTTTCCAAACGGTCTTAGGGGATCACCCGGTCAAAGACACCGCACCGGTGCTCATGCTTGGAGTGACTCTGGCCCTAGCACTGCCCGTGCTCGTACAAAGCTGATTACTGAAACCCGCTGTCTCTTCAGGCGGTCTTGGGGTATCACCCAGTCAAAGACACCGCCCGGGTGCTCATGCTGGGGGTGACTTTGGCCGTAGCGCTGCCCGGACTTTTCTCAACAGGGCACACTAGTGCCACTAATGAATTTCCGGGAGGAAGTGGCCTGTGCTAAAAAACAAAGTTTTACTGAATACCCGTGGTCTCTTCAGGCGGTTCTGGGGGATCACCCGGTCAAGGACACCGCCCGGGTGCTCATGCTGGGGGTGACTCTGGCCCTGGCGCTCCCTGGGGCGGCGGCTGCGGGCGCTCAGGGGAAGCAGCTGCTGGGGGCGCTTATGGTCGCGCAGGGGCTCGTGGTTTGCGCCGTAGAAGACCGGTTATACGGGCACTCGCATGATGGTGAGTGGCTGTAATTACGGCGTGGTTACGTCAACGGGTCCTTGGATTACGTGAACCGGTCTTGATCCACAAGCTGGGGGAGAGGAACCTGACTTGTCACCCGACCCCCGCCAAAGAGGACCTCTATTCCTCGTTGTACTTACTTGTCTATCGCGGTTCTTACGTCTCCGTCTGCACTTCCAGTCCGCGATGTTTCTCGCTTTCTTCCGTCCACAAGCTCGAAATGCTTTCTTAGGCGACTTCTCGCTTTTCCTCTGTCACCCCCTCAAGACGAGGGTCTCTACTACGGCTACTTTTGCCGTATGACAGCTTGTATCCTCCTGCAACTCACCCACTGGACGGTTCTCATGAGCTTTCATGCAGATATATAGCTTCCTGAAAAGTGGGGCCGACTTTCTTACTCCTGACTGCCCTCCCGTACAGAGGAGGGCTTCCACTCCCTGCTAGTTGTGCCGTTTGGCCACTTGTCGACTCCTGCGCGAAAAACTTTCACAGGCCTCACTGCAATCATAATTTTCCGAAAGTGGGGGCACTTTTCTTACTTCTCACCGCCCCCCATATACAGGAGAGGACCTCTGCCCCGGCTAGTTGTACCGTTTGGCCACTTGTCGACTCCTGCACGGACGGTCCTCATAGCGCACAATGCAATCATATTTTTCATAAAGTGAGGGCACATTTCTCACTTCCCACTGCCCCCCCTTGCAGAGGAGGGCCTCTACCCCGGCTACCTCGTTGCGCTCACCTCCGCCGTCGGATGGTTTTTGACGCACCGCCTCGAGTCCGACAACCGCATCGGGCCCTGGGCCGGTTGGTTTGCCACGTGTCTCTACGCCGCCAAGCTGAGCCTGCTGGTTCTCGTCACGCCCGGAGTGCTCTGGTCGAGCGTTCTTTTGGCGGCGACCGTGACCCCGCCGATTTTGCTGTACCGGGACAAGTCGCGGCCGCAGTTCCGGGCCAAGATGAAGCCGTGGCAGGTAAGAACATGAGCGCTTGATTCTAGGACCCTGAAACGCTGAAAGCCGCGTTTGCAGCGACTTGGGGGCCGGCAGTGTGCTTCCCGCGTAAAGACAAGATTTTTCTTTCGGTGGCGACGGCGATTTCTTTGTATAGGGACAAAGCGCGGCCGCAGTGTCCGGGCCAAGATGGAGCCCTGGCAGGTCCGCACACTCATTTTGGCTGGGGACTATACGGGGCTCGGAAGAAGGGTTTTTCGGTCTTCAAGGTTGGCGTTTTGGGGCCTTGGAGGCTGTGCTTAAACTTGCCCGGGTTAGGATGTTGTGGTTGCAAACTTGCGCGTACGGGCTTAGGGAGTACTCGTCTTCGAAGGCTCCAGGTTTCATCTGGCGCTTGCCAAAGACGTCGCTGTAAGTGGGGCGGTGATCGCATGTTAGCAAACCTAGGGCTTTTACACACAGAGGCGGGTGTTTTTTGTTTCGAGCGACGGTACAGCAGGGGTTGCGGCGGTACCGTCGCCACGAAAACACAGCGGGTGTTTTTGCCAATTCGCCGACTCAAACGATCATACGTCAGCAAAAACACCGCGGTGTTCCAAAGTGCTACCCCAAAAAAAGCCGGGTAGCGAAAGTAAACTTTTTCGGACCGTCGCACGGGACTACTTTTGCGTGCGGAAGGTACCCCCCGAAGTCGCGCGGAGAGTTTGGGCAAAACAACACCTTGAGTTCTCGGCGAATTGCGAAAAAGAACACCCGCCCTGTGTGTAAAGACCCCTAACAACTCTTCGGTGAAAACCAAGGTCAAGGACGCTGAGATCCTGGAACCCTGTGTCTTTGCAGGCCGGGTTGCGTCCCATAAGGCTTGTAAAGTTTACCCTCTGCCATGATCCTTACAAGCAGAGCCCTGGTTGCGTTCTGCAACGTACTCTTTCGAACCCTCAGAAAATTGAAAACCGACATTGTGTAAATCCTCACGTTTCAATCCTGTGCTGCAGGCCGCATTCCATGCCGTCACCGTGACCGCCGCCGTGTGGTACTTCCGCTACACGCTCTTCGACCTGCTGTACGCCTGGAACGGCGTCCGGCCGTCCGACGGCGCGCTCCTCGGGACCATCGTCGTGGCGGCCGCGGGCGCGTGCGTGCCGATCGTCGCCTTCCACTTCACGCACATGCAGGTAGGGTCTAGACTCTTGCTTCCTTTCAATTCTGTTCTTTCTGTGTTACTCTCGCTAGAGCAGGCAAGCCATTTAGGAGGGAGGGCGTGCCGATGTCGCCTTCGACTCCACGCACATGCAGGTAGGGTCCAGACTCTTGCCTCTTTCGATTCACATATTTCGGTCTGTTTCAGGATTTCGCAAGAGCAGTCAAGGTAGGCTCTAGGGCGTGTGCGCCGTCGTTGCCTTCCCCTGGTCGTACATGCTGGTAGGACATGTCATGCGAACCTGACACTTGGTGAAGGAATGCAGGTCTGATAAGAAGCGAGTAAGCCTTGAAAGTTCAGATCGAGAAATGGTCCAATTTGTCTGTGGAAGTAAATGACCAAGGCCTTCAAATGATATCAATCTATCTGGAAGGACTGGAGTCAAGCTCTCTGCCTTTCTCTGTTCCTGCATCTAGATAAAGCCAACGTTGGACCGGACAGCTCCCCCAGGTAAGGTTGTCTGCTCCTTGGAGAGTCACTATTTTTCTTTCCCAAGAGAAGAGACATGGGTATACCAACTTCTCTCAGGCTGCCAAGCGCGCGGTCGTTTTGTTCATCGCCTCTGGCGCGGCTTCATTCTCCTCCGGACCCCCTCCCCGCGGCGTGGTCGCTCAACATTTTCATTGACGTAATTGAATTGCGTCAGCGTTCGGCTTGCCTCAGTTTACACGGGTGTTTTCCAGGCGAAGAGAGCTTAAGAAATTCAAAAGACGCGTCTGGATGGAAGTGTGAAATGAATCTAGGCACAAGAGGAGCAGCTCATTGCGGTGGTTCTAGTCATGGCCTAAGGCGCTTCTCATCCTCATGGCCCTTCATATTGGCTGCTCGCTGCACTCCTCGTGCTATACCTCGGCCACAATCCACATTCAGCTGGACGGCTCTTTTTCGGATTCCCCCTCCAAAAACCGAAACTCACAAAAACTTTGCTTTTCAACAGTCTGCAAAGCGCGCCGTCGTCCTGGTCATCGCCTCCGGCGCGCTGCTCATCCTCCTCCGGCCCCCCCTCCCCTCGGCGTGGTCCGTCTGGTGGGACGAGGACCACACCCCCGAGCACCTCCGCGACGAGCCATCCATCTACGGCCACGTGGCAGCCTCCGGGCACACCGCGGGCTGGCCCTCCTGGCTGCTCGGGGGCGCGCTGATCGCGTCCGTCGCCGCAATGACGTCAGCGGTGCCGATCCAGGACCGGCCCCTCGTTTCGGGGGGGTACGCCGTGGGGCTCGGAGCGTCGGTGGGGGTGTATCTGTGCGCGGGGTTCTTCTACGACACCCCCCTGCTGCACCCGCTGCTGTTTTTGGCGAGCGTGGCGGCGGCCGTGTTTCTGGTGTTCGCATACCACCCGACGGGCGCGAGCGCCAAGTACCTGCCGTGGCTGTTTGCGCTGCTTGCAGCGCTCCTTCCCGTCATGTACCTGCTGCCGCAGGTCAGAAAGCGTTCCTTTGTTCTTGCCCCTCCGTTGTGTTGAAATTTCTCGCTTGTCGGTTCGTCTCTACCACTTTCCATTGTTTTCCTCCCTTCCTCCTTTCTTCGGTTCTCTCTTTCTTTCTTGAGTCATCTTCAGTTGCTGTTGTTCAGTGAATGTATCTGCTGCCGTACGTTGGAACATCTTTTCTTTCTTGCACTCTCTCGCCTTATGGTACGGATATCACTCTGTTGCGTCTCAAGCTTCCTTTGCTCCTTTCAGTTTCTTTGTGGTGATGTACCTGCTACTACAGGTTGGCGGATCTTCCTCTCCTTTTGGTCTTCTGCCTTGCTGTCATTGTCACTCTCTTTGCCGGTTCATTTGCGGCTGCTTGCGGATTTTACTCTGATCAACCTGATGTTGCGCGTCGTCGGTGTTCAGTGGCATGTCTGAAAGCTTCCTGTGAGTACTTGGAATCAGTTAAGGGGGATAACCTGACGTTTAGGGTGCCTCTGTAAAGCCAGGACAATTGTCCCGAAATGATTGCTTGCTGCGACTGTCATCTTGCAGCCGCGTGCCGATCATTGCAGCCTTCCGCCGTCACAATCCAGTCATGTCAAAGCATCGGGAGCATTTATTGGCAGCTCTAGGCTTTCTTGGATCTGCTCGGCATTTTCATTCTTTTGTGCCTGGACCCAAAGCGGTGCACGACCCGTGATTGCATCCCGGGGGCAGGTGCAGATTGACTCGAGCATTATCAGGGTCGCAGGAACGCAGCGATGCAGGACTGCCGATCTTGGATTGCCCGAACAGCTGCTTTTTTCGGCCTTGTTTCTTCAATCCTCGAATCTCCCTTGCAATTGCCGCATCTGGCATAAGATGTGAGAGCACGTCGAGCTTATCCGAGGAGGCTCATGAGCGATTGCAATGAGCCGGCTCTTTCCCCTGCACAGAGTAGCGGGCTGTGCGTATTGCTCGTATTTTGGGTCTTGTGACTGATGGCGGTTTCAGATTCGATCAGGACAGAATGCTCTGTAGAGACACCGTCCGTGTCAAAGCCGGAAAGAGCAAGTATAAGCGAGCCTGTGCAAGCGAGCCCGTGCACTTGACAAAGCGAACCCCTCTGCTCATCACCGGTCTACCGCCTGAGTTGATCATGTATCCGCTTACTTGTTCAGACCGAAGTCGCCCACCGACTTTTCTGTTCCAGGTGTCGCTTATGGGCGCGCCCCCGATCTGGACCCCACTTCGCGCCTCGAGGAGGTTGCGCTCCTGGAGGATGCGCGCACGTCCCTGTCTTGCATAAGATATGTTTTAGCTGTATTTATTCATTCCACTCAGACTTAGGACGCCACTTTGGTTCAGGTGTCCCGCTTCGCGCGCGCCCCTGACGTGGACGCCGCGTCGCGCCTCGAGGAGATTGCGCTCCTGGAGGACGCGCGCACGTCCCTGGTCGCGCTCTACGCCGCGCTGTTCCTGCTCATCGCCCTCGTCATCAAGCTCAAGCTGACCGCCGTGCTGAGCGCGTCCGGCCACTCGCAGCCCGCGCTTCCGAGTCGACAACAGGGCTTCGCCCCAAGCGTAAGTGAAACTTCTTCTGGTAAAAGCTACTGTTAGGCGACGAGGCAGACATTGCGAAGTGGTTATGGTCGCCGTTTTGATCATCAAACTCAAGCTGACCGTCGTGCTGAGCGCATCAGGCCACTCGCAGCCGGCGCTGCCGAGTCGACAACAGGGCTTCGCACCGAGTGTAAGTAAACCTTTTGTTTATCTTGAAAACTTAGTTGGGCGACAGGTTTTTGTGTGTAAGGTTTTTTGAACAGGCAGTGAACATCGATGGTGGTCCCCTGTCGGTTATCAATCTCAAGCTGACCGCCGTCCTGACCGGCGCTGCCCAGCCGACAAGAGGGCTTCGCGCCGAGTGTGAGTACAGTAATACTTTTTGTTTGAGCCGGGCGACAGGGGGGATGTTGCGAAGGTTGCATTAGAGAGTGAACGGTGATCCTGGTCGCCGTTTCGTCAGACTCAAGCTGACCGCTGTCTTGCGCGCACCCAGCCACTTGCAGCCGCGGCAGCCCATTTGACAACAAGGCTTCGCACCAAGCTTAAGTAAAACCTTCGCTGATAGTCTCGGATAGTCGACTAGGCGAAGACTTGGCAACGTGGTTGAACAGAGGGGCCGTCTGTCTGCACCTCAAGCATTACCCTCACTCTCGCTCAATTTCATTCTTCGGAAGTCCTCAATTCAACGCTTCCGTTTGTTTATGCAGCACCGTCCGTTCCAGCCCCGCCGGACGTCCTTAGCCAAGGCACTGTCCGTCCAGAAGCTGTCCCGGGAGGGCGCCTGGATGCCCGGGCTGGGGAACGTGGCTACACTGCTCTCCTTCGCGCTCTGCATGCTGCTCAACCTGGAGTACACCGGGGGGTCCGACAGGTGAGCTTTTTGGGGTTTTAGAATTTTCAAAAAGAGGGTTAAAAAGTGGTAAGAAAGGGGTGAGCCCGGGGAAACCTATCGGGGGTTGTTCGGGTCTCTGCTTGACCCTTGAGTCAGATTTACAGCCGCTGCCACGAGTCTTCTGAGACCCGCTCGTCTTCTAAGGTCCACCAAGTATTCTTTGCGCTCTGTATGCCTCGCAACATGGATTTGCTCGGACCACGATAGGTGAGCCGGGGGGCCCATTGGGGGCTGTACTGGCTCTCGGCTTGACTCTCGAGTCGAGCCATCTCTACGGGCACCGCCGCACGTCTTTTGATATCCACAAGCTGCTCACACTTATCATTCTTTAGAACCATGCGAGGCAGGTATGGACTGGGAGCTTCAGTGGCACGATTGAGATGCAGGATGATTGAGAATTCCCGTCCGCTCAGGAATTCCGAGGGCAGTTGCCGTATCGGTGAGGGCCGGTCTGCTCGCCAAGAAGCCTCTTGTGTTCGCAAGCGTCCCCCAGTTGTAGAAACGTTGACTACGAATGCTGCACGTCGACAGTCTTTTCAAGCGCATGACACACTCATAAGAGGCAAATTTGTCCGGAGGGCGCTCTCGCCTGACTACTCTTTGACAAATCGAGGTCCCTATCTGAAGCACTAGCAGTTACGAGTAGCTTGCCTTCTACAACCTTTTCTCCTTCCCCTGGGCAGGTCCATCTTCGTACTGGCGCCCATTCTGCTGCTACTCAACCAGGACGCCAACCTGTTTACCACCTTCACCGACCGGCAACGCTACTTCCCGGTCACTCTCACCATCACTCTCTACCTGGTCATCTCCTCGGGGTATCACATAGTGGTCGGGGCGTTACAGGGCGGCCTCGCGTCGAGCCTCCTAAGCCTAGCCGGCAGGAATAGCGTCCTAGTGTTCACGGTCAAAAACGCGCTGCTGCTTCTGGTGACGTTACCCAATCAGGTGCTGTTTAACACCTTCATGTGGGACAACGTGAAGCAGTCGAACATGGTGCTAATGTCTCTGACCCCGCTTAACCTGCCAGCGGTGCTTCTTTCGGACGTGTCGACCGTTAGGGTCCTAGCGGCGTTAGGGGTAGGGTTCGCGCTGGTCCAGTTCCTGGTGTCAAGACGCGTGAGGCTCGCCGGGCTCAGATACATTTGATGCCCGGTATTGATTCCGATAATTGCATAACTTCGAGTCGTTTATGCCCTGCACGAATCTATTCCGATTCATTGAATAATCGGACTTCAGGATGCCATCGTTCTGCTCTAACGGCGATCTCGCAAGCTAGTAATGAGTGTTTTTTTTTTTTTTTGTGGGTCCGGGGTTCGAAAGTCGGGGTTTCAAAGTCCAGGGTTCCAAAGTCGATCGTTGAAATTGGATTCAAGTTAGATCCTAGGCGCGCAGCCGATGTGATCTGAATACTGTCACTTTGTGCCAGCATGCGGATTGCAATCCTTCATTTTGCGGTACACTCTTGGTTGCGGCCTCCGTGTAGATTCCATGCATGATGGGGCCCGGCGCGCCGCTTTGCCAATGACTCGGGTGAACTTACGTGGTCGGACTGCATACACCGCCGCACTTAGTTGTGTCTATGATGCCACAGCTGTCACACAACCGGTCGTACATGCTGCATCCAGTATGCCGTGCAGATATTGCCGGATATTGGAGTCTGCTATTGTAATTGTGCACTAGCACATGCTAGCTAAGCCCCCATCCTCAAGCAAAAGCCATGATGAGTTAATGCCGGCCGGCGGCCGCATGCATGATCAATACCTATGTGCCCAATTTTTCATCTTTTTCCAAAGCATACATCAGCACAACTAGGTGTGTTGGACGTACCTGTACCAAAGCTATCATTTATTCCAAAGTCAATGCATGCAAGCAAGCTGAGCGTCCAACGTGGGTAGAATGCCCCACATATTCACACCCCCGGGCCGGCGGGCCCGAGCAAACAAAGTAAGTCTTCACGAGGTAGTTTAACAATCACGTGCTCCCAACCCAACGTCCTCTCTTACCCGGCATGCTACCCGGCTGTCCCTTGGGCGCCTGTTTCAAGGCACACTGCGGTTAGGGCCGCCACAGTATGATTGGCACACGATGAAAACAATTGGCACATCGAGCCTGAGATACATCAGGCATGTCAACACATGATTGCATGCCACCGTCCTTAAGTACCTCATCCCGAGATTAACACGACGGGATTGCGCCCCGTCACATCTTCATGCATCATGTTTCATTTGCGACGTGCGCACCGCAGTGCTATTCTCATCATACAGAGCAAAACTAGGCCAGCGGGCAACCAACTTGAAGCTGGCAGTAAGCAGAAGAACATCATTCCTTCATGAAATGCAGGACAGTCACTCAGTGGTGGCGGTGGAAGAAGTGGCAAAATTTCGTTACACATCGAATTGAAGTACTGTAAGCTGTTTGGCCAATTCCAATGCTGGAATCTTTGTGCCTCGTTTATGCATCAATAATTATGAGTATCATTACGAGGTGCTCTGAAAGTCCAAGAAGTAAGCCCCCCTTTCGACCAATGTAGAGAATGGTGTCTCTGATCACTAAAGCTTGTTGGATGGGCATAATAACTCCCTTTGAACGAATGTGAGAGCTGGAGCTGGCTGCAACTTCTGCAACTTATTGGTGACAACCTGAGATGAGAAAGGAGCGAGAACGACTAGCCTACTCTAGTATTTCGGCATGTGTCCACGGTATTTCGAGCACGACCCAACGCCATTTACTTTTGCGGTCAGGGTTTCCCAGGGCCACAGCCGGCTAGAGAACTTGGACCTGGCCTACCGAGAAGGGACCCCGGCCGCTGCCGAAGGCAAGAATGCAGGCAAGCAAGCGGTGGGCTCCGGCCAAACAAAAGGAAATACCGACGCCGCAGGCAGCTAGCCGGCCCCCGGGACGAAACCCCGTGGGAATTTGGAAACCCTCGGGAACGGGACGGCCGTCAATCATGCATGGGCCCGGGTCCACCCGGCCCGACGTCCTCCAATAGCAGACCGGCATATGTCTCAAACTCTTTCTAACTCTATAAACATTCTCGAGCTCCGCTCCGGCCCCGGGAGGTTGAGATCAATGATGGATGGACAAAATTGATGAACACAGTGCCCGGGGATCAAAGAAAAGTTTCAAAGATGGGCCACTCCCAGCTTGCTGAATAGGTACACCCGCTCCAGTCTCATCGTGGAGTTCGGAATCTAGGTGTTGAACCTGCGGCGCAGGAGCTGGGTGAAATGCGGGCCATGGCTCATCTCTCATGACCTTGCTACTAAAGAACGCCCTGCTGCCCTGGCGCCCCTCCTTCTGCAAACCACATTTTCTGCAGCAGCACGCCTGTTTTTAGCTGGCTTCCTGCTAGGATAACCGTCCACCTTGCTGCTTGGTGGCTTGGACAGAGAAAAATCAGCAGGCGGCATCAGCTTGCAAACCAGCGCAAGCGAACCCATCTTTTTCCTGGCAAAACATGAAGTGAAGATTGTCTTGCCTGGAGACTCAATCTCTTTCCTGGCACTCACCAAACGCAATGGAGATGTCTGGCCTTCCACGGGCGTGGCCGTCCACTCAGGAGCTCATCCAGCCGGCTGCCCCCATTGGCGAGGACGCGCCAACTTTCCTGGCCGTGAGCAAATCGTGGAGACCCTACCAAGACCAGTGGCTGGAAGCCCCCCTCCCCTTCCTGAAGCGCACCCCCCGCTGCTACTACCGTTGGCGCTGGCTGGTTCTCTACCCCTTCCAATGGCGCCTCTTCCGCGGGCTCACCACCGTCGGCGAGCTGCTCCTCATCCTAGTTCTTCTCGCCGTCGGCGCCGCGGCCGCATATGCGGCGGGCCATGGGTTCTCGTTCCGCTCGGACGTGCCCCCCGGAAGCAACCACCAGCCTGTTCTGAGCACGGGGAGCATCGCACAGGTTCCCTTGCTGCTCGTCTGGACGCTCGCGTGTCACAATAGCTTATGGACGTTCCTCCTGGGGATACCCTTTGAGCGGGCCCTGTTCTGGCACAAGCTCATGGTGTGGCTCAGTCTGGGGCTCGGGGCTTATCACGGCGTGTTGGGACAGCTCAGCAAGGGCGAGGATCCAAACCACCGAGTCACGGGCTACGCCCTCGGCGGCATCATGCTCGCTCTAGTTGTCACGGCCTGGTCGGGCGTGCGGCGGGCCCTGTTCGACTGGTTCTACCGCAGCCACTGGGTGCTTTTCATAGCGTCGGCCGTCGTCGCCGTCATGCACGGGGCCTCCCTGGTGCTCATCGGCGTCGGGCTCTGGGGCTTCGACGTCGTCGCCCGGTCCTACATGGCGAAATGGAAGCATGCAAAAGACGGGGACGTTGCACGGTTGCCCGGGGACGTCGTGCGCATCGAGTGGCCCCGCGAGGGTTTCCAGTACTTTGGGGGCCAGAACGTGTTCATCTGTGTGCCAAAGATTTCGGTTTGGGAGTGGCACCCATTCAGCTTGTCGTCACACCCGGGTGCGGACAAGGTGACGGTGCATATTCGAGTGCTGGGGGACTGGACCAAGCGCCTGTACGACCTTGCCTCGCAGTGAGTCGACAATCCTCAACAACGAGCCGATCGTTCACCTCGTCATCATGATGTCCAATCCGTGCAATTACAAGAGGAGAACCAACTTGCTTTCAGTAACTACACTGCAGATACGAGGGTAAAGGCTGTATCGCACCCCTTACAAGCTGAGATCTTCAAGCTTTTGGAGTTTCTTTCCAATCAAAGACCTTTGGGAGGTCCTTGCCATAGAATCGCCCAACGACTTCAAAATTAGGACTTTATGCCTCTGAGTTCCAAATACGTGTATTTTATGGCTCCCGTGCTTCGACACTCGAGTGTGCACAGCTGTCGCCAACTTGAAAGATTCACGCCCCTTTGTTTCAGTGCCATGTCAAAAGTGCCGACAAAATCTCTGGCTTATAATCCAACGGGTGGTCAGCATCAGACTGGGGGTTTTCGCCAAACAGCCTTGCCTGATCTCTCTGACTCGCTGTTGGTCCGATGCAGCGTTTGCACATACTGCAGTGTCCTCCTAAGCAGTCTCACAGAGCCAGCTTCTTGCCTGTCTGCCAAGACACTTTTCTGGTTTGTGCTCCTTTCTGCTGGTTGGCCATTGCAACGCTTCGGGTCAAAATGAGTTCCAAAACGAAGACAGCTTCCCATCCAATCATTCGTACTGAGGAGCCCTCATCAAGAGCCAGGTTGCTCAGAGCCCGCCGTCAAATCTTATTTCCTTTCTCCGGGTTTGTTTGGCTCAAGTTAACTTATCCGTGTGGCATGCCAATTCCAGGTTCGATCCCATACAGCCTGCGACCAGCTGCTCAGCATTCCGCTGACCTTTGACCATTTTTCAGGGTGCCTCAAGTTTCTGCTCAAATCGGTCGTTTGAGCCAATGCGCAGCATTCCCGATCCTCCTCATACCGCATCAGGCCTCGCGTGATCATACCATCAACTAAAGCTCGCATTATGTACCCGCAATCCATGATTCTGCGGCGCTTGTAAAGCACTCTGATGCGTCGTTTCAGGACGGACGACGCTCAACCCATCCAGTTCCTGTTCGAGGGACCGTACGGATCTCCTTCGGTCGACGTCTGTGGCGACAAGTACCAGATGTTTCTGCTGATTGCGGGCGGGATCGGGATCACACCGATGCAGTCCATGGTCAACACGCTGGTCAGTTTCAATCCTCACAAGAAGGTTTGGCTGCTAAACAGGCTGAATACCAGGCATGAGTCTCAGGTTATCGGACATATAACCGGGCTTTAACCTTGTTCCAAGGCTGGTCACCGCCCAAGTCTGGGTATTGGATAGTTAATCACTTTGAAGTTAACCATGTTGACATAACCACTTTGAACGTCCGGCCCATAGCCAGCCCATAACCATCCATGGTTAAGGGCCGGAATCCTCTGTGCTTGCGGCCTTCGTTATCACCGCCGTCCATTGCCGTTTGCTCTTGCCTCATGCATCAATCGTCGGGGGTTTTGTGGGATTTTGAGCCCTCCCCTTGAAACGCTACCGAAGGACAAGAAACAAGCTTATGGGCTACAGTCGAGCATGAAAATTCTTTTACTGTGCTGACTGAAAACAAGAGATAAAAGTTGAGTCTCTACTCCGGCACGCCAACAATTGCATGTCCTACTCAGAGGTCACATGAAGAAATGAACTCTGAAGCTGACATGAAGTCAATGCGCTGTGATTGGGCGATATGCGTTGAGCGAATACAAGAGATGGAAGCGAAGGCGCTGCAAGAGACCATAAAGATCGTGTACTAGAGCGCTGGCAGACAAAGAAATATGAGAATGAAATAAAACAATCTTTCTAAGGCAATAGACGAGACAGCACCTACCGCTGCTGCAGGCTCCTTCGGCGCAGCAACTTGATGGGTGCTTCTTGCCTTCTCAACCCTCGAGAACGTCGAGAAGTTCCAACAAATAACTGAAGTTCTCGAATGCTTGCCCCTTTAACCCTATAACCCTAAAACCCTGAAACGCAGATGGCCGACGCCCACCGCGGCCGCCCCGTGAAGAAGGTCTGGCTCGTGTGGTCGGTGCGCGACGATCACCTGATCCGTTCCGTCCTTCCGCACGACGGCGTGTACGAGCGGAAGCAGCTGCCAAAGCGGCTGCCCACGAGTTTCTCGCCTGACGTCATCGCGGATGACCTCAGCGCGGACCCGGGTGACGTCCAGCCGGAGAAGCCGCTCAAGGAGGCGCGCCAGCTGCATACCGAGTTCTACCTCACGCAGGTTGGGCAGGCGAAGGCGTTTGATCGGTTAATGTCTCGACGTGTTTTTTTATGTTTGTCGTGCGTTTCTTCGGATTCATGTAGCTCTTTGGGTTTTCAGGTTCCACTCTTTTTTTCTTTTGGGTCTCTTAGTCTCGCCTGTTGTTTTTCTTTCTGAAGGTTCTTAAGTTCGTGTGTTGCTTTGTGTGTTCTATGATGATTTCTTGACTATCAATTATCGAAGTGGCACATCAGACGTGGTGCTTCTGCTTGCTCTTCTCGGTCAAGAACCCTGCACGCCGGTTTGATCTGAAGCTTGAAGCTCCACTTGAGATCTTGGGGTTTGGGGCTGCGGTGATTGCACGTCAGCGCACTTGAAACCGGAAAGCGACCACAAATTGCAGACTCATGCTTCTGTTGAGTTTAAGAACTTGTGCTGGAAGTCTTTTGTCGATTGATGGCGCGGATCCTTTCCACGACGTGGAGGTGCGCAGCTGCTCGAATGATGCTTTGTCGCATCCTAAATCTGCTCTTGATCCCGTCCTGTTTACGTCCTTCCGTAAGCAACGGCTTACGTTAACCAATCTTTCGTGCCCGCCATTCCGGCTATATACAGATCTCGCAGTCAATCTGGTTGCCAAGTCACCCTTAATCCTTCCCTTAAGCCGCTCTGTCTCCTTCTGGCCTGTCATCTAATTGGCCCAAGATTCACACACTTTTAAACCGTTGCTAATATTCCCTGTACTCCATCTCTCCCCGTATACTGTCTTGTGTCTTCCTTCTTTAACGCACCCCTTAGAGCTGCCTTCAAATCAAAAGCAAAGAAGACCGCGAGGAAACCATTGCTCCACCTACCAACCCTTCATCTCATGGCGAAGCGAAGCAGAGATGTCCAGCTATCAAGTGAGAGTAGTGCACGTGGAGGCGATCGGGGGTAGTTCCGAGAGCCAAAAAGGGAAGGCGTACCGCAACGCGTCGGCAAACAAACTCCCAATCTTCCATCGGTTCTCGCCCCTGTGCGACATCGACGAGGCGCACCTGGGTTAGTCCTTAACCACGCACGAAAGGCGCTCCTTAACCAGAGCCCCGAGCTTGAAACCACCCCTGTTCACAACAACGTAGTTTGTTGACCTTTTCTCCTAAGGTCGTTCGCGCCTGTCTCCAGGTGAGGGATCCCTCCGGCTTTGCGGACGCCAACATCCAGCCGGAGCTGCAGCCGTACCTGCGCTTCGGACGTCCGGACCTGCCGCGGATCTTCGAACAGATGCGCGAGCTCGCGGCCGCGTATGGCGAAACTAGGGTGGCGACGCTCGTGTGCGGACCGCCCGGGATGATTGCGGACGTCCGACGGCTGAGCAGCCGGCACAGAGTGAACGGGGTGCGGTTCGACTGCCACGTGGAGACGTTCGAGTTGTAGGTTGATTGAGTTGCACGGGTTCAGGAGTTGGGAGCTTGGTCATTCGAGGGTCGCGCGTTTTACAGCAGATTCAGGGTTTATTGAACGGTAGAATTGTGTACGTTCGCACAGGCCGCATGCTGCCGACTTTCGACAGTCAAGTCTGACGCATCGGTTTGGCTTCTCAAGTTAAGCGCACCTATCTCAATGACCTTCAATCTGCATGGTCCACAACCGCTTGCTGGGCCCGAAAATAATGTTCGCAAGCCTTCCTACACACCCGACCCGCGTTTGGGACGAGATTTGACTACAGACTAGATCGCTTTCTCCTGAAAGCGTCCGCCTCTCATGTGCTTCTGGCACCCTAGCCATGTTAGCATCAAGGTCCTGGCCGTGCCAGCATATGAGCTGCGTACAGCAAATGCTCAGGCTCTAGAATTGCAATCAACTAAGACTTGGACAATCACCCCCGAAGATTCCTGTGCTACGAGACAGAAACACTGACGTTTCAAATTCATAGTACCATCATGAGGACGAAGCGCACAGCTGAGTCTTACCCCAAATGCCAGAACGCAGAAAATCTGCGACCCACGTGCAGCCCAAAACGAATTGCGGCTTACTATTTGTCTCCTCGTTTGACACGTAATCTGGAATTGCCAGCTCAGAGGGGACGACGACCTCCTTCCATGACGGCTTATCCTAAAGCTCTCTTTGTATCAGTCAAATGTGGTTGTAATTCACCCTAGCCTGGCTGACCATTCTATTGATATTCAGCTATAGCTTTTGACCTTGACTTGTCTCTGATAATTGGAGTTGGACTTGCTACATCTTGCCGGAAGTTTCATGATGCTCGGCCCGCCGCCGGATTTTGAGGGTTGACTTTTCAGAGTCAGCGTAGGACCTTACTACTCCTGAAGCTTACGGCATATGCCTAATCAAAGAGACACCTCCTCCACTAGGCTCCGTTCTAACTTACAAAGGGGCCCGGGTCATACAGGATCTTTGAATATTTAAGCAGCAGCTTATCAGATTGCACAACCACTTTGCCCTTTTCTTGCTCTAAAGGATGCAGTGACTTCGTACGCAAAACCTTGGCATCGTCGAACGGATCGAGTGGCGAACGTTGACAGAATTGTTGACGCGACAGAAAGGTAGTGAAGAAATGAACAGATTCTGAAAGAAGGAAAGGCCGCCAAGTCATTCGCCAGTGGACACTCTAGACGCATGCTGCGCTAGTTCAAGTTTGCGCCCTGCTTTGAGGTGTCGGCATATACCTAGTTTGGAAAAAGGTTGATAATTTTTAATGTCATCAGAGCCTACGATGAAGCTGCCCCGTACTCGCTCCCACTCTAGCTGTGGGAAGAACTTTGTGTAATCTGAGTGCTTTGGAGCTTCAATTAATAGAGTATATATATCGAATGCTGACCTTTGCACCGCGTTTTACTGAAAAATGCGGTCACGTCCGGCGGCCCGCGCATATGATCCGATGGAGATTTATCTTTTGAATAGAGCCCTATCAAATGCTCAGGATTCCGGCTTGATCTCATGCTTTCTTCGTTCATTTTAAAATGTCCTGATTACGGTGACGATTTTTCCAATGCATGGTTCCAAGAAAATCTACTTGAGAGGGGAGCTAATTCTCTTCACGACGGAGTAGCATCTCGAAGGCATTGGGAATGACGGCGGAAAGGTGCGTACTCTTGAGTAAACTGTGCGTGTGCGTGTGCTCATTCTTCTTACCTGCGGCCTCAGAGATTTTGGTGGCTTTGCAACGCCCAATTTGCCGAGCAGCCCAAGGTTCTTATCTCCGCTGCATTGGTATGCATCAGATGTAAAGAAGCTCTGCTTTAAGCATTCAGAAACGTTTCGAAGGAGCTGGAGGAGTGTACGAGAAGGCCTACTTGGCTGCCTCACCGGATGCACTCAGGTAGAGCATACAAATCTGGCTATAGATAACAGACTGGTCTTCGCAGGCGAGCTGTCATTCCAACTTCCAAAATACAAAAGTTTTAGCTCAAGCACCCAAAACGTCCTCTCAAAAGGTCCGCTGTGGCAGAAAGCGCTTGCAAAGGCGCCTCGAAGAAGGAGACAAGCTCGACGAGTGAATTCCATACGGTTCTGGAGTGGGCACCATGGCGCTTCGAACGCTCCTCCTGATCTCCTACTTCCTGGCTTTCGCGGCGGGCACTTCGAAGGTGAGATGTTCCTTCCTGCACAATCTGGTTCTCAACTTGAATGTGCAGCTGCTTCTATTGTGGTTGAGTCGCAGGTTTATTATCTGAGAAGGCTGATAGTCTGTCCGATTCTGAAGTGACTGTCTGGTGACCTTGCTGACTCCTAACACTGCTCTTGTCCTGAACTCCGAACATACGTTTCTCTGCTTTGAACCAACTTCAGCACACCCGTCGATCCCTTGCGTTTGGATTCTGTTTTGAGAGCTTCTCTCAGGCCTTGGAACTTATTCTGCCACTGAACGGTCGTATCTGAGCTGCCCCCTATAACTTCCTTTCATGTCTGTTTGAGCTGTTCGTAACTTCGCAAATCGTTCAGTCTGAGAATCTTGGATTTGCAAAAAAGAAAAAGCAGCTTGTAGCCGACAGTCTGCAGAGCTTACCAATCCTGAAATCCCAGCTTGCTTCTAAGAAGTGGGTCACTGTGCACTCTCGATACCTGCAGACAGTCACGCGGCGTGAGAAAAAGGTCCAAAAGTTTGGTTCTTCATGTTGCATCCCTTCTTCTCAGCCCTTGGAAATTGACCTGTTGACGAATGGCTTCTAAGCGAAACTGTGAACCCTCATCGAGTCTGTAGCTGACAGATGAACTCTCTTTTCATCATCAATTTCACAGTGTGTCTTCCTTTGTCGTGCCAGAAACAGATTTCTATCTTGAAAGTCCTTGTCAATTTGCATTCTCTTTCAGGTTGCGGCCGCGCGCCGCATCGCCCAATCCTCGCCCATGGCGGCCGCCAACGTGAACGTCGAGGTCACCAACGGCGTAACGTCACAGGTACAGAATGTGGGCAACACCGTGACTTCATACGGTTTCAGCACGCCGGACAGCTACACGTGCCGGACGGACGCCGCCATGAACTGGGGCTGTACGCTGAACGGCGTGCCGGTGCTGCAGATCCCGGTCGTTCTGATACCGGTCATCAGTGAGTTAATTTCGCAACTTTATATTCCTCTTTTGGCGGCGCGCGCTCGCAATCAAAACAGTTCGCTTTCGTTCCCAAGCTTCCAATATCCTCGAGCTACGGTTTTGTACTTTCCTGGTTGAGCCCAGTCCCTTGCGGACGGGGCTCTTCACGTATGCGACGTGCTGACGGCAAGCTACAATTACTTGCCTGTGCCCACCGCTGTGGCGACGTTATTCTTTTCAGGGTGTTCGTTGTTTCGTTATTCGTTGTTCGAGTGTGCTTCGCGCCGCGTCGGATTTGGTCGCTTTTAAATGAAGGAACTTGCGTCCACGACAGGTCACTTGGGAGTACTTATCCTGGTTGGGAGAAAATGAAATGGACGAGTGACTGCAAAATTTTCGCTACGGTGTCTTGCACTTAATTAAGCGGCGCTTTTTCATAGAGCAAGTACTGACGGCTTTTGCGGAAGCCCACCGTCGCCATCGTTCAGTCTGCCGTTCACTTTTCAGATGCTTGCACCTTCCAACAAAGTCGAAGCAAACCGCACACCGGACAGGGAAGCCAAAGCAGGGCTGCCTGATTAGTTGGTCGTTCCTTTAAGAACCGCTTTTCGAGAAAGATCTTACAATCTACACGGGATTGTGACCGAAGAATGGGATCCCGCAAAAACAAAAACCACAGCTTCGGTGGATTCCAGTCGTCCAAACCAGATGGCAGAGCCCTCGTATATCGCAAAGCTCCAGATCAAGAACCCATGTGCACATTCTCGTCAAGCGGCGGCCCTATCCATCTACCTTCTGCACGATCTCCTCAGGGTCGTTCCGTTCCTTTCCGTGCAGTCAAAGTGGTTTCCGTCCCGACATCTTCGCCAACCGGTTCGACCCCCTCACCGACCCCAATCTCCTCAGAGACCCCGAGCCCAGCACCTACCGGAACCTCAACCCCGGTTCCCACTCCGGCCCCCAGTTCGGCGACCCCGACACCCTTCCCGTCGCCCTTCCAATCGCCCGGTCTGACGCTTCCCCCGGTCTCCATCGAAGGCTCCACCCAGCTCTCAGTAGGCGGGGTTGTGCTTCTGCCGACCGGTTCCCCGGCTCCATAGATTTACTAGTGCTACGTTCGTGCACTCTGCGCTACGTCCGTGTATGATAATCATCAGACTTTGGTAGTTGACACCAAGAAACGTAACCACTGCTTGAGTTGTGTAGAACAAAGCTTCACCAAAAGTCGAACTAGAGAGTAGGTTACAAGTGATGTAAAGACGAGCGCAGATAGCTAGCGTTAGCTTTGGCGTGAAGTAGTATAAGCTTACTTTGCAACTCAAGCGGATCGAAGTGACAGGTTTTTAGTACGCTTGTCTAGCCTTCTATGATGCTGCAAACACTGTAACCCACTGGCTTTCAAACTTTGCACAAAAGAAATCTTCGTTTGTTCGGCCTCTTAGATCAATTCAGGGGCCTCGGTATCATCGAAGCAGGGAGCCCTCATGGCTCTTGCATCCGGCGCTCATACCAATGAATGCTTCTTTGATTTGAACTTCATTCCGCATTATGGAGTACATCTGCTTACGCTAAGAAAGGCTTGTCGTGATGACTTACGGTTCATGCGAATTCGACTGGTCGACATGGATGGTAAATGCACATACTGAATCCCGTGCTTCACTTGAAAACTCTCTTCATATGAGAAACGTTGAAAATCACACGCATATCGACAACGCATTCTGGGGCCCGCAAAGATCCTTTCAACGCCGGAAAGATGGGATGAAGCGCTTTTGGAAGAGTGATGCCGGGGAGGCCCTCCCAACTTTGTGAGTCGATCAGGCTTGCAATCTTTTGTCTGCGAAGTACTCGCTTTCTTGTTGATCGATAGCTCGAGATAGCAAGTATATGTAGGAGAACTTCAAAAGTTCTTTGTCTGACCGCGTATTAGCAGGAATCAGTGTAGATCTAAGTTCCTGTTTCTCTTTCTCCAACCTTGTGGCAAAGTAACACTTGGGCTGCACTTTGTTCTTCTGAAGACCCGAAACGAGATGCGAGACGAAGGAAAAGGGTCAGCTCGACAGAGGGCACAGATGGATGTTGGTGAGTTCTGTGCCCTTCATGACAATCCCGTGGGGCGAGGAGGAAAGCTTGCCCCACAGATTGAAGTAGGTTTCCCTTGACCTGCAAGCAGAAGAGTCAGCAAGCAAAAGCTAAGTCAGTAAGCACAGACTGTATTGCCCACACCAAACGCGCAGCGCTATTGGGTTGCAGAGACAATATCAGTGGAGGATAAGAAGCAGAATACTAGACGATCTGTTCAAGAACCGCTTTTGAAGGGCAGAGAAAGAGAGACACGCGATGGCGCTTCTGAGGCTCCTCCTGGGAATGGCTCTGCTCGTGGCAGCAGCGGCTCAGGTAAGATCCGTTTTCTTCAGACGTAGATGTTTTTGATAGCCGTCTGAGTTGTGCGACATTACTTTGCTGTTATTCTTTCCTTCGCTCACAGACTTTTCCTCTCTTGCCTGTTCCTGATCCTCTGCTGTACTTCAGACTCCTGGCCCCATGCGCACTGCGTCCTCAGCTTTCTTTTTGCAGAGCGCTACACTTGTAGCAAATGGTCTTCTAAATTGGTATGTTCAGAACAGACAGCCTAGAAATTGAGTTCAATATGAAATGCATGCAGGAGACCTTAACAATCACTCCAACAAATAGCTGCACGCTATCATTTTCGGAGAAGATCGGAGACAGTTCTTGGCTGCATCAAAACATTTTTAAGAGTGCTTCTGACATTCTTTCATTCTCAAAGCATCGGCTAAAGGGATTGTCAACAATTTGAAGACTTTCCAAGAATAAATAAGTCGATCACGCGGATGATTCTGGGGACTTTTGCATCTATTGTAGAGGTCTTCGCTTTTTTGTATTCAGCGTCCAGTAAGGTACTCCTTTGTCTGATCGTGCCAAGGTCTGTTTTGGTTCTTTACTTGGAACGCCTCATGAAGATCTTGCAAGAGTTGAGGCCTTTCCATTCCTGATTCTGCACAATTTTGCTACTCCTCCTCGCGCTGGAGCCTCGCAGAACGTTAATAAAAATAGCACCCACAAGGCCGGTCGAGATTGGTTGAACAACTCTCATAAATGGGCATAGCATGAAGCTTATAAGTTCCAACACAAGCAGTCTATGGGTCCTTCCGTTGATGAATTCTAACGCCCTCTTGCTGACCTCTTGATCCGAATTTCTCTGAGAAGAACGGACCTGTCCCCTCCTTATAACTATTTCAGCTACTTACCTGATCAAGTAACAAGACATCAAACTTCAGCACTTCCTGCGCTTTCTTTAGGGCACGCCCCCCCACTCGATCGTGGTGAACGGCGTCACGCAGTCGTGGCAGACCGTCGGCGGCGTAACGCAGTACTCGTTCAGCACTGCGGACGGTTACCTCTGCCAGACGGACCCCAACATGCAGTGGGGCTGCCTGCTCAACGGCGTCATCGTGCTGGAAATCCCGGTGGCCATTCTTCCCATCAGTGAGCACTGACTGGAAAGAACTTTCTCAGCTCTTTTTGGGCAAAATTGCAGGTTTGCCCTGTTTGAATACAGAGAGGGAGCGGTGTGTGACCAGTAGCACTGAGCGACCAGAAAGCCGGAGTGCCACCTTGTTAGTCGCCTGCGCCTGCGAATCGCTGTTCTATAACGGGGTGTGAAGTGCGTTACGGGTGCCTTGCAAATGCCTACGGTATTCTTCGACGCGTTTGATTGAATCGCAAGTGTTATAGCCTCAGCCCGGAGTGTGGTTCTTGGAAACTGGCTGGGCTTGGAACGGAGAATTATCTCATCTGCTTTAGCATTTAAACAACCTCAAATCAGGGCTCGCTTTCGATTCGTGCAACACTTACGTACATCTATCGCGGTCCTTTTCTATACATCTCCAAACGACTCTCTACGCAAGGATTCATCTGCTCTTCTGACTCCGCTCGTTCCGTTTCCGCCAGGTGGGCTGGTCTGCATTCCGTTCGGCGCGCCCACCCCCGCTCCCACCTCTCCGGCTCCGGTCACTTCCACCCCGGTCCCTTCCTCCGACGTCCCTACAGAAACGCCCAGTACACCGGTACCAACCGTTCCAACCCCGCCCAATACCCCCAACCCCAGTAGCAGTGAGCCAATCACACCTGGGCCCAGTACCGTTTTCCCGGTGCCCCCATCGTCGCCCGGTTTGACACTGCCCCCGGTTTCCATCGACGGCTCGACCGCGGTCTCGGTTGGGGGTGTGGTCATCGGGCCGCACTCCCCTTGAAGGAGCATATTTCAAGCTTTGACTGAAGAGGTTGAGATTTACACTTCACGATCTAGAAACCGCCTCGCTGGAGTTTGTAGACAACAGGCTACCATTCCAAGTAGCATGAATAATCTTTTTGACAAACAAGACGGCCATGCCTCTGAGCATTCGAGTGTAGGCCGACCGTTTAATCACCGGTTATGGTCCTTTTACTGCCGCTCCGAGGACATGTACTGATCAAGACATCAGATCATTGACGTCGTGCAGACCTTCCCCTAAAAAGCGGGTTCTCATCATTACTACGATCGTGTGAGAATTTCTTCAATATGTTGATAATTAACATGACAAGTCGATGCGTAAGGTACGTCTAATGATCCCACCTGCTTAGCCAGTATAGGGTGCATGTGTGCATCTAAGTCTCATCGCTTCATACAGGTACGTCCTGGCCGGTAGTTGTGAATCATTGGCATAGATTGCTTCTTCCCTCCCGATCACGTACTAAAAGACGTTGCATGGGAGTGACCATTCAATAAACTTTGTAATGTTTTATGCGACGAGGTGCATGATCGGGTCACTTGTACGAAGAAAGTTTTGCCACCATACATGTTCAAATAAACCCTACATCTTAAACTTGTACGATATGCATTCAACGTTTTGACCGCAAACTTGTAAGTCGACCAATCAAAGTTGCACAACTTGTGCGCATATATGCGTCATGCACTACATCGTATGATGTCGCTTGATGCAAGCAAGATGACATCACATTGATCGATCTGATATTTTACAATTTTGCGATCCAAGATACATAACAATCGCCAAGAAAATGTTTGAGTAACATGTACGGATTCCCAGAAGGCGGCCGGTGCCACGTGCATGAATGGAGCTTGGTATCTCGGTCAAAAGTCTGGTTCTCATGCAGATAGTGAAATCACTCCTAGAACAGAGGTTTGGCAGCAATTGTCTTAGCGAAGCGGCATCAGTAGTCTGTTTGCGTCGGACCTTACATGAGTCGGACTCGCAGATCGACGCAACATTAGCAAGGCGCATTCTCAGTATCTATTGGTCCTGCCGGAGTATCTGAACAACCTTTTTGACCAATTCTGAGATCTGTGTCGCCTTGTTCCTGCCGAATGTGTTGTCCTGGGTCATTGCTTTCGGCACGTCCTTCGCACCTGGGGCAGGAAAACAAGCGTGAAAGCAAGCATGAATCAAGCATATACTGAGCATTGCATTTGAAAACTCAAGGACTCCAGCAGACTCAAAATATTCAGGCACCGTGATCTCGACCGCTTGGTACATCAAGGTCAACATTCTGGCCCCTTGAGCGCTTAGAAACTGAACTGACCGAGTCTCCGAAGAGGAGGGTTCGGAGTCATATTCGGAGGCAAGCTTAGAGGTCTTGCTATTTGAGCGAGTCGGAAGTTCCTCACAGCAGGACAAAGAAACGGGATGCAAGACTTGGTAACTTCCTCGAGCACTATTCTAGAACACGCACCCCAATCCAGAGACGCTCCCTTTGATCTGTCCAATGACTTCGCAAATTGCTGCAAGATTCGTAGAGGTTTTGTAAAAAGCCGGAGCTTTTGCGTGTCTCTTGTGGCCTTCCGCTGCAGACTGTTTCACTGCGCGCAATCAAGAAACAACCTGCCGGTCTGAATCCCGTACCTGGATCCCCCAGCCCTATCAAAGGTGCTCCCTCGTGAGCGTCTCCTTCCGCTTGTCCGGTTTCCGCTCTTCCGCCCTGGCCGACGACGCTCGCCAGCCACCCATGCGGCATGTTCCTCCTTTCCCGCCCAGAAGACCGCCCCACCATCACTCGCCCAGTCTTTTCACACTTCATCAAATATGGCGCTGCGGCTCGCTCGACCGCCTCCAAAAGCGCAAGGTCCCCCGCCACTTTCCCCCCCAGGCTAGTTTCCCCACTCTCACCCGCTGCGTAATGCAATTCCCGTAGGGCCGCGATCTTCTGCTCGCGCGTCGCGTTTGCCAGCGCGCACACGTTCTGCAGGAGCGTAGCCGCGGATCGCTGCGCGCCCTTTTCGCGGTCCCGTGCCGTCAACCCGGTAAATGTGTCCAGTGCCTCGCCCCAACCAATCCCCATCTGCTCCAGGATATCCGCCGTCTGATCACGCCTGCCCGGCGCTTCTTTACTTGCCGCACCGTTGGGATCAGGAGCCACTTCCTCGGGCTCTTTACCGACCGTTGACGCTTTCGGTGCCGTTTGGGAGGCTGCTCGCGCACAGAGAATGTCTCTGACAAACTGGGCGCCGCCTCTCGGCCCTGCTGGCGTCTTCGCGGAAGGCCTAGCCCCGTAGCCAGAGCTCGGCGCGACGCGGCTGCGCTGCGGGGAGTTCGCAGCAACTGCTGTCGTTGGAACAGTGGCCGGCGTGGCCGCGCATGGGCCGGCCACGTCGGGGCCCAACGAGACTGGCCACTCCGCTACCTGGATACGAAGCAACAACGCTGATGAGTTTGGAGTCCTAACTGGTCGTCTCGAGGCTTTCATTGCTGGCGTCTTAGATTGTCAGGAGGTCGAGACGTTGACTTTCGAGGGCCTTATTTCGAGGCGTTGGACATCCCAAAAAGTCTTCGAGAGTCCTAAGAAGAGGGACTTATCAGTTTCATTCTTAGGTCAATCTGATTATCAGACTCAAGGGTAGACTCGGTCAAAGACCAATTGGGTCTATCTGTTTCCGGCATCATGCCCCTCTGAATCTTAACATTCCTTCCAGGTTCTGTGGTTCTCGCTCTCAAACGAAGAGCACGCGCCCTCAGCAGGAGAATTTGCTCTGATCATACCAGCCTTGTACAGCTACAACTGCTGCCTCTCGCCCAGGTTTCGGTGAATCACTGGAAGGGTTCAAGCAAAGGGGTTCTGCGATCCCTTACTGATGACATGTGCGCGAGCACCTGGAGCATGTTCCCCGTCAGCCTCAATATGAATCCGTGCATCTTCACTTTCTCCCTCGCGGTAAGAGCCGCACCGGACCAGCCTCCTGCAGTGTCCATCAGCAGATCAGAAGAAGCGAACTCTATCGGACAGTACGACGAGTCGGTCGAGGTAAACCTGAGAGGAAACGCTAGCAAAGCTCCCAGGCGAGGCCGGCTTATTCGATACTAGGAGCTAACCAGGAGCTCTCCCTCAAGACCTCCTTACTTCAACCGCGGGTTCGGTTCTGCGACTTTCTATTGGCACAGGGCAAAGTTGTGAATCGCTCTGCGATCTAGTGACTGGGCAGATCAGTTGCATAAGTGTCACACAGGCTCAGCCACAATCAAAGCAATGTGTGAACCGGCTGTCAGCACATCATCCGCGCGTGGCTGAACTTGCGTCAACATAGTAATCTTAGAGAACGGATTATTGATATCATCGTAGCATGAAGAGTAGCTCACCTGGCACCTTAGCCGCGGGCGTTCGATCCGGATCCCCCTTCACGGCACTCCGCGTCAGCAGTTCCGTCCCCCAGTCCGTGTCCTTCAGCCTGTTCGTCCCCGCCACCTCGTCATACCACCCGCTTGGCATCGTGCGCATCTCGCGCCCGTCCGGCCGCCGCGCGATCCCGAAGCGCCCCGTCGCCGCGTCCCGCGCGAAGTGCGCGCCCGCCGCGCACTCAACCGCGTCCAGCAGCGCGAGCGCGCCGTGCGCGTCGAGCCCGACCGCGCGCATCCCGCGCCGGTACTGCACCACACGCAGCGCGGCCGCCTTGCGCTCGCGGGGCACGTTCGCGAGCGCGCACACGTCGCGGAGCAGGCGCCCGACGGTGGACCGGGGACGGCTTGGGGCGCTCCGGTTCCGTTGCTTTTGGTTCCGTCCCTCGAGGCCGAATGCGGAGGGCGAGCGGAACGTCGTCGAGCGCAGAGTTCCCGTCCTCAATCGGACTTGCACGCGTTTCGGCGTTCCCGGCAACGACCTCCCCTCCGTTGAAAACCCCGGGGCAGCTTCCCGCAGTCACACTAGCGTCCCCGGCTACTGCCTCATTGGTGCGAATGGGACCACTGGGACCGGCCGACTCGCGGACCGAAACGTCGTCGAGAGTGGGGTTGCCACTTTCACCGAGCTCTGCACGGGTTTCAGCATTCCCAGCAGCGACCTCCCATCCGTTGTCAACCCCAGGGCGGTTCCCCGCATTTACACCAGCATCCCCGCCTTCTGTCTGTGTGGTGTGAACGAGACCACTGAAGTCGTCCGACTCGGTAAGGGGAAAGTTTTCGAGCTGCGGGATCTCACATCCTTCTCGTTGCCGGAGTACCTTTTGCGGTAGTCCTAGCAATTCCCGATCTAGCTCTCCTACCGGTTCAAGTTCCTGAATAAGCTCTTCTACCGGTTCAAAGGCGTTTCGATCAGCGCCCTTCGAAGACTCTCCGTTAGACAACAGCATCGGCCCTTCACTCCCCTCTTGCCCGATCTCTCTGCTGGGATGTTCAACTGCCACGGAAGCTTCGTCTACTGCCCACTTCACAAACCCAACTCCGTCGCCGCCTTCCGCCTGAAAGCACCTTTCCGCAAACTTAACCAAGCGCTCCAGCTTTTGCCGAAACCATCCGGAAATTTGCACCGGCCCCAGCTCGTCCTCGTCCGGCAGCCACCCGTTCACCATGTAGAACAGCCCACGTGCCTCGTCCAGCGCGTCCGGCGTCCACGTGTCAAGCAGCGCGCGCGCAGAGCTGATGGCCTCCGACCTCTCCAGGCAGCTGCGGAAAATTGGAGCAACATTCGGCTGTACTGGTTTGTCTTCTGTGGATCTGCACAAAATCGCCAAGGGCTGGGGTTGCATTATGTTCCGGTACCTGAGATCTTCTGGCAAAGCATGTCGCCAGAATGCGCAGTTAGAGAGAGTCCTTAGGAGTCCGCCTCTTTTCCTATTTCCGCCATTTGGGAGGCGCGAGGTCATCCTCTTATCAAGCCCGAGTACTTGTGATTGATTGTTCCCTACGTACTCTTTTCTGCCGCGTCAAAGGTCAGGTTACTCAGGAAGACGACAACGTATCCGATGGAGTTTGGAGAATCCTCAATGGGATGGATATCCAGGGTTTATCCAGAAGAATTATCAACACACTGCAATCCGCAGCATATGCGTTCAGGCTCGTGTTCTGTTCCTAGAGTCGTACCTTCGGAAAAGCTTCGCTCACCTTGCAGGACGTGACGCCAGATTACCGTTCGCTTCTTCTGTCTTAGAAGCGCTCCCTTCAGGTACGGCCGCCTCCGCAGAGTCAACGACTGGTCCGCTTTTCCTCTTTTCTGCTGTATCGGCTGCACGCTCGTCCCCCTCTCCACCTGTCACTAACTCTACTAACCACTCACTAAGAGAAAGCTGACTTGGCTGGCCAAGTTTTTGGCTGGCGGCATCCGTTTCTCCACTCCCCCGCTTTTCCCGGTCTTTCTCCACTCTTCCGTCCCTGTCGAAACGGTGTTCCCTCAGCGTCTTTCCTGGCACGTTTATCAGGCCTTCTTCGGGCACCCTCGACTCCCCCGGCGATCTACCCTTCCCTGCTCCGCAAACCCTTTTGGGCGCACCAGTGTCATCGCCCCCTTCCTCCGCCTTTCTCTTCCTAACCTCAACGCTTCTGCTCGGTTCCTCAACATTCGACTCACCCTCCCTTTTCTGCACCGGGGCTTCCTCCATCATTTTCTCCCCTTCGTCATTCGCCTCGAGATCTCCGTCCAGCACTTGTCCCTCCTCCCATGGATCCCACCGGTACGCGTGTCGCGACGAATTCTTGCGCATGAAGCGCACGTAGAACCCGCTCCTTTTCAACATCTCCTCGAACTTGGCCCGACACCAAGCCTTGACGCTGCCGCTGTTGCGGAGCATTGACCGTTCCTCGGGCGTCCAACCGTTCAACTTCTCGAACGCTCGAACCGCAGTCGGAGGCGAAACCTCATCCCACCGCCCCAGCAGCCCTCGCAGGAACTCTCTCGGCTCAGCATCAGCGATACGTTCCCATATCGTCTTATGTTCACCGGAGAGCGGCTGTCCGTTCGCAATATCCGAAACAGGCCCCTTCTCCCCTCCCTCAACTCCTGAGTTCTCAACCACTGCGGTTTTCCCGCTCCCCGTTGCCGGACTAAGAGCCTCTTCAGCACTTCTTGACACCAATTCTGCCTTTAGTGGTTCTTCCGAAGACTTCTCTTCAGCCCTGGTTTTCGTTTTTGCGCCGTCTCCGGAGTGCGCCGGTGCGCGCAACCGGGCTTTCTTCTCAGGTGTGACTTGGAGGCGCGGCAAATCGGTGCTAAGCGCATTCTTCTCGTCCTTACCCTGCGTCACTCTCGCCGGCGAGCGCGCGTGCACGCGAGCACTTTTTGCTGCGGGCGCTCTTACTGGGGCCGCCGAGAAGAGCTCTTCCGCGTGCATTTCTTTCACTTTCTGCTTGAAGAAGCCCCGAAGGCCCAGCTGCTGCACCCCCGGGTGACTCCTCCGAGGCACGTACCCAAGCAACGTCTCCAACCCCTGTCTGACGTCATCATCCGTAAAGTCCAGGAACGGATCCACTTTCTTGAGTGGTTCGGACACGAGAGGATGCGCTTGAATTGTCGGCGTCTCTGGAAGGTCTGCCGCAGTTGTATCTGTGGAAGGGAGCGGATACGGAAGCTCAGGGGTGGTCCTGCCTCATTTTTCACCTGCATAGAAAGAGGGCTAACCGAGACCGATACGATTCAAATGATGTGCTCGCAAACAGCGATGCCAAGGGAGATGGTTGCGAGCGACAAACGTTAGACCTTTTGATGCAGATCAGTTGTGGGACCGATTCAAGGTGCCGAGTTTCGACAACAATCTAACGAATGCAAGGCGTACTAACCTTGGAAGATGCCTAGGGGAGGAACCCCTTTGTTGAGTGGTGGGGCCCTCCACGTGTCATCCTGCCAGACCAGGGTGGGCCGAAGGACACCTGTACTGACCGTCTGAGTGCTTTCTTCTCCAGCGCCATGCTTCGGGAAACCGACCTGCAAACATGGTGGGACTTGTGTGTACTTTGAAGTACGTTAAGCAACTTTGAGACGCTTCAAAGCGCCTTCAGTATTGTCCAGTTATGCTGCAATAGCGCGTTATTGGCTCCTCGGAACACACGATTAGCGTCAGCCGGGATGCTTCCTGACGATCCCGAGTCAGACAGAAAATGTTGTTTCACAAGGGCCTTGCAATCAGCTGATCCGATCTGTATAACAGGCAAGGAAAGCTGTGCTTTACGACAGAAGCTACTATAGGCAACTGCAGAATGCACGATCTCGAGTTGCACAGGCGCAGTCTTTACAGAAAGACTGAACAGTGCTATACTCGAGTGCACGACTTGTGTCTGCTCACGCTGGTTCGAACCTAGCTTTCGGAGAGCTTCAGGATCAGAATGATTGTGACCGTGTAGGCGACCCTCACCGTGGCTTGGTCGCCATCGATCTTCTTGACGCGCCCTTCCCACCAGCAATTGTTGAGTGGCACGTCCACAGCGTCTCCAGCCACATAGCTGCAACTTCCGAATCAGAGTTAAAAGCTAGCGCCACTTCTCAACCCCCTACTTTCTTACGAAATGGATCATTTCAGCGGCGGCAGTATGGCGAAGCCGCACCTTCATAGCTGTTCAATTCCGACAGGCCTCAACGCTATCACCGTACTCGAATCACAGAACAGAACAGATGGCTTACTGTCAACTCTATCACTTATCGTCTTCAAACTTTGTCCTTTCAGTTTACAATACCGTTTTAATGCCTGACCATCCTCTCATCAATCCCAGCCTCAACTAGTGAGACTGATGACATGAGGGCCTGACTGTCAAGTCTGTCAAGGAAGGGACCTCAATGCTGAACTAGCCAGTGCTCTGATTCAAATTTTGAGAAGGCCGCCTCGAAACTCTCAAAAGCTTCCGGTCCTTACTCTCGTGTCCTATGGAACAGCAGCTCCTGGCCTTGGAACGAGGACAACTCTGCAAAGGTGGTGTAGTGAGGGGGCGGCTGTGGCCGCGCCATGGGGACCTTCTTGCTCTTCTTGGCTGACTGAGACGGGACAGCCTCATAGAGGCGCACCGTTCGCAAGTCTGCGGTTTGAGTGCTCTGATTTTAAACACTTCCCAGCTGCATCCTCAATAGTTTGAACTGACACACACTCACAAGCTGTGTGTTAAGACGTTGATGAAGCTGTTGAGAACAAGGGAACTGAATTAATGCTCCTTTCAAGCCTGGCAGATAAGCCTCGCCAATGTTTATTCAGGGAGTCTTTAAATGATGGAAGCGCTCGATCAAAGCTTCACCGCAGGTCTCGCACTGACAAGTGGTGCTTTGTGATGTCCACCTTCATCCAGTTCTTTAGCCGAACTCTAGTTATCTAGGTTGCCCCAAAAGTGACCAGAGTGTGAGAAGACTGCAGATATGATGCTTCTTCTGGTCAACCTCCAGTGTAGCCAACATGTTTCCTCACTGCCATCATGATTTGTACAGTTTGGAGGATCATCTTGACTAAAAAGATTAATACCTCCTGACTTATAAGCTGATCCATAGCTGAGATCTTGGGACTCACCATCGTCAAAATTCAAACACCGCACATGCAAGTATATCGCTTCTGCTGCCTCGCCGTATGAAATGTCCAGAACCTGTGAAAAAGCAGAAGTCATTACATTATAGCAAGCTTCTTCAGAGCTCCACATTGCTACCTAACGAAACAAGATCAAGAGCTCAGAAGAAGTATGCAAGGATCAAGATAATTGGACAATCTCTCCCCAGGGCATTGGGAAGGTATGTCAGCTTCCTTCTGGTAGGACTGCATCAAGAGGAGTTTGAGAGCTAGTCAGTCGATGAAATATAGGGTATGTCTGTGCCTGCTGCACTGGCTCTGCCTTGGGGCTTGATTGAACCAGGGTGGAACTCATCAGCTCTTAAGCTCACCTCTGATTGAATCCAGGCTCCTTTGCAGCCACTTCTGGAGCCCCTGTGTTCGATAATGTCTCCTACTTGGAGATTGCAATGCTGTGGAGCTCCCTTACAAGCCGCCATGAAGCCTCACATCGTGGTGGGAAAGACCACCTTAAGGCAGTTGTGGATACTACTATAATGTTGTGGCTTGCGAGAGCCGCAAATAGGACAGACCGCTCCAAACCACCGCCTGCCGTTCAATCCAATACGCAATGCAATACTCCCACCCTGTTTCTGTCCTGAACAGCGACTCGTTCAACAATCAGCTTCTTTAGACTCAGTTCATGGGTATCTCTTGGGTAAGGGGTACAAACTGGTATGAACTGTGTATGCCCTCAAATTTTAAAGCCTGCCCACTTGTGCCCACCGTCCAGCACAGCTAGCACTGTGACTAGTGTAGTGCCAGCACAACAGGGCGCTGCATATGGCTCAGCGCGACCGGCCGGCCGCGCGCTACTGTGACCTATGATTGCCCAACTTTCAGGGCTTGAGTGAGGGTTTTGCGGGCGCAGCCGGCCGCGCCGCTGTGCGGCCACGCGAAAGACTTAGTACACAGGAACGGTCGGTGCAACTTTTTGAAACTTCGCGCGCTGCATTCAACGCTGAAATCAAAAGAGGTGAATGCGAAGTTCTACGATCATTCGCTGCCACATCAGGCTCGCCTCCAATCGGGTACTAAGTTGTGCGTCCATCGGGTCTCTGTGGCTTCCAATGCCGTTTGTTGCCCTTTTGTTGCAGTTTTCTCGTTTAGTCCAGGCCTTGTAAGGGCTGCCTCTTAATGCAGTGTTCCAGCACTCAAAACTTGCCACCAAGAGTTTGACATCCATGAGATGGCAATCAGCCTTTGAAGTTTCAGAAAGATGACAGCTTGCCAGATGCGAACAGCATTCTGCAGCAGTGCGGCTTCTTCCAGGGACTACAGTGACACGGAGAGCAACGACCATCTACTTTCTCTTTGAAGGAAAGCCTTGACTATCTGAAGTCTGAGGATGGAGGAGACAACAGCCACAACTTCCACAACTCGACTGTCTGCATTGACTGACGTCACACAATTCATCCAAGCTGGCTGCACAATAGAGCACAGGAGCTTTGAGAAGGGGAAGAGAGGATCGTGGTCGCAGAGCGAGGTGCTTGGCGTTTCTCAAAGTGTACTTGCAAGAAACATCGATGATGTCGTTTGCATAGCGTAGGAAAAGAGATGGAAAACGAGTGGCATGCTTCTTGTTGTCTGTACACCAGAGACGTTTTTCAGTACCTTCCTCCCACTCCGAACTCCTTTCATGTCAATAGTCATTCTTGTGAAAAAGATTTTGTTTTGAGAACCAATCCCAGTTGCCCCTAATCTTTCTCATTCTCGTGTGCACAGATTGTGGATGTTTCCTATGGACAGGCTGCAAAGAACATCTACCTGCACCTCAAGCCGGTTGGTCTTGCTGTCGAGGGTGAGGACACATCTGAGGCTTGTATTAAACGCCACAGCTTTGAAAAATCGGCGCATGCTTTAGTCTGCTCTGAGTTGACATAAAATAGTCGCGGCTTTCAATGCCACCTGTCATGTACAGGTCTCTTCTATCCTGCAAAAAGAAATCATCGTATCTTGCGGCTCTCTATGTGGATTGATCGAAGCGGCTATTTGTTGCTATTCTTGTTGTCTGGAAGGTCACACAGCCTTTTAGATATTTATTTGATCTTGGAGCTGCGCTTGCGTTCTGCCACGATTCGCAGGAGCCACCTGTCTTTTTTGCCATTATCATTAGAACCTCCACATGATCCTATTTTGCCCCGTTTGCACAAGCGGTTTGTTTCTCCCTGTCAGTTCACGCCTTGTTTTATTCCTTCAACCGAAAAGCTCAATGATTGCTTCCTTCCTCGAAATTTAGGGCCTTTGAAGAATCCTTCATTTCAGACGATATAGTCTGAAATAACTTTTCCAACACGGTATCACGCCGGAAACATCTCCACGCTAACCGGCTGCTACCATTAAGCGAAGTTCCCTTCTAAGTACTGGATTCCTGTTTTGCCCGTTCTGGTCAAAACAAAGTCGTCACATCGACTCTTCAAGGACAAAGGCAGCCTTTTGAGGTTGCTTATGCTCTGATCAAATCTGTCTCAGGAACAAAAACCATCAGCCTTTATGAAGCATCGCCGGAGCAGACACAGACTCAGTCTTCCAGATTGAGTCTCATGGCGCGGCCAATACCGCCTGTCCACCTAGACCTAAGCGAGTCTAACAAGCTTGAGGTGTCAAGCTCGAACAGCGACCTTCTCTTCCGCATCACGCGACCGTAAGAAACGAACAGATCTCGAGTTGCATCTTCAGTCTGCTTGTCCCATTCTTGTACATGTGTAGACACTTGCAGTACATTGATAGATTTGAAAAACAAGAAGGACCAAGTGACGGCATCCGGCCTGCAAGTTGTTGTTGTTCGTGCAGCGGGGTCAGAATATCATCAAAAGCTTGCTTGCAGGGTCTTTGGCGGGCTTTTTTTGACACTGGATTCGTCAGGCTTGGCAGTCAGAGGATCCTCATTCAGCCGCCGACAATTCCCTTCTGGCTTCTTACAACGCCTTTGCGGTTGTCACTTTCCACAGTCATCGTACCTACTATACTGCTTGAAGACTGCTTGTAGACCAGTTTGTGACAAGAAGACACTCCATCTGATGACACCTACTACCGCTTGAAGACAGCACTGATTAGAAGATTTGATGGTAATATTACTGATGCCAAACGTTTGAACAGCTCACCCCATGTCCGTTTCTAGCAGTTACGAAGCTGGTGACGCGGTCGACGCTCTCGTTGATTCGTGCTGGTGGGAGGGCCACGTCACGGCTGTGTGGGGAGAAAACGTCAAGGTCAGACACCATCTTTTCAAGCCCTGGTTGAAGACATTCTCATCTAGATCAGCTCAAGCCCCGGTTGTCCTTTCAATATGAGGAAGCAGAGCTGTTCTCTCAATATTGTCTAACTCGGGAACTCAATTTGAGGACTTTTCACTACTCTGGTCGAAGAAAACATAGTCGACTCGTGGAGCCTGCTCTTCAGATGTTAACTTTGCTGCAGCTGTTACTAGTAACTTCTCGCAGCGTTGTCAGGTACAAATATTCCACGTTAACGCTGAGGCTTGCCTTCTGACTCCCTTCACCTGTTTCGTCAGGTATCCTTCAAGAGTCCGCCAGAAGGAGAGGGAGGAGTTTTGACCGTCAACTTCAAGGACTTGCGGCCAACACTGGTCTGGAGTGACGGCAAGTGGACACTTCCTGCAAGTGAAAGCAGCTCCAAGAGACAGATAGGCTTGTTTGAAGGTAGGCCGAACAGAATATGGTGCACTTTGACCAGACAAAGCGCAAGGTTAGCCAAGTTTGACATCACAACTTCGTCGCACGCTGCTCAAGCATCACATTTTCCTTCTTCGAAACATTCCCATCTCTCTCTTCTCTTCATCCACTTCAGTGAACTCTGTCTGTATTCCCCCTGTACTAAATAGCAAGAGCACACTTCTAAGCTTGATTGCTTCAAATAAGCGTGACTTCGAGGACTATAGTTTCAGCAAGCTGAAACATCCTTGGAATCCCCTGTGCAGACGCAAGAGGGCACATCATCCTGGACGAAGACTCTGAGAAACTTGACCAACTTCAGGCAGAAGATGACCGTCTAGAGTCAGAAGACCAGCCAGAGAAGGATAGCGCATCGGCAGCCGTTAATCCCTTTCCCAGTCTCACGGACGAAGACATCCGGCAAGGGTTTGAGACGCTGCTCGGTCACGTCCCCCGGGCAACTCACCCGGGCGTGCAGCAGCTGGGCCTCCGGGGCTTCTTCAAGCAGAAGGTCATTGAGATGAATGCCCGGGAACTCTTTCCTGGATCGGCCGGATGTGATCACCAGGTTCTCGAGGCGCAGCATGCTGAAAAGATTGGCGAAGACACTGAGTGCTTGGGGGAAAGGAAAGTAAGTGCTGATGAGCAAGAAAGCGGGGCCCGGAGTCAGCCTCAGAGGACAAAAGCCAAAACGGCGACACATCCTGAGCCGCAGAACAGAGACGGAAAGTACGCTGATCCTAAGAAAGTCACCGTGACGTCAGCACAAAAAGCGGACCGGATCATCCGCAATCTGCTCGAGCGGTGGGAGGACGCGAGCCTAGCAGAAATCGCCACGGCCTTCGAGTCGATCAACGGTTTCACTCTCAGCGGTCCGGAAGAAGAAACAGAGGCAAAATCTAAAAGCCGCTACGAAAAACAGTTCCTCAGAATGCAAGAGACGGGCCAGCAAGTCAAGTGGACTTACCGGACGGACACGCGCCGCGGCCGCACCGTGAGCCGCTGGGTCCTGCGGCTGAGACCCTGGCCCGAGGCGCGTGCCGGTAAAGCGCGCGAGCGCGACCGGGGGGGCGCCCGCAAAGGAGGCGCGCATGTGGCGGGACTGGAGCCGCGCGCCGCGGCTGGCGAGGTGCGCGAGCGCCACAGCGCGGGCGTTCAGGGAGAAGGCGCACACGTGGCGGGACTCGAGGCGCGCGACGCGGCCAGCAAAGTTGCCGAGCGTCAGAGCGCAATCGAGGTCCCCAAAGGAGGCGCGCGCGCGGTGGGGCCTGCGGCGCGCGGCACCGCTGGCAACGTGCGCGCCGAGCGTGGGAGCGGCGAAGAGGTTCGCAACGGAAGCGCGCGTGGCGCTGGACTCTCCGCGGCGCATACCGCTTCCGGCCACGTAAGTTCCGAGCGCGACAACGGAAGCGTCCGCAGCGGAGGTGCCCGCGGCCCCGGCCAGCCGCGGGTGACGTCCAAAGCGGAAGCGATGCGCGTGATCCGGCCGCTCCTGGAGCGCTGGGAGAGCGTAAGCACGGCGGAGGCCGCGCGCGCGTTTCTCGCACTTGCGGGTTGGCGGCCGCGCTGGCGAGCGGACGGGGCCGTGAGGTTGAAGGCCTGGTACGAGGAACGTATCCGCAAGATGAAACGGCTGGGGAAGCGGTACGTGAGAATCAAGGCCAAGAAGAAGGACGAAAAGAACAGGAGAGGCGCGTTTGATTACCGTTTCAGGCTCTGGCCCGACGACTGGGCTCGCCTCCAAGCGACATTCGGTGCGAAGAAACCGAAAGCGTCGGAGAGCGCGCACGCGGCCGCGCGGAACGAAGCTCCATCGCCTGCAATGGTCATCGCGAAGAGAAAGAGAACGAGGTTTGGAGAAGCGCCAGAGGCGGTCAACGCGAGGGCGACAGCTGTCAAGAGAACCGAAGGAAATGCTCGGTTGGACGAAGCAGGGGAGTTTGCAAGACAAAAGAGACGCTTTTCGGTCACGGAAGAGGACGGGTTGTGCGACAGGGCAATGTTTGGTTCTGTTGAGCTGAGAGTCTTGAAGGGCTTCAGAGAGCGAGAGCCGGAGAGGAAGGCTTGCAGTAACGGACTACCAGTAGATGGCAACTTGCAAAGCGTTCGAGAAGCAAACAGAGACAGGCCCGTGGAAAGTGCGGGGATGAGCAAGGAGGGAGCTGCAAAAAGGAGACCGGAAGAGACCGGAGCGCGTCGCGAGGTCTGTCAGGAAAATACGGCCAACCTGGACTCAGACGGTCTGAACGAAGACGACTTTCTTCACTTCTGCTTCCAGGTCCGCGGCCGGGGCGAGGGGGCCTGCGGACGGTCCGATGGTCCGGTCACTCCGGAACACCAGAGCGCATGGTTGCGGGAGCTCGGACGGGAAGTGTCTGGGAACGAGAACGGAACGCGTGCCGAATTCCGGTCTCCGGTTCTGGTCCCCACGCTCGGCGGTAGCAAAGGATTGCAGCCAAACGGAAGCAAAGTCGTTCCAGGGCTTCATTCGGAGGATAGTCCAGACATTTGGGGCGGGGTCGAGCGGCAGCGGCCAGCCGCGGGCGGCACGCGCGTACTGAAGACATCAAAGGGGTTTGCGCAAAGGCGCGGCGAGCCTAGCGCGGGCGCGCAAGCCGAAGCGCGCGTCCACGGCGCGGAGGCAGCAATGGAACGGATGCGCACAGCGCTGCGCGGCATGACCAAAGCGTCGACTGCGTACGTCCGGCAGGTATTCCGCTGCGTAACGGGCTGGGTTCCGGCGGAAGAGTCCCTGGAGGAGAGCGGCTGGAGAGTGAAGGACTGGTACAAGACGTCCTTTGAGGAGATGCTCGCTGCCGAGGAGGTCATGGTGCGCGAGCGCGACGCGTCGGTTCCGGGTGGCTTCCGGTTCCGGCTGGAGGCCTGGCCGGAAGAGAGTGCGGCTGACGAACGGGCAGGCGCTGACCGGAACCGGAACGGCGGAGAAAAGCGGAAGCGGTCTCAGGAGAACGACGAAGCAATGAAAGCAGGGCGGTCGGAAGGGCTCCACGGGACAGAGGCTTTGATTGGCTCTACCGGTCACGCCGCTGATCACGTTGAGGAGGCGGCCAGAGAACTGAAGTCGATAGATAGCAACCGGTTAGAAGGAGCCCGAGTCTTGGCGGAGTTGCGCGTTCAGAAGAGAAAGAGTGCAGAATATGTGGACGGAGACCTTCGGCTGAATCGGATCAGAAGGACGATGGCGGAGCAGACTGGTGGATCACCGCAAGTTCGGGCTGCTAATCCCCTAGTGTGCTTGTCGGATTAGGTTGAAAGAGTCGACACAACTTAAGAGTCTGATCCAACGTATCAACATACCCGGCGATGTTCGTAAGAAGGTATAGATTCCTTCATGGTGATTGATGCAGTAGGCCGAAGTATATGCAGCAATGTGCTTTCTCAGAGAAGCCTTACGTTGTACAACTGGCTACGTCAGGGGACTGAGACCGGACCGTAAGACGATGAGACGGAAAATATTGGATCAGTTAGAGGGTCTCTAGAGAATAAAACGTATTTCCTATATTCCCAAACGCGAAGAGTTGACATTCAAGGTTTTCGATTCAGAACCGCAGCGCCTAGCTCCCGGTTTGCAGATTGTAAAAGTGCCTGTGTGTATGTAGAGCTACTTCCCGGTTGCAAGAATGATCTTGCCGCCAAGGATTTCTTTCTTTCTGAACTGCACATTCACATCAGTGCACATAGCAGGTTCGAACATGATGCACCTGTATCCAAGTTGTTCAATCGACTTCGGCGGCGCACTGATTCTCATGTAATTAACAGGCACATAAGAAAGAAGTTTCATGAGCAAGGACGATATCAAGCGATAACTGGAGGCACTGATATGGTCCATCATTTGCTTGCTTCTTCCAAAGTACAAGCCTAATTACGCCGCCTCATTGACTGTTCAAATAGAAGGTAAGAATAACGTGCTGTACTTGTTAACTTGCACCGGAACTTACTAAACCAATCTACCCTTTTCGAATGTTCCTGCAAACTTATTTGCACATGACTCCACCATGTGCTCTACACGAAAGCAAGCAGACATCCAGCACATTTATCCAGCACTTTCCGCTGTCATGGGAGCGTGCCACTACCGGCCTGTTCTGCATCTCCTCCCTTCTCCCAAGGGGCTCGCTTCGCGGTTGCCTTTGCAGCCTCCCGTTTTAATTCCTTCTCCACCCCTGCGGTGTCACGCAGCAGCTTCCCAATGCTGCACACCAGTTGCTTCACGTTGCTCCCGTGCTGATAACTATCATGGCCGAGGAGCATCATGTACGCATAGTCGGACGTTAAGCTTTTCATCGTTTGCAGCAGTTGTATGACCCTCTCGAGCATCAAGCTCGCCTCCGTGGGTGCCAACTCTTGGCAGGCAGACTGAAGGCGCTGACCCAAGCCGTGCAGAAACGAAGGCCACAGCTCCTGCGAGCCATTCTTGATGTGAATGGCCGCCCTCTTGCTTGTGAATGTCTGTATAAGGAAGCACGCAACCAAGCGAATCGTCCCATACAACTGCTGCCCAACCTTTGCCTTCTGCATGAACAAGCACACTTCTGCAGCAAATGCGCTCGGGAACTGGTCCCCATACGCTCTCCAGCAGCTGAGCAGCCTTGAGGCTTGGAGCTCAAAGTGGCCCTCTCCTTTGAAGTAGTCAGATTCGGTGGAGGTGACAACTTCGTTCAGCACCCATGGAACAACCACCGAAGGCTCGGGCATGTCCATGTCAGCTTGCTCTTCTGTTGCGAACGCTTCTTCTGAAGAATCAGCCTTCACATAAGAGGCACCCTTTTGCAGCTCTTCTGGGGTGATTGTGCCTGCGCCAGGCCCCCACCTTGCCACGAACCAGTCCGCAATGTCCATGGCGCTCAGACATCCGCCCATCGTAACGCCGTTCGAGAAGACGCGCTGTTGACTATGAACAAACACTGCTTGAGAATATCTGCCGAGATGTAGTGGTCAGTCCCGGTTCTTGCAACGCGGCCGCGAAGATGGACAAGCGGGCCGGCCGCCGCGGTTTGGACAAGGGTTTTGGGGATGGCGTGAGTGGAACGCGGCCGCAAGCACGCTTGCCGGCGCTGGCGCGCGGCGAGGCTAGCGCGCTCCCCGACGGTACGCGTCTCGGTGCCAGTATAACTTGCCGGCTAGACTCTCTTAGCGTCTGGAACAGACAGTTCACGACTGGCACGTACTCTGCCCCTGTCGAGTGCAAATGCAGCCGCTACTGTTTACTTGGTTTGCCGTGAAATGAAGAGGGACAACGGGATCCGAGTAGTTGGGGTTCATATCTGCCAGAGACTGAGTCCTGAAGGGGGTCTGATACTCCTTGACGGCCATGGATTATACATCAGGGGCGAGAGAAGATTTTGGAAAAAGCATCATAGGTAGGCTTCAGCTGAGAAATCGAGGAACTCTACCACATGCGGGCGGCTGCCTGTCACAGGCCCGTCACAGGGAGGTTTAGTCTTCTCCCCCCCCTTCTCCCCTCCTTATCTCCCCCAAGGGGGCGGAGAACACATTCTCCCCCGGTCGGAGCCCGGTGGTGGAGAATTCTCCCCACATAAGGGGGGGAGAAAGGTCTCCCCTCCTGAACTTCGTGGGGGAGAAAGTCTCCCCCTGTTGACGATGGGGGAGAGCAAGGGGAGAATTCTCCCCCTACTTAACCAGTGGGGGGAAGAATTCTCCACCTGCTCTCCCCCCTTTCCTTCAAGAGAACGCGACATTCAAGCAATTTCAATAAAATTTGAAGCCTTTCAAGTGATCCAACGATGCCTAAGGATGTCAAAATTCTTTCGAACCATCAATTCCGCTCAAAGTGGAGTTGCTTGTTTTTGTTAACTTGTCCATTTCTTCACCGTCCAAGTCCCCACTGAGGCTGCTTGTTGTGGTCAAAAAAGGATCAGAATTGGTTCAAAGGTACTTTGATTCTTTGATCCAGTTCCCGAAGAGCCTCGAAGATAACATACAGGCTGACAGGGCCATAAAAATCCTCTGCGAAGTGGGAATTTTGCAAAATGGTACTTTACTTAACGCTATATAATATTTAAGCTGCCCCCTTATGGTACATACTTCTGAGACAGCTTAGGTGGTTAAGGAGTCTCGCCTTATGACTGGAGGACACGGGTTCGAATTTGGGAGGTAACAGGCGGGCAACCTTTTGCTAAATCTAATTCTTTTTCGTGTTTTTGCATTTAGACACGTTCTTCTCGGAACCAACGAGCAAACCCGGGTCCGTATTTTCAAAATTTCCAAGCACTTTCAAACAAACGAAGCACTTTTTGAGTGGGGGAGAAAAGTGGGAAGAATTCTCCTCCGGTGGGGGAGAGGGGGTGGAGAGTGACGGTTCTCCTTCCCCCGGGGAGAAGTGGGGGAGACAGGTGGGGAGACATGTCTCCCCCGGTTCTCCACCTCTTCTCCCCGCCGGGTGGAGACGACCAATCGTCCCTGTGTGTTACCTTCAAGCACGCATTTTATTTCATCATTCTACGTATGTGTGCATGATGGAGCATGATCCGTCAAAACGTCTCGTCCTTTCTCGATGGATGGCCGTTAAGCACTTTAAGCTAGCAACTTTAGTGCATCAAGTATAGGCAGATTACTGGCCTGCTAAGTGTAAGTTCTGCACATGCATGCTTCGTGTAACTCGATGACGGCCTGAGATATGCACGGCGGAACGGTATACATAAATGCAAGGCGTGCTTGAAAGTTTCGGCCGGAGTCGTCTCATGCATGTGCAAGAGCTTCATCAAACATGCGATGAGGGGGCCTGTGTTTAGATTGCTTCGCAGGACTCCAAACACTATTCCAAGTTGAGTGCAGTGTTAATCCTTCAATTGCATGTCAAAGTGGATGCAAGCAGCTGGACGATATCATTGGTGCCTATATGCAAAAATTGTGGTACACTCGAGCTGTTGAACATCAGAAATTCTTGCGAAGAATCCAAAGAATTCTGAACACTCATACAATGAAGGGCTCATTGGACAAATCTTAATGTCGTATTCATGGTACTATAAACAACACACAAACTAGTCTGTACACTGGCCAACACACAGAGCTCTGGAAACTGTACACTATTCCGCTACCATTGCCGGCTGCCCACGTTCTTGCAGCGGACCCAGAACGCCACCCCGCCGCCCCGTCCCCGCGCCACCATGATCTCGTCGTCAGCATAAGAAAACAAAAAGAAGGGGTCCTTGCCGCCTTCCTTCCCCACCCCGGGCACTCGAGATTCTCCCGACCCTAGTTTGAACGAGAAGGGCTTCAGCGGCCCCAGTTTGATGGAGATCCGGTCGAACGTGAAGGACAACTGGCGATTCTTCCAGCCGAAGACGCCGGCGAAGACCAGGTTTCCGAGGCTTCGCAAGTAGACCCCGTTCTCGATCAGGTTCGTCTGCGGATAGGTTGAAACGGCGTTGACCGGGATGATTCAAGGGACAAAAAACTGGAGCTGTCGGCCAGACAGCTTTACAAGTCTATCCGGAGAGAGGCAATCAATCCCTTTCCAAACGGAACACAATATCAATGTAACGGATGCTGACGGCTTACTGACTTCTCCGCCTCTTCAAAACCGTTCAGCAACTGTCAAATAGCCTCACGAACCGAAGCCAGCCTAGTGTCTTGATCGACTTCACCTGAGCATCGAAGTGCTGCACGGCCGTTATTGGGATGTAGCTGCCCTTTGGCTTTCCGCCCTTCTTTGCGGCTTGGACCTGCGCCAAACGAGCTGAAGCTTAGACCTTCGAAAAAAGCTAATACCTTTGCTTAGGTTTCAAGCGGAGAGCCCAAGAGGGAAGGCATCGGTCCATCTGGTCGATGAGACTGCGTGCGGAGCTGAAGGAAGCAAGACGGATGACAGTGTACGGTCTGCAGACGAACGGACCCGTCAAGAGCAGGGAATAGCGGTGCACAAAGAAGCAGATGTTCCGGAAGGACGAGGCATCTGACAACCGGGAGAATGCGTTCATCTTGGGTGTGGCGCTCGATCGGGCGGCCTCTTTGCGGACAGGCTTTTCACTTCAAGACTCAAAGTCAGCCGTTGTCCCTGTGGCTTGTATCTTGACGCGATTACAAGAAGCATTATGCTCACTCCCATGCAGCAAGGCAAAGTGCAGAGGAAACGCCGAGGGGAATCCTTCTGTCTGACAGTGCAGATCAAGGCAATCTGACTGAACGTCCAGAAGAGCCTTCCGCAAAAGCACGATAGAAAAGGGCGACCTGGCATGTCTCGAAGGTGGCACTTACATCTTTGGAACCTGCCGTGAAGACGAGCATCCAGTGGTGTCCCGGCGAGGCAGTACCGCCAATGTACTCCAGGAATTTGCTGGAGTCGACCTTGGCCTTCTCAAGTTCCTGCAAAGCGGAACTAAATGAATCTTTGGACCCGCACATGTGACTTCTACAAGAAAGTCTGACCTGGGTTCCAGGGTTGTAGTAATAGGAATACCAACCATACGGGCGTTCTTCATGAATCTGGTCTAAAGGCAGGAATCTGCTTTTCAATCTGACCCCACCCCATTGTTGAATCTAAAAAGCTGCCATGCATGACTGTTTTAATCATTTTGCAGGTGCGTTCATGCTTAATGTGCTGGTTGACAAATGAAGCTTCACCGCCCAGAATCTGTTCTGCGTTCACCACTTGTTGGTTGACGGCTTTAAACTTGGGCTCATTGAACCTTAATATATCGAAATCACGGGCTTGTAGCGCTGAACAGTTGTTCCATATTCCATATAAGATGTCAGATTTTGTTACATGCGCTGGTCTTGTCTTCTTTTTTACCATGTGTCTCTGCTGGGCTTCGGCCCCCTCTGCTTTGTTTCTTGCAGCCTTTGAATGCCTTCAGAACTAAGCGCTTTCTCTGGGGGCACTTGGCATTGCGAGAAACGCGAAAATACGCTTCAAGCTGGCATTCATATAATCATCTGGTGTAGAGCACCATTGTAACCATAAGGGGGATGAATGTCTTACAATGATTGCTTGGGTCACTTTGCCCCCTTCCACCTTTCTGGTCTTGGCAGCCTCCTTCAACAGAGCGACAGAGTCCTTCACCCCAGCATCTGCAAATCCATGGCGTGATTTGACTCCCAGAAGAACAATCTTCGCAACAAAGTCTTGTTTGCTTAAGTGAAGTCACGCGGCCTCTTCAAGAGCAGATACACTGCCATCCTGACGACTGTCTTAAAAAGCCCAGTAGTGATAGTTTCTATAGGTACGGAACCCGATTTTTGAGAGTAAGCAGCTGGGCGTTAAGATTTCTGCTTAGACGTCAAACATTGTCGCCCATCAACGCCTATCTTTAAACTTACTGGCCCCCGGTGAATCATCTGGAGGATGTCTGCTGATGATAGGACTGCTCCAAGGTCCAGCTTTTGGGCTCGGAGTCTTTCCTTCTGTCTTCTGGGCAACATTTGCGATGGCAGCATCTCACCACTCCAGGGGGTCCACATTACCCTAGAACTATCTGCACAGAAGAAACAGGTGGCCACTACAATTGAGAAGACTCTATTCAGCTCACCCGAAGCAGTGCCCTTTGTGCCAGTAGACACCGCTGCGCGTACCAGCTGCTTCTTTCCACGTCGGTGGCGCGCCGGCCCTTGCTGCCCGTTCCAGCTCCGCCCAGAATCGCCCAGGTCTCTCAATCCTTCAAAAGAGCTTCCAGTCAGAAACTTATCGCATCTTGGTGACCTTCTGGACACAGGGATGTTGCTTACGGCTCTTGTTCTGGTGCGCACCTGCACAGATTGACTTGTCGGACGGCGCCAGCTGTCTAGCATTGCTGCCCTCAAAGCAGGGGGCTGGCAAACGAATGTTTGCGCCATCTCTGCACCCAGAAGCCGATCCACCAAGCCGAAGGTCCGCAGGAATGCAGGCTGCCACCCTCCCCCCTTCACTGCTTCTGCCTTCCTTCTGCCTTCACTGCTTCAGCCTAATGCTGGACTGAAATAATCGATCCCTCTTATGCATGCAAGAAAACAGAGGCCCAAGGAGGAAAACCCGGGGGGGTGCGGGGGGGCGGCAGCCCCCCCGTTTGTAAAGGAAAAAAAGAGGTCGGGGAACACGTACCGGGCTCAGAATCTACATAGGAATCCTCCTACGCAAATTTGTATGCCGCTAAATATGCGCCCTTGGAAAGTCCCCTGACTATATATTTACTTTTCCAGGTGGTGTGATCGAAGGGCGTGTAGCTCAGATGGTAGAGCGCTCGATTTGCTGAAGGCGTCGCTGTGACTTCCCTCGGATTCGAGAGGTAAAGGGATCGATACCCTTCTCGTCCAACCATCCGTCCTTTTACCGCGTTTGAAATTCAGATTGAGCTTTCAAAACTTTTTTGGCCTTTTTACTCGATCGGTGCAAGTCGCCGACCTCCCATCCAACCCTGAATTCGGGGGGGCTGCCGCCCCCCGAGCCCCCCCGCCCCCTTCTCTTGCAGTCTTTTAAGTTATTGCACAAAGTGAACAATGGCCGAGGAACTTAAAGCCTCCTTTGTGAGAACCTTCTCTAGGGTTCAAACGTTTACCAAATCATCGTCATCGAGGTCTTGAAGTTAATACCATGGTACTACTATGAGCACGTCACTAGCTGCTGCCTGGCTGGCACTCGGTGCGCTTGAAGGAGATGCTCGCAGGCCGGCAGCTTAAGATATGTTGTACAAGTGAATTTTGCATAAACCTCGAGTCACCGAGGTACGTACCAGTGTTTGAATGACCTCTTGGTACTTCAAGCATTGACCCGTAGGACCCGTCCTATGTAGACCGGATACAGAGCACGATGTCTGTAAAAATGAACACCTGTCGCTCATGGACATTTGTCGCTCCGATCTATCAAAGATGCCCATGCAATTATGCAGCATCTTGGCAACAAATTTGGACGGTCACGCTTGGTCACTTCAAGCCTTCATACAATTTTGCAACACGGGCCGCATGAATAATGCATCATATGTCCACGATCGAAGCTGACCTGGAGGCGCGGATGACATGATTGCAAATCAACGTAGCTTGTCGTGCGGTTTTTCGTCAACACGGGATTGAGCTTCGCGGTAAGACGAACCGTTCAGCTTCACAACAGCTCAGCCTCATCATACTCCTCATCGACGATTTCTCGTGTCCTCTTAAACTTCTGATCCCGCCCCTCCTTCCGACCGTTCCGCGCTAACCGCCCACTCGACTGGTAGCCTTCCATGAACGCGTTGTCCTTCTGCCAGCTCGTTTTTGCGTACTCGGCCGCTTCTTTCACCAGATACACCCCCGTCCTATTTTCCGACAGCTGGCTGCTGACGTCAGCACTCTCGGCACCGCTCATGCCGACACCTGGCAACGAATCGATCCTACCTTGCAAGCTGATACTCTCGCTAGCATCGCCCAAAAGAGTTTCGCTGCCGGCAATCTCCAACACCGCAGCGACCTTGGTCACACTTGAAGCACTTTCCACGACGGTAACCCTCTCTTGAGAGAGCACGTCACCCTTTACGTCGTCCGTCAATGCGTTGGAAGCGTCGGAAGCTTCTGATGTCGCCACGTGGCCGTCGGACGTCCGCCCGCCCGTCGTCTGCGGGAGGTACTCGGGCAGGATGCGGAGGCGGGTGCTCTTGCCGGACCCGACTTTGTCCACCACTAGTTTGTAGCCCTCGATCAGATTCAGCTGCACAAAAAGAGATGCTTAAAGTTTGATCACGCATTGCACGTGAGCATCAGAAACGTGCAGGTTTGTAACCGATTGCCCGCAGGACGTTTGCCTCGAAGTCAGTCGCCTAACTGTGCGCGCTTCATGGCAAATGGCCCTCTAGCTTGCTCACTTGCGGGTGAGCGCATCACGCAATACCAGACTGGCCAGATCGAGGCCTATAACGAGCGCTGACAAAGTCTTTCGGCCTCAGGTTGAGCGTGCGGTTGTGGACGTAATGCCTTACTCATGCTCACTGTCTTGTCCAAAACCTCTAGGCTCATTTCGACCAAACGCGTATGCCTGATTTTGGCTGCGATGATTACGCCTTTGACAGGAGAGCGTGGATCCCGAAGCATCGACGACTGCGGACGTGTGCGGACGTGTGCGGACGCTGACCTGCAGCAGCAAAATGTTCCACGGCCGTGGCAGCAGCTCCACCGCCAGTCCCTGCGGGATCACGATCTTCTCGACGGCGGCCCGGGCTTCCTGCAAACGGAGTCGCATTCGAGACAGTTTCGCGTGAGCTGATTTGTGGATTCAGCCTAGGCGGCGAAAGGGAGTATATAATCACTGGGTTCGACTTTTGAGGCGGTCCGCCTGGCTGGGAATCTGGTCCCGACCAAGGCAGCGATAGGCGGTGTAGCCGTTGCAGAACATTGGAAGCAGATTGGCTTTGAAATTGTTCAAGCGCGTTGGTTCTACACGCAGGGACGGAAAAAACCTCCGGGTGTAAAGATCAAAGGGTACGGCCTTGTACTGGATTGCAAGTCGGCATGCGAACGGGTGTCCTATACATCAATGGCAAGCAGCTATGCGTCCTTTCAACGCTTATACCGTCAAGGCAACTGGAGCAATAAGTTTTTTTCCGACTCTAAAAGTGAGAATGAGACCGAAAGGCGAACCGACCCTAAACCGAAACTCAGATTGAATTCCAAAGTGGTACGGAGTTCAAGCCTGAAGCATCCGCATGCCCTTTCAAGGAAGATAACCGGGTCCTTTCAAGCCGAGCAACCGACCAAAGCTTTACGCTGTGCTCTTGTCGTGTACTTGTCGCTATCTTTCGTATGCTCATCAGAAGTAGAAACTTCCGCTTCAGAAAGCTACAACCCCCCACGGTAAATCTCCAGTTGGAAACCACCAACCCACCTTCAGAACGTCAAATCTCCTGCTCCAGATTGTTGAGCTTTAGCGGCTGGGGGAGTTTCATCGCGGGCTGAAGCAGACAACTTTTTGTTGGAGCATGCCGCACAACTACACAAAGGTTGACTTCCCGGTTGAGTCAACCGACCCACCTCGAGAGCATCGATCTCCTGCTCCACGTTGTTGGACTTTGACGGCTCGGAAGACTCCACCGGGGGCTCGAGACCGGGCCCCGTGCGCGAGTCCTCTCGCCCGACTCCGAAGGCGGCACTCGTCGCGGCCGCGTCAAGGCCCAGGATAGCGCGAACGGCGCGGACCATCTGGGGCATCGTATTTGCCTGCGAAGTAACAAAAAAATCTACTTCAACAGACTCAAAACTAGGCTTCTCGTACATCTGGGGCGTTTGCCTGCGGAGAAGAACGGGGTCTTGAAATTGAGCAAAATCCAAAATCTGGCCTTCAAAACAGGTTACCACAGAGATGTGCTAGCAACACGGGTGCCCATCACCGCAGACCGTTTGCGTAGAGGGTAAGGAGCCCTGAGAGGGCCTTCGGGTTCCAAGAACACGTGTCCGGCTTTTGCCGGTCTTAGAACGATGAATAACTGAAAGCTCCTTGCCTCGCAGTCTCCTCAGAAACTTGAAACAAACAGCCCAGCTTTCATTGACAGAGCATCTCAGATAGGCTTCATGCATCAGACCGACTTTATCATCGTCCGTCATGTATAAACGAGCTCGTCGACCCATCAAAAAAGCTAGGGTCCCGCTCATAAGCGCCCCCGTACCTTAATAGCGTATATGGGCAGCTGTCGCAGCTTGGCCACGTCCCGCACCCACGAGTTGTGCTTCAGCTTGGCGCGCAGCGCCAGGATGACGTCAGCATCGCCGATATTGTCCGTCAGCCGCACCTTCCGGTCCAGGTCCAGCGTTTCAAAGACCTGCTCCAGCGCGGATTCCGTCACCTGGACGAGGCGGAGCAGAATTCCGGTATTAGCAGAGGATAGAAATTGGACGTAACAAAACTTGATCTGTCAGTTCAGCTCAGATTGACACGGAAATTTTGGTTCCGCTGTTTTGTCTCAACATCCTGATCCACAGGGGCTGCCTTCGTCCGGGCAGAGCGGAACGAGGAATAGGCGTCAAACGAGGAAACGCAAAAGGGGTCTCGTCCAGAACAATCGTCTCCGGAGGCTCGTCTGGTCCGAAACTTGTCGCGTGAACAAGACGAAGCGAAATGCAAATCAAACGACAGGGATGCCGGGCAAGACGTTGCTCCAGCATGGGTTGTGTGATCGAAAGGGAGCATGGCATGGTTAGCTTCTCTTTCGAAGACCAAACTCGTATCCAAAAGGCATACTAAAAGCGTTTTCCAGAAAGGAGCACGCCAGATCGGGACCCCAACTTACTCGCAACACCGTTCCATGCGTCAGAAACACGACTTTACGTGTTCCGTCCGAACAGAATTTCCCCCCCAAAACCATTTCCAATCGAGCTAGTGACTCGCCTCGAAGGGATACATCTGCAGCGGCCCCTTCTCTTCGGCGGCCGGCAGCCGCCCCGCACCCTCGCCCGAGCGCGCGCGTGCCCGTTGCTCTGCCGCGTTCATGCGATCCAGGGCCTCCACGAACTCCTCCTCGGAGTCGCTGTCATCCTTCAAATCAAAGCGGAGGACTATTTCAATTATTGAAAAAGAAATAGATTGCAGCACATTGCGCAGCAAAGCACCGCGGAGGTCAGCATCGCGAACAGGACTGGAAGAAAAGGGGAGCGACCGACGTAAACGAGCCGGAAACACGAGCAGAAAACTTTTTTAGTGCAGGTTATTCACGGAGCAGTCAAAGCACGCCGGATGAGAGCTAGTCTCCCGCGGAGACGCAGAACTACGTACACGTATTATTTTAAACCACGACGAGAACATAAGGTGTTTGCTTTGACAGACCTATGAAGAAGCTCAGACGAAACTGCGGTACTCAGATAGGGCAACCAGTCTTTCACGAACAAAAAAACAGCAACAACCCTCCCTGCAAGCCACGATCCTTACCTCGGCGTTCGAGCGGTATCTCCGGCCGTTGCTTTCTGCCATCCTGCGCCGATTCCCCGCCCCTGTTTCCCTCTCCGACTCTTCCGATTCCGATTCCGTCCCGTCGTCCACGTCAAACCCTCCGCCGGTATCGATCTTGCGGTACTCGCAGCGCGGCCGCTTGCCGAGGAGCATGGCGTCAACGGTGGCTGTACGGGCACAAGTCACAGCGATTGACACTAGCTTCGCGGCTGACTGCGAGTCTAGGGATCGAAAGGGCGCCCTCAGGAGGCGCCTTGAAAGGATTTTGAGAAACGTTGTGCAGAAGCGTAATAGACAGGGAGACGGTAGTAAAGGCTCAGGGCAAGGGGCTTCTCGTATCGCTTGCAAGCGTCGATGGACTCATGACAATTAAGTGAAACGGGAAGAAGTGACGCTGGGCCTGGATATGTTGACAAAGGACACATACCGCACCGGAGAAACGCCAGACAGTCCGTGCTACTCCCCAGAGAAGGTCAAACACAGAACGAGTCCGAGCCCCCCAGGCCCCGCATACATCGTAATATAGCCTCCAGCCCTAGATTTCAAGAACTTCTAATCAAACTTTCCAAGAGCTTACATAGATTCCGAAACATCTTAGCCCAAGACCTTGACACCCAACATTTGTCTCCCGATATAAAATTGATTTCCGTACCTGACAAACTCCGGTGCACTCGCCACTCGGTTCGTGAGATCATCTCCACCGCAGCGGAGAACGTCGGCGGCCCCTTCCGCTCCAGGACGCTCTTCTGCACGCCCCGCCGCCGCGCCTCGTCGTCGCCCAACGTCACGCTCTGTAGAGGAACCCAGGTAAGCATGATGTTTTCATCCACGGTTCAAGACGGAGCATATTGACGGACGAGGTTTACCGACGCTCCGTTCCTAAGCATTTGCCGCAGTGAGGGGCAGCCAATCTGGAGCTCTTTGAAGCAATTTTTGTTCAGAGGGAAAGAAAAAGAGAAGGCAGAGGGACAATTCCAGAGCAGTTTTGTTTAGCCGGCCAGCTCAATGCCGCCTGCCTGCTATGGGGGCTGAGAATTTAATGTGGAGTGGCAGTGACGATTTCGATACCGTGAGAACCAAATCTTCAAAGTCAGAACCACTTGACAAGCTGGGACGCTGAAGAGAAACAGCAATCCTGGAGGATCGACAACCTGTTTCTGTTTCTTTTATTCTCAACAAAAAGGTCTCTTGTTAACTTTTATCTCACTAAAAGTGGGCGTCCGGTCTGCACTCACGAGCGCACCTGGACATTGGACGGTGCAAACCACCGAGTTGGATCTATCGGACGGCTCAAAGTTGGCCCTTTCGAGCCTCCCTCCAGCCTTCCTCAGGACTCAGTCTCACTAGTGAGCTTATAAAATCCGACGCCCACTTTAATTTGTGAAAGTGGACTGCCCACCTCGATGCCGCCCGCCAGCTGGCAGAGCGAGGGGTTCTTGATGAGGTTCTCGATGGTCATTCCGTGCGCGGTGCCGACCAGCTGCACGCCGCGCTGCGCGATGGTGCCCGCGGCCGCCGCCTCTAGTTCCGTCCCGATCTCGTCGATCACGATGACCTGCGGCATGTGGTTCTCCACTGCCTCGATCATCACCTGGAAGCAACGGGCAAGACTTCGGTACCTTATAAATCGGTCTGTGACTCCTCTCGCTTCACCATGGATTAAGGATCCAGCGACAGTTCTGTTTGTCGTGTGGCGGCTTTGACCGTCTCTGTGACTCGGTATACTTCATGCTTGTTGGACAAAAAGGCCTTGTCGGCATGTCGACTCGCTGGAGTGAAAGCCCAAGAACATTGGGAACCTTCAGATCTCCTCTATATCTCCACGTAATCGAGAAATCGGCTCCGAGGGAAATGTCCAAAATTGAAGCGGAGAAGAACCGTGAAGCTCAGTCTCCAGGGCTTGTAAAGAGACTAGACGAGTCTCCCAGTGCCTTACTTCCAGTTCTGATCCTCCTCTGCGGCGACCCCAGCCTGTTCCTGTCGTCACAGAAAAAGTAAGACCCAGAAAGAGAGGAAGACTAGCTTACGTGATGTTGCAGCTCGGGTGACGGCACCTGCATCCTGCGCGCGCGCCCGATCCCCGGGTGCGGGATGTCGCCGTCCCCCCCGATCTCGTTACTGGTATCCACAATCACGACGCGCTTGTTGTATTCGTCCGCGAGCATGCGGGACACCTCGCGGATCGCCGTCGTTTTGCCGACTCCCGGGGGGCCCATGAGCAGAATCGATGCGCCGGTGGAGACCAGATCCCGTACCTGATGGAGGTTAATTCTACATAAATGGTCCACTTGCGTTTGTTGTTCTTGATATGGATAGTCCAGCAACACGCAGTTCATCGGAAGGAGTCTGCGGACTGGCACACAGGCCCGTAAAGACTTCTGAAATATCAGGTTCGTTACTCTTTTTGAGACGAGTTGCTACAAGCAAAGCACAGCCAGACTCAACGTTCTGTTTGCTGCTGCTGCGCAGTGAAGCCCACGATTCACACCGAAGCAACCTAGAAAAGGGGGCTGGAAACAACGGACAACCTCAAACGATGTTCCAACAACGTTGCGGATCGCCCGCTACAATGGATCTGGGCCGTGAAACAGCGACAACAACACATGCTCTGCCCCCTGTGCTGCGATTAGACTGAATGCGAGCGAGCCCCGGCATACTGACGTTCCAAACCCCTCTAAGAGAGAGGGGATATTGTAATGACCGATAGAAGCAAAGGAGACCCCCGCACCATTTCGGCGCTCCCTGGTATGGCCCGCCCGACTCTGCAAGTGAGGCCCACGATGCGCCCCGAGCGGCTCCGAATGGCGCTCACACGGTGCAGCGTGCGGTCAATGCCCGCGCGGTTGTCGCCCCCAAACAGCCCCACCTGCGTCAAAAACCGCAGAGTTTCAGCAGAGTCCCAAAAGTGCAGGGTCTCGGCAGAGTCTCATGACTGCGGAGTTTCAGCAGAGTCCCAGGACACTGGAAACGATTCTTAGGATGGTACAATGTCGAATCTGCAAGTCCGGTAGATCCTACTTAGTGCCCTGAGAAAACACAAGCGGGGTCGGGCTCGGAAGCTTAAGAGAACTATCATTAGCGACGCTGGATGGATTGAAAAGAAGCATATGATCAAGCCTGGGTTTGGGAGTTCAGCCCGAGAGCAGCGTCTGGCGCTGCCACTCCACGCACTTCACAATTGGGAGCATCTAACGTGGACCCAGAAAAACTATGTCAATGCGTGCCGGTGAACGTTCCCGGCAAGTAAGAAAACGGGCGGCGGGCATAAAATGCAGGACGATGAGAAGAGGAAGGAGCGCGGTAGGAATTATTTCAGGGGAAGGGCTAAATGACATACCTTTCCTACGGCCAACTCAATGTCCTTCGCTGTGACACTATCCTCCGATAGGAACACGTCTCCGCTCGGAAAGCGTGCCATTGGCCGCCTGCCCAAGTCCAGCACGATCTCCACCAGTGCGTCCCGCTCCGGATGTTCCTCCACTCTAGTTCTGATTGTTCCAGGCAACAGATCTAGAAGCTGGCTCAACTCTTCTTCGGGGTTGGGATTCAGGGTTTTGCGGTCTCCTGATATCACTTCAGAGCTCAGAGACGCTTGGAGTGTTGAAGTGGTGGAGTGAGAAAATGAAAGCGAAGGCAGATGGGAGGATTTTAGCGCTTTACGAGGGGCTAATATGGGCTTCTTTCGGTGTTCCAAGCCATGAACCGGGAAAGAATATTCTGACGAGCGGATGCGCAGCGCTGAGAAACTGCTTTTCATTGATCTTCTGAGAAACCCTCCTCTCTGCCGACTGTCAATCTGACTAATTGTACCTACGGGACTTTCACTTTTTGAGTTGCGCTGCCACTCGTTCTGCGATGAGTTTCTTCCGAAAAACCGCGCTTGGCCACACCTAAGCGTGCCTCCCCACTCGCAGTGCTGGGCGGGGGACAACTGCATCCGTAGCCCAAACTCTAGCGATTCACTTTCCGAAGAACCAGTCTGCGAGCGACACCTGTGCGCAGCAGTCATCCGCAAAGGGGGCTGACTCGGCAGCACCCCAACCGCCTGCGACCCCATCGCTCGCGTGCGGAAAACTCTGGCGATATGTGAGCGGCCGATTCTAGATGCTGCAGCGCTCCCAGATCAAGATGCAATGCTGATATGGCAGCTCGTCGCGCTTGTTCTGACAGCTTCCTTGGATGCCCTTGATCAAGGGCCAGGCTGCCCTCAGCAGCACACCTGACACCGGTTTAGGACCAAGCTAGCTTCTTCCGAGAGCCCTGGGAAAACAGTAAGGAAATATGTGTTCAGCGCTAGAAATCAGTAGGATCAGAGCGGAAGTGGAAGCCCTGAAGCTGAAGGGCGGCCGCGATCGCAAGCGGCAGGCGGCCGCGGACGTGGCCGACAGACCCTAGCCGCGGCGCCGCAAGTTAACCAAGAGAACTAGAGCGATGAGATATCGTAGAGCCGGCACAGGGTTTGCGAATCCTCAAGAATGTACATATGCCAGCCACGTGGCACATGGGACAAAAGAAGTAAATGCGAAGGGCGCGGCGGCCTGCACTCGGGATTCTGTATGCGTGTCAGCCTCAAAGAAGCCCTCAGTGCGGCTGCGCAATCATGGAACAGTGTCTATGCAGGGACTGGTCGCACACAGGACCACGTGCTACGGGAATGATGGCGGTGACAGGTGTCGTGCTCACCAGCTTCGGAAATTGCCCCCCAGGCTGTCAAACCGATGACCCTTTCCTCTTCTTCAAGTTCTTGGCCGACTGCAGTGTGCACAGTGATATGAAGAGGGCACAGCCCTGGAAGCCGATATTGCGCTAATCTTACACTACCTATTACTACCTTCTGTCGTCGGACAATTTCAGCTGAATCACTTTGAACCGGGAGGACTCTTTTGCTGCACGTTTATACAGTAGGCATCTTAAGACTTCTGCACTTGGTGGTCAAACTCTTCCTGCTACAACCTATCAAAGCTACAGCGGTGATGCATTTGAAGATCGTCATCTGAGGACTCCCTCCGAACCCGAAGCAGGCGCTTTAGAGATGCTACCGTAAGCTCTCTCCCTGCTTGCGAGGGTAGGGCCGTCAGCTCAACGGTTCATCCCCTTGCGATTCCTAACAAGACTATCTACCAGATTAGGTTGCGGCATCCTGCTCCTTTTCGCCCCACTACCCCAAGCAGCTCATTCCCTCTTCTTTGTGAAAGCTTGTCAAAATCTCAAACCAGTTGTTACAATCACCAGCAACCAGTAACATGGCGACAGCTGGCAGCTACGCCCCCACCCCCGACAGCTCAACTCGGAGTGGCGCCCAGTACATCAAAGAAGGCGCGTCGCAGGCACCGTATGGGATCGACATTCCCCCCACCCCGGTCGACGAGCCATCCTACTCCCCTCATAAGGCCGACCGTATGTTTGAAGACGACAAGTCAGGTGACTCAGAATGTGCACATGTTTCACTGTGAAAGATCGTTTTTAACAGTGCTCGATATCCCACAGATTGTAATGCATTTGGGCTTTGTCTTTGCGCTCAGGTCCGGGACGTCACTTGACTGTCAGGGTCTCTTAATTGATGATAGTCATCACGAATGCGTGGGTTTGAGATGATCTTGCCGCCTCCAATCGGGGGGTGTACATGCAGAATCCTCTTTGTGTTTAAACTGGGTCTTACGCACCCTCAGGGGCTCGCTCCATGAGATCTATTTTGGTGACCTGGAACTTCACTCTTTTTCCCTTTTTTCCCGTTTGCCCCTTTGCGCCCCCCCACCTCCCCCCCCCCAATCCTCCATGCCTCGGGGGAATCACATTTGAGGGGCAGCTCACTGTTAATGGAGCATGGAAATAGGCAAGCAATGCACTTAGAACAATGTTTGGCCTCTTGTCTCACCATTTGAGTACCTCCACCTTCAACCTTATCCACTTGATCAAGGCAGGATGGCGTTGAATGGTGCTTCAGGCTAGAGATGCTGAGGGCTCTGCCTCTGCGGTGGCGCATTTGTATTTGTATAAGCTGGTCAGGCTTCAAAATCTGACCGTACAAGCATTTGCTTCTCAGAGGGGGCCATTCAAAAAGCTTGAGCAAGTTGTCTCTCCTCGTGTTTCCAGACCCTAGAACCACTAATACTTCCATCTCTTCCAGGAAGTTTGGACTGGGAGGGATCCTCTTGACATCTCAAACGTCAAGCTACGATCAATCTGGTGACTCAGAACTAGATCCGGTGATCTCTACAGATAACGCTCTACTAATATCGTTATATTGCCAAAACAGAGCTGATGCATTTGGACTCCCAAAGTGGGTTGGCTTAGTAGCTCTTACCAGTTGCATTGAGAAGCGAGGATTACTCGATGTACCTCTGTCACCTCCCCTAATCTCTTCAAGAATTTTCTAGAAGACATGCAGAATCCAAATTGCAAGACCACAAATGCACAAATGGGTAAATTCAGCCGCCTCATGGGTCCAGAAACTCTGTCACTCCATAAGTCCTCTGGTCAATGCAGCAGGGACTCCCCCGTTCCGGATCCAGTTTTATGCGAATCTGGTCAAACTATGAGCTTGTAGGAAAGTTAAGGTGACAAATCGAATCCCCCTTGT